GGCAAATACTATCCAAGAGAAGAATATTCTACAGTTGAGGATATGAGGTCATACAACTTGACATTAGATGCTATGAACTTTAACAACAACTTCACAACAACCATAAACCCTGAAATGCAAAGTTCTATTATGCCATATGTGAAAGTATGGACTCATACAGGAGGTCAAAAACTCAATATACAAATGGAGACCGTTCAAACTTTTGGCTTGGCATTCCATTTGCTGACTCAGAAGACTTTATGGGTGGTATTTCAACTGTTGGTACAGTTCAAATACAATATACTGGTGACAGAGACGGTCCAAATGAACTGAAAGCAAAGAAGTTTACAAAACCAATAGCACTTTTCACGGAAGATGCTCTTTTGAAGATTCGTTCGATGAAACCTGCTGGGGCTCCTCAGATTGGCATAACGACAGCTTCCATCGAGCAGATTTTGGCAGCAGGTCAGTAAGTTGTTCTTGAACTGACTTCTCTCCGTCAAATATTGACAGTACGCCAGTTTTGACATAGTATTGTATTATAAACTTACCTTTAGAAATATCTGTAAGTTTTGTTGTTATATTTTTGTCTGCTTCAAGAACTTTCACCATCTCGGTTATACCAACTTTCTTTGCTTTATGAAAATATTTTGGTTCAGCAAAGACTGCTATTCTATAACATTTTCCATTGTTTGTGTAAAGAACTACTCTGTCAATGAACTTGTATTGTTTGTGTGTGTAAACTTTGTTCTGCTTCAATTCGAAGAGATACTCAAATACGTCCATCTTTTTATTCTAAGTAAAATGTCATTTCCGAAAAATAGAAGCGTAAGTGTTTCAAAAGGTTTAATGGCGGTGGCAGATGTGAAGTTAAATTCACCAACTCAAACAAACAGTCAAAGTGTTGTTGTCAATGTCAAAGACAGAGATGTTGAAGTGGGGAAACCATACGAAGACGAAGATGGTATAACAATAGTTCCTGTAAAAGAACAACCAACATATCCTGAAGTTAGCAGAGACTTAAGTTCTGTTGCAGATATTCGAAACGACTACCAACAACTTAAAGACAAACTTAAAACTCAGGAGAAGATTTGTCAAGCTTTGGGTATAATGTTAAACTTGGTCGAACACAACCCTGTAAAAGTGAACTCATATGTCATTGCACCTCATGAAGTCTTTGAAAGAACTATTGAAACTTTTGACAGAGGCAGACGATATAAACATCAAAGAAATAGAACCCGACATTAGTTGCTGTGGTGTTTCATATAATGTCATTGACAAGATATACGTTATGAAAGGAGGTGAAACGTTGAACTTAAAGTATAGTTTCCCAGACGTCATAAAAATATTTGACGACCACAACATTTCATTAAAATTTACTTGCTAAGTAAATGGCAGAAGACATAGTGGTTTATACTATTACGACTAAAAACCCTGAGTCATATAATTCTATAACAACAAACTTACAAAGTCCTCAAGGACGATATTGTAAACTACCTTAAACACGATGACGACTAAAGCCTGTTTTGCTCTTTTGACACCAGAAGACTTTGTTGTTGTGAATGGTAAAAAATACTTCTTTGAAGATACTTACTCAGATATACCACCAACAGGTTTTGTTGACTTATTTAATACTTTAAGGACGGATGTAACATGTGCTGCAACTAGAGCAGGTTTCATTATGTTTGGATGTCCGACTGAGTTTAGTATAAACGATATGAGCTATAATACAAAACTTATATCTGGTTTTACTACCAACAGTTTCCTATAACAGGAAAAGGTGTCATACAAGGAATGTCTGTTCCATTGACTTTAAGCACACCTATTTTATATATTGTTTCAAACTTAGGTTCAAAGTGTTATTCGAATGTCGACAGAAACTACTATGACCAAAAGATACTCATGCGTATAAACAACACTTTCTCTGCTGGTTTGCCTATTGTTCATTCGAATGCAGAGTTTTCAGCTTTAGTAAACTCAAACACTTTAGCAAACATAAACTTAACCTTAGTTGACGCAAACTTTGTTCCTGTAAAACTTTTATGTCCTATGTATTTGTCAATGACGGCAGAAAGTTTCGAATTGGAAGATGCAACTGGTGAAAGTATTGTACTACAAGAACAACTTCAACAACAAATAGCTCAAGAACAACAAATGCAACAAATGGAACAAATGCAACAACAAAGTCAAGAATAAAAAAATATTTTTTTTATTTTTATAAAAATGTACAGAATAGATGTTTCAGATTTTTATGACTTCCAAGCCTTCAGAAATATGTGTCCATTTAGAGACTATAACAAAGCAGTCGAGAATTTGAAACGTTTAGTCATTTATGTCGACTCTGCCCCAGAATGTTATGTCATGAAAGAATGGGATGTTGTCTTTAACAAACCAAGAGCACATAGTTTCAGAACAAGAATGTAGACAGAAACTTAAGAAAATAAAAGTCGTATACAAGTTGGCATGAAGATGTTAGATGCTTGGGATATCTTATTGTCAAAGTTAGAAGATTTTTCAGTTCGTGGTATAAAGTTCTATACACCTTCTCCAAACTTCTATTCTATCTTCACTGGATATAAATACGAACAAGTAGAATGGAAAGAAAATGTTATAGAAGCTTGGTTAGACCATGTCAAAGAAATTATATGCAATGGAAACGAAAGAGTCTATGAGTATATCTTATGTTGGTTTGCAAACATCTTACAATATCCAAGTGCTAAAAATGAAACTGCTCTCATTATAATTGGAAAACAAGGAACTGGTAAGAATACTTTCTTTACAGATATTTTGTGCAAACTGTTAGAGGGCTATTCGAATCCGAATATGACAAACTTAGAAAACATCTGCGGTAAATTTAACTCTTCAATAGAGAATATGAAACTTATAGTATGTAACGAACTTCAAAGTATAGATACAACAAAGGTTTTGAACTCAGATGCTTTGAAGAGTCTTATAACAGACAAAGTTGGAGTTGTTGAAAGAAAATATAAAGACCAAAGAGTTTGTGAAAATGTTGCAAATTTCATCATGGTTTCAAACAATGCCGTTCCGATGAAGTTAGAAAGTTCTGACAGAAGATATGTAGTTGTCAGAACGTCAGATTCTCATATGCAAGATACAGAATATTTTGACGACTTAGCAGAAACTTTGACATCTGACTTTTACAACCACTTGTTCTCATACTTTATGACATTAGATATTTCTAAGTTCAATCCAAGACAAATTCCATATACCGAAGAGAGACAAACATTGTTAGAAGCAAACAAGAGTGTATATGAACTGTTTATAGATGAGACTAACTTTGAGTGTTTAGATGAAAGGTCATTGTACGATTCATATAAACAGTATTGTCAAGAGTATGGTTATATGGCAGCGTCTAAACGAACATTCTTGGCAAATGTCAAAAATCTTTTAGATGTTCAGAACGGCGTATATACAAAGAAAAATTTTTCTGAGTAAATTTAAAAAAAATATTTTTTTATCCGATAGAAAAGATGACGAAATATATTTCAGTCAACAAGTACATGACAGAAGTCAAAGATAAGTTAGCTCCATTCGCATATTTGAATGTTTACTTCTACCATTTTGAAAAGTCTACATTTGACAAAGTTTGGAACATCGAACCAGTTAAGTTTGCTATTGTGACTAAAAATGGTGCGAAATTTGAAGACTTAGACATAGAAGGTTTGTTAGCAGTCAAAAAAATTTTGACAGAAGGTTTTCAAACCTTAAAGAAGGCAAAGCATACAAACTTGTTATACCTTATGAACCAAAGAAAGCAGACGACTATGAATATTATGAGTCTAAGATAGTTGAAGTTCAAGGTAAATTAGGTAAAAAGATTTTAGAGTCTAAGCCAGTGTTTGCTCCTAAAGAGGAAGAGAACATTGACATTGACCCAGAAATGTTCTAAAAATAAAATTTTATTTTTACATGTCATATCTCACTTCTCTGAACTGGTTCAGGTTCTTTCTTCTCTTCTACTTTCTTTTCTTCTACTTTCTTTTCTTTCTTTCTCTCTTCTTCTTCTTCTCTGGTGGAGTTATGTCAAATTTGGCGCAACCATATTTATGTAAAAGTTCTTTGTCCTTTAATAGCTCTTCTATTCTGTTTTCTATTTCATCTTCAAGAACAGCGCATGTGCCTTCTTTGCATTCTAAGAACTTTTGTTGGACTTCATCTTTCCAATCGGCGTCATCTCTGTCAACAAGTCTGTCATTGACAAATTTTAAGACTGCTCTTTGTAATGTTTTATGGTTCTTGTCATATTCCCAGAAACAGAACTTTAGAACAAATTCACCTTTCTTGTTTACACTATGTAAGATTTTATGGTCGACAGATGTTTTGCTGTCGAAAAGTTTGTCTCGAATATAGATAGCGAAATCGCTAGACATTTTCAAAAAGATAAAAATTTTAATTTTTCTAAAAATATGTTAGAAAAAAAGTTTGCTGACATTGACAAGAAATTTGAGAATGTTTTAAATAAGAACAAGAGGAAGTTAGAAAATGCTCAGATAAAACCCATACATGACAAGTTCCTATTTGCTCAGAATGGTATAACAGGTCTAATCGCACCACCTGGGTCGGGTAAGACTTTCACTTATCTTAAAATGGCTGCACAACAACAAGAACTAGATGAGAAGAACCCATTCTATGAGTTAGTAGTCATTTGTAGTACTTCTGGTCAATTTGACCAAACCGTCAATTCGTTCAAAGATATTATAAAGAAGTCTAAGTTAGTATGTATAAAGGATACTGAGTTGTTAGATTGGATAAAGAAGTACCAAAGAAGAGTTTTGAAGTATAATGCTATAAATGAGTATATAAATTCTAAGTTTAAAGACCCAAATGAGGAAATGCAGAGAATATTAGAGAAGAAACACTTCAGAAACAAACAGAAAGAGATAGAATACATTTCGAAGAAATTGCAATCTTACGATTGGAAGACTTACCCTCATAGATGTCTTCTTATCTTAGATGATTTCGCCTCTCATCCTTTGTTAAAGAACAGAGAACAAGACATGTGTCGAATTCTTAAGAAGCTCAGACACTTCAACATCTCTGTTGTCATTTGTGTACAGACAGCCAAGAGTTTAAGTAAGGATGTTAAAAGAATACTTACTGATATCATACTTTTCCCTGGATTGTCCGAAGACGATTTCATGGAACTTATGAAAGAGTCCATGGCAGGTAAGTTTGACAGACATGAACTATGGGAGAAGTACAAAGTCATACAAGACCCTCATACTTCTTTCAGAATTCATATCTACGCAAACAAAGTTCAAATTGTAAAAAGTCAAGCTTGAAAAATAAAGAGTGCATCTACCCTACTTGTTTGAAGTTGTCAAAATACTCTCTTATTTTTCACTGTTTTCATACGGAATTCAATAAAAATATATTTTAGGGTAGATGGGTATATCTAACCCGATATCTAACCTCATTTCTACCCCATATGTCCTTACTGAAAAAGTACGTGTTCCATATGTCATTTTACTCAGAATTTTACTCAGAATTCAGCAAAAATATATTTTAGGGTAGATGGGTATATCTAACCCGATATCTAACCTCATTTCTACCCCAGTTATTTTATAAGCGTTTTACATGGTAAACATTGTGAATTCGTGAAATTCTAAACAATTTCGTAGCTTCTATTTCTTCTGTCAGTACATCGAATGTTTTAACTATGCCGAAGGTTTCTTTATATTTCTTCTTGACATCTGAAAGAAGGAAATCGTCAGCTGTTGGATAGTTTTTGTTTAGAAATGTCAACATGTCCATTTTATCTTCTGCTGGTTTCTCTGCTTCTTTCTTTAAGTCAGCATAGTCGTTTCTCATTCTTTCTATCTCTTTGACGGAGTAGTTATATTTCCTCATTGCTGCTTTACATTTTGAACATTGTGGGTTCATTTTTGCGTTATATTCTGAAACCTTACCTGCAAGTATGACTAAGGCGTCAATGGTTTTCTTTAACTCAAAAGTTGCTGGTTTTATCTGTTGGTTCCATACCTTACCTCTTCTATCTTTATCTCTTATCTGCCATACACATTTTGCAACTAACGAAACAAAGTTGTCGTAGGTCTTAAATTCTTCAGATTTGTATATGTCAGAGATGTTCTTATATACCATGTCGCAATCTTTGTCCATGACTTTGTGGTTGCAATGAAATCCAAGAAACTCATAGTTTACCTTTCGTATGAACTTCTTTATTTCTACTGAGTCAGTTGCTTTGACTTCTATTTCATCGAATTCTGGAATAGTGAGTTTTTGTTGTTGGATTTCAGGCAATTTGGGTAAATGGTCAATAATATCCTGCATTTCATAAAGATACTGTTCATTTGTTTCATCTTTCGCACTACAGTCTAAAGTACTTGTTAAAAGTTCTTGCTTTATCTTCTGGATTTCTGTTTCGAAAGTATATGAAGAAGGAATGAAGCTTTTCATCTCTACTAACATTGATGGGTTCATGACTAACGAGTTTGGTGCTGTTGTTGCTAACATGTTCTTACAATAAAAATAAAAAAATATTTTTTTAAAAAAACCAACTTTATTTTTTATTTCGGGAAAACTCATGACAAATTCAAGAGGGTAGAAAAGAGGTTAGAAAAGAGGTTATATCTAACCTTCTACCCTAAAATATATTTTTGCCGAATTCATGAGTTTTGGTTGAAAGAATACGGTGGAGCCAAAAGTGGCTCGACCTCAAAACAAGCATTTTCTGTATAAAATTCATGAAAATTCAATGAGGTTAGAAAAGAGGTTAAAAAGAGGTTAGATATACCCCTCTACCCTAAATTATATTTTTGCTGAATTCAGCAACAAAATTCAAATTGTAAACGGTTTAATAGAAAAAGTGTTATTTTTTCATGTCCGAAGACTCGAAGGTGCAACACTTCCAAAATACCGACGAACTCAGAAGAGCAGCATGGCAGTATGTTCTTGACAACTTCTTTGAGTTCTCCAGGAACACCTTGGAAAATGCTGAAGAACTCCGACACAGAGAATTTGGAGAAATTGCACTCCAATACTACCTTGACAAACAAAGGGTAAACAAAGGGTAAAGTAAAATAAGACTAAAAACTTAACGTTTAAAAAGTGACATTTTATGAGCTCCGAGTCACCGAGAAAACTTGGTCAGATGTTAGCAGCTTACTTCCCTGAGGAGGATGGAAGCGTTACATACGTAAGGTTCAAAAACAACGAACCTGGAATTGCGTACCAAATTCGCAATTACATGACCATGGAAGAGTACGAAAGGTTCCTACAAGAGAAACCAGCTCTAAACAACTCAGAAAAGAAAGAGTAAAAAGTTTAACTCGTAATTGTTTATTTTTTTACTTGTATGGGCAAGCTGCAAGAATGAAGTCGACTATCTCGGTCTTTGTCTTGACCAGTTGGACTGCTCTTGCGAGTACGTCTGTTTTACGGTCTCCAGCTGGTGTCTGACCTTCGTAATTGCGCATGTTCTTGAGAGCTCCAACTGTAAATGGTTGTAGGATGAAGAGTCTCTCAGACTGCTTGAGGTAGTCTTCACGGTCACGAACCGAATCTGTGGTACGAGTCGAATCGGTCGATTTGAGGGAAGAGAGTGAGAGCCTGTCTTCTTCCATTGGGGTAGTAGCATACTCTTTGCGTAAGCGGTTCAGACCTTCCTCGAACTCTTGGTCTCTCTTGGATTGAGATTGGAATTGTGGGGCAGGGTTTTGCATAAACATCCAAGGGTTGGGGAAGTAAGGCATAGGCTGAGGAGGAGGGTAGTTCGGGAAGCCTTGTGGTGGGTAGTAACATTGAGGTGGAAATTGGTAGTAAATCGGAGGTACTTGCTGGAACTGAGGTTGCTGAGGAGACTGTTGTGTTCTGCAGCTTTCGGTTCTTCTGGTTGGGATATGGGCTCGGTTGGTGGGACGTCGGACATCTGTTTGTGGCTTAACCGTCGGAAGGAAAAACCTTTCCTGTCGGAAGGAAAAACCTTTCCTGTCGGAAGGAAAAACCTTTCCTGTCGGAAGGAAAAACCTTTCCTGTCGGAAGGAAAAACTTTTTCTGAAGTTCGACCAAAAGTTCTCAATTTTCGAAAATTTGAATGGTTTACGGACGGACAACTGGAAGAGTTCTTCCTGTCGTCGGGAAATTTTTTCCAGTTGTCGGGAAAATTTTTCCAGTTGTCGGGAAAATATTTTCCTGTCGGATGGAAGGACTCGGAATGCCAGAAGGATTTGACGAGGCAATTTACCTTATAGAGATAAATGAAGTTGTTAAGCAGTACTTGCGCAGGGTAATGAAGCCCAAGGTCAAGTTCACCACTATTTCTGGAAGGTCTACACTTCAGCTCGAGACTTCGACTGGAATTCCAATTCAAATACCAGACGGGACAGCCTACGACGCATAAAGGACGCCAAAAGAGAAGCTCTTGTTAAGTTCCTAAACAAACGTCCTTGGAAAAAATACCAAACAAGGAGAACCCCCTACCCCATATGAAATTGGCAATTCAGTCTCTCCTTCACTTCTCGGGTCAGCCGTTCTACATAACCTGTGAAGGCGACATCCAACCAGTTCAGTCAACCTTAACGTTTTGAGTAAAAACATTTTTTTTCATTTTTTGAATGAAGCAAGTTAAATTCGTCCCACACCAATCTCAATGGACCGATGAAGAGTTTCAAGCCATGGTTGAAGGCGTTGAGAACGACATAGACGGCGAACTTGAAGGAGCTCAAACCACAATTGCAACCAAAATTGCAGAGTCAAGGAACAGATAGCTCCACTTAAAGCTACCAAAGCTACTCTTGACCTCATGGATACTTACCGTTTAGATGTCAAGAGTGGAATAAGACAATTAAAATTAAAACTTCTAAACTACGAAGCTATACTCCAAAAGTTAGCAGAAATGAGAAGACTTTACCAGAGCTACTTACATGTAAGGGACTTACCTTCATGCAGTCCGACCAAAGATGAATTTTCTGACATTGTCCCAATTTTGTCCGAAAGTCAGCTCAGATGTTTTGAACTGCTCCCAACATATCCAGAATATGAACGTTTGCCTGAACTCTTCCGCAATCTCAAAAAACGTTTTTTGGTTCTCATGTTCAAACTTTTATCGGAAGAGACAACAAACGTTCAGAAGAAGAACAAGATATTATTTTAAACTTGTTGTATGACTTAACCGTCATAACAAGCTTTTTGAAGTAAAACCGTCATTCTCAAACCACTTCATTTTTTCGATGTCCGAACAAGCACCGAAGCCGAACACAATGGCAGATGTCCTTTCAATGTTGCCAGACAAGCGCCCAGTTCAAATTCAAATTTTGAATTTGAAAGCTCATCTGACAAACACCGTTAAGACTCTCCAAAGTAGTCTTATGGAAGAGATGAAGGGACTTAAAGGTGAGTTCCTCATGAACCAAGCTTCCAATGAGAAAGCCTGAATGATTTGACGGAAACCTTGCGCATTTACGCGAGAGAGAACCGAGACCTTGCCAGACTCATCTACCGTTTCTTCGAAGAGATAGACGCCATCTGGAAGGTACTCGGAAAGGACAGAACCTCCAACACCGTAATTCGTGAGTACCAAATTGAAGAAGGAATTTTCGAAGAAGAAGAAACACGAAGAAGAAGAGAAGAAGAAGAAGAAGAGAAGAAAAGAGAAACACGAAGAAAGGAAGTTTGGGCAACCCTTGTTGCCGATGACAGTTACGAAATTTCCCAACCCTACCCATACAAAATCCGCAACAAGGAGACAGGCAAGGTTCTTACCCAGTCCTCAACAACTTGGGACACTTGAACCTTAACCTTCGGAATCGCGGTTCAATCTCCATGGGCAAGCTTGTCGCAATTCAATGGGTTCCAAATCCAACAAGAAGACGAAGGTCAGACACATTGACGGTGACAAGCTCAACAACCGTAAGGAGAACCTCGAGTGGTTCTAAGAGTAAAAAATTTTATTTTAGGGGGAAACCCGAGTAAATTTAGGTGTTTAGTTCATTAAGTAGTTAAATTAAGGGAATTTGGACAAGTAGTTCCTGACCTGAATTGGACTCTTTCGTCATCCCAGTTGCGTAGGAGGTCGTCCCAGAGGAGTTGGTAGAATTGCCAATCCAAGGACGATTTGTCCTCCCAGGCATTGAGGATGTACTGCTCGTAGAGTCTCATGACCTCTGCCTTGCACCAGACACCCTCTCCCTTGGAACGTAAGGCTTCTTCGAAGTGCTCGAATGCGATTGGCTGCGGGACCATCTGAAATGACACTTTTTGTCCGTTTGGTCAATGTTCGTGTCTCGTGTCATAGTCGACGAAAATACAAACAAACAGGTTATATATGAGTTTGAGACCAAGAATGGTGTAACTCGACCTGTCCGATTCAAATTCGAATAAAAATTTTTTACTTCATGCAATGTTTTATTTCTGTGCCGTCTTCAAGTATGCCCCAGTACTTACGCTTGGAGAGGACATGAACTTCGGTGAAAATTTTGTAATTTGAATTGACCCATCTTTTCACCGACCATGCCCATTTCAATGAGTTTGTTATAGCCTTCTTCGTTCGTCATGAGTGCATCGATGTTCTCATAGTAAACCTTCACTTTGGATTTGACTTCGAGAAGAATTTGTTGTAGTTGTCAAGGACTGCCTTTGCGAACTGAGGGTAAGACCAATGTTCGACAATAGGTTTTAATGTGGTTACTAAGCCACTTTGACCTTGAGTGAATTCGTACTTCAAAACAAAAGGAGAAAACCTTTCAACAAAGTTGTCGACCTTCTCATAATGTTTACTCTTCATCTCTTGAGGTTTCTTATGGAATATCCCCATGTCGAATTCATAAGCAATTTGAGTGTCATTGCAAGTTTGGGGTTTGAAGCTTTCCTAATATCATACAGTTGTTGTATGACTTTTCCAACTGTATAGTTCCTTCCTGGAACTCACCATCTTCGTTTGGAATTCCAGTGGATATATTGGACAAACCTCATGTACGCAGCGTTAAGGTCGACATAGTATATCTTTTCATATGAGTCGAACTTGTCGCAACCAATTGGTCCAGTTTGTGGAAATTCAAGTGAGTCTCTTATCTTCTGAGAAACTTCTCCTGTTATCTCATAAACATCGTCGAAGCAACCTGTTTCATATAAAACCTTCTGACCTAACTCAGATGCTCTCCAATACAATTTGACGTCAATTGGATGTCTCAATGGAAGTTTTTATAGCATCTTGAAGTTCTTGCAACCTCATTGGAAGTTCTTCTGGTTCAGGTTGGTATCCGAACAATCCAACTCCTTTTGGAATTGTGTACTTCTTTTGTACTAGAACTTTGTCTGGAACAACTTTTGGTCTTGCTAACAATGAAAAGTTTGTTTTCGTCTTTTGGTACAAAAGTTTCTGTCAGCTTGTCATCTGGAATTGGTTCCAACAAACCTTTCTCGAAAAGAATGTTTACAGCTCTGACAATGTTGCACTTGCCTTTTCCGAACAATGGGTTGTAAGACTTTCGTTCAACATGAAGTGGTTGTGGACAATTGCAATCTTCAACCATGGTAAATTGAACTCAACAACATAGTCGTCATGTGAAGAACCTTTAGCTGTAGGTATGTTGACTCGGATATTGACATTTGCCAACGGTGCAATTTTTGCCAATTGACCTCTGAGAATGTACCTTGTCTTCACACATGACTCAAGATACTTCATCTTCTCTTCTGTAACAAGACCAGAGTTCCTGAGACATGTAAGAATGCAAGGTTCATTGACAATTGTTTCAATTGAATTGTAAATTCCATACCTTGTCAAGTCAATGTCAGACTTATTTATGAAGGGAAGTATCCAGCATGTTGTCTGACTGCTTGAGGGTTAGGTTGGTACCATTCAAATTTTACACTTGCAATTCCTTCAATTGCATTCAAAATGTCTGAGTCGGAGTCAACCATTTGTTCTCTCTTTGTAGTCTTGAAAGCGTCAAGAAGCATTGCAGCTGTTGTGACATTGCCATGTGCATAGTAAATTGACCATCCAAATCTGTTATGGTCAATCTGAGATTGTATCCTTTCTTATTTCCATCTTGTATGGCAGCAAGTACACCCATGAAGCCTTCTTTGTTCTTTCCTTCGTCAAAGTTTACTGTAAAGGTTCGACCAGATGTAATTTGACTTCTAACTTCACGGTACTTTTCATATGCATATCTTGTTCTTTCCATGGGAGCATGTTTGTCTTCACCTTTTCCTTTTTTCCTTCTCAAAGGATGCAATTGTTCGTCATGTTTTCCAGTAGAATCTGGCAAAGCCGTTCGTGTCCTTCAACTTGAGGCTCACTAACATCGAAAGGCATGTCCATAAGACGTTCTTCTTCTAACCTCTCTAATCTGTTTGGATAATTTGCGCGTGCTGTTTCTAAGTCCATTTCATAGCGAAGACCAGACAATTTGTCATAGACTTTTATGGGTCTTCCCTTCCTATATTTAAACTTCTTTGAAACTCTCCAACCATATCTTTCTAACTCTGCTTTTATTCTAGCAGACCTTCTATCCATTCTATACGGGGGCATTTTTATAAAAAAAAAAAATTTTTTCTTTACTTTACGTAACCACCCGCTGCCAAAAGTCTTTGACGCCAACCATACCAGCTAATGAAGGTTGGCTTGGTTTAGTTTGGAAACTAACCTTTGTTTTGGTTTTCTTCAGTTTGTGGCTTCCCTTCTTCTATTGGTTTTTCGTCACTTTTCGGTTCCTCTGACTTTACCTCACTTGCAGGTATGGTTGTGTCGTCAACATCTTCGTAATATCATATGCCATTTGTTTTGTTTTCCTCAACTTTTTGTGTTTTGTTGTTAAAGTTTAGAATATTTCGACTCTAAGTCAATGAGATGTTCTATAATGAACTGTTGGTCAGTGAAGTAAACTTTTCCATCTGTTGTCTCGAAAGCTCCTTCAGACTTCAATATTTTATTGTGAGAGTCTGTTTCTTTTTGAGATACTAGCCGTTCCATTTCTATGAAAAGTGACTTTATAGTTAGGGTTTGTATTTCCAGACCTGGCACTTCTATTATTGAATTTTCTCTTCATCTGTAAGTCTTTTGACAGGTTTTGACAATGGTTCTGAACTTTTTGTTTGTGGTGTCAAATCTACCGTTTCAACTTCTTCGGTCATTTCATCTCAGTAAAAAATTTTAGTTTGGTTTGTTTTCAACTGGTTGTTTAGGTTTTTAAGTCGGTCTAAAACTTCCTGAGGTATAGGAAGAACTTGACAAACACGTGGTTGTGTAACTGCTGGAAGTCGACAAATCCATCTTGAACCCATTTGTCTCAATGCTGTATTGTTCATTTCATCTCAGTAAAAAACTTTACATTCCCCAAGTTTGAGGTGGTTGCGGTTGGTTATTGTTTACCCACTGTTGTGCATGGTTATATCCTCTGTTAAAGAATCTTTCACCTTGGTCCATGTAGTGTCCTGCTTGGTTATAGTAGTCATTGCTTTGTTATAGTAGTTTCCTGCTTGTCTTCCTACATTGTCCATCCATCCTTGAACTTTTCCTCTTGTTTCAGGATTTGAATAAGATTTTGCTGCATCTCGTGCTACCTCCCAACCTTTCTGTACAGTTTGTATAATAGGTTGTGCTTTTCTTTCAGTATACCTAATGTACTCAAAATCTTCCTTCCAATTCCAAATGCACCTCTGGCTATTGTTCCCACTGCGGGCAAAAATCTGGATGCAACTCCTGCTAATGCGCCAAATAAACCCATTTCTTATGGGTTAAAAAATGACGAATCCAAACAAGGACCCCTATGTTCTAAAGCGACAAAGAAAGCACTCATGGTAAAAATCTTTAGTTCAACACCAAATGCTTGGTTTATGGATATCATGGAAAACATTCCGAGGTATAGAGAAGATGGACCACCATACTGGCTAATATTTGTCGGTCAAAACACAAGATACTGTGAAGCCATACCATTACAGTCCAAAAATATTTTAGATGTGAAAACTGCTTTGACAATATTTGTTGACAAATACCATCCAACAAAACTGACATTGACTGTGAAAGTTCTTTCAAATCAGACGATATTAAAAACTATCTGCGTTCAAAAAATGTAAACAATATTTCATTGTCGACCAAAACCATTCTGCTCTTGGTCATTGACAGTTGTATAAAAATCTTAAGAGACTTAAACCAACCACAAGGTGGTGAAGCAAATGAAATGTCATATGACGACAAATATAGACACTTCTCCATGGGCAAAGATGAGACAAGTTTTAAATATTTACAATAACCGTAAACAAAAAGGTTTGGGAAACCACTCCCCCGAAGAAATGAAAAACAACCCCGACTTAGAGAAAGACTATATATTTAATAGTTTAGTCAAAAGAGACAAACAAGAAAGAATGCCAGGCTTCAAACTTAAGAAAGGTGACAAAGTAAAAATAGAAATACCTAAACGCGACCCATATGAAAATACTATTGACTATGACAACAATGGGAACTCGACAGGTACTCACATTCGTGTTCGTAAAAATAGAAGAAAGTATACAAGAGAATATTATGAAGTTTTAGGCAAACATGGCAAAATGTACAGACTGCAAGCAGAAGATAAAACTACTATTGTCAGACCTCGTTTCAAACTTGTCAAAGTTCAAGGTGGTATACTTTCAAAGACAGTTCCTAACAAATATAAGACAACTCCTGACGAATATGCTAAAGAAGTTGAAAATGACGACTAAGCAATTCTATACCATGCGTAAACTGTCATGTAAGGTGGCATGTAGTCTTTACTTTGTCCCGTTGTTTGTGTATATCCTGTAACGCGATGTGTATGGTTTCCATCTCCCTGAGTGTCACTCCAGTAACAATTTATAGCAAACTGAACGTCGTCTTTAACATCATATCCTTTACCTTTTTTCAAGGCGTGCCAATCCCAAAATTTATGCTTATGCCAACCTGCTTGAGATGTACTTAAATCTACGTAGTGACTGTGTGCAGGTAGGTTTTCACCTGAAATCGTTTTACTTCCGCCTGTTTCCTTTGAAGAGTTTGCACAATACAAAAAACCTGTCGACTATTTGAGTCCAAGTTCCGAGACCAAGTACTACTTCTGGTCTGGTAGAGTTCATTGACGTGTAAATAGAACCTATAGATATAGTGTTTGAAGTATTTCTGTCTTTAACGTTTGAAGCTCTGTTTTGTCAGCTTTCTTATCTAACTCATCGTTAACATATGTTTTGTCAGCTTTCTTATCTAACTCATCGTTAACATATGTTTTGTCAGCTTTGTTGTCATATAAATCTTGAGCAGTGAATTTAACTTTTTTTTCATCCTCCATGACATAGACATTTCTACATCTAATGTATCTCATCGTTGTTATGTCTTCTTCCGATGTTAAACCTTGTGGAAAGTTAGGAGGTTTCCAATTTAATACATCCCCACCAGTTCCATCAGGTTCTTCAACCGTTCCTTCAATATTTTCTATACCAACAGTTGCGAAGAAATCGTGTGTATGTCCAACGTCACTTTTCCTGTTTAAGGTTTCTTGTAAGTTTGTAATATTTGCAATGGTATGTGTATGGTTCTTATCCGCTTTAAGGTCTAAACATCCTGAAACCCACCCTGTATTGGCTTTACCTTCTAAAATCTTCGATGTCCGTTCATTATACCATTCAACCCTTTCTTTAATTTCATTGTCTTTTTCATCCACATATTCCTTATCTGCCTTCTTCACTAACGCACTAGCCATACAACCCCTATCTACCTTCTCCTCTAACTCACTGTTGACATATGTTTTGTCAGCTTTCTTTTCAAGGCTAACGTTTAAGTCTGTTATTTCAGATATAGAATGTGTATGTCCAACGTCACTTTTCCTGTTTAAGGTTTCTTGTAAGTTTGTAATATTTGCAATGGTATGTATATGAGTCTTTTTAGAATATTCGTTTTCAGCTCTTGTCACTTCACTTGACATTTTATTGTCAACATATGTTTTGTCCGCTAGTTCAGGATGAGTATGTTCTTTCGTTGCATATGTTGCATCTGCTCTGTCATGTTCTTCTTGAACTTTTTCAATGACATATTCTTTGTCAGCTTTGTTGTCAACATCTGCTTTCAAAAGAAGTTCATCTATAGGTTTCTCGTTTAAAGTTCTTTTTGTTGGATTTATACAAACAGTATGGTTCTTGTTGTCTTGAAATAGAAACTCATCTGTCATTGGGTTTAATGTCAGTTTTAAGTTTCCTTCTTTCAATGACTCAGATATCTTAGAATAGTTTGAAAAGTTTGTTGTGTTCTTATTTAGAGCTTGCAAAATGAGTTGTCGGTTGTGTTGTATTTCTCTCATAGACGCTGTTTCTTTCGACATTTTTATTCTAGATAAAATATGCTTCCAATAGAAAAAGAAAATTCAAGAGTTGCTACAACTAAACCATTAGATGAACTTTTTACGAATGTCGGTCAAAAGTTTGAGACAGATACCGTAAAGCATGAAGGCTATCGTTTTGACTACCCATTAAGATGGTTAAGAGACCCATCTGTCACAAAAGCTATTGGCTTTCGTAGAATGAAGTTTGTGTCTGTAGAAGATAAAAGTTTTCCATTTATTGTAAGGTTTCATATAGATTATATATCTGAAGGGAAACGAAAAATGTGGGAAGAAATTGAGCTAATACAAGTTGACCTTTCATCTTCTCTACAGACTGCGTTAAAAAATATAGAAGATAAAATAAATTCATGTTATGCAAAATATGCTGATGAATATGCAAATACCGAGAGCACACTTTATGTGAGAATTGTATATGACAAACAAAATTCACAAGTGTCATTTCAAATCTACGAAGACAATCCAAAGAAAGACGAACAAATATATACAGAATTCACTGCAATGTCATGGTATTATTTGCAAAGAATGTTAAATCAGAAAGTCGAACTTCCTTTAGCAAATATTTACAGTCGATATGCAAGAGATGAACCATATTTATTTAAAGATGTTTTCGACTCAGATGCTATTATAGTTCATGCTTCATTTTCTGGCGCCCAAAACTCTTTCTTATGCTTGGCAAATGACTTTTACGAAAAACCTACAAAGCTATACGAACCACCAAGTGGAAGTATTTCAGACTTTCAAGTATGGTTTACTACAGATGGAAGAAAAAGAATAATTCCATTATACCATGCGTTTTACTTAGAACTTAGTTTCATATACAACTACTATCGAACGGTAAAAATATAATTTTTTAATACGGTTGAGGTGTTGGATTTGGTTGCCAACTAGACTGTGGTGCAGGTTCAGGCTGTTGTATAACAGGAGCTTGCTCTTCTGGTTCAGGGTCTTTAGGTATAATACCAACGAACTGACCTACTCTTTTACCAATATTTTTGACTCCGTTCCAAATTCCTCTTCCTACGGTTTTTATTCCATTCCATATACCTCTTCCAACATTTCGAAAGAAGTTTCCTATCTTACTGAAGAAACCCATTTTACTATATGTAAAAATCTAATGTCCGCCTAGTCTCTTACGTTTCCTGTTGAGTTCCATAGCATTCTTTAACTGGAGCTCATACATTCTGTTTCTCCTCTGGTAGAAAACATATTCTGGTCAACTCCTGTGTTCGCGTCATCTGCATAAAGTTGTTTATATCCCACTTCAGGGTTTGTATAAAACTCTTTCCATCTCATATTTGCATACCATGGTGGCAAACCTAACGCAGCGTCATTTGACATGGCAGTTTGCATTTGTACATCTGTTGGCACTTGACCATAGTTTGCCATTGCAGTTTGTATTCTAACTTCATTTGGAATATTCTCTGGGTTTGGTTGTCCAGGTTGCTGTGCATTCGCTAAGTTCTGTGCGTCCATTTAATATTAGATAAAAATATCTCTTACGAGTACATATGCTGAACATTTGCTGGTATTGGTTCATCTTCATATTCTCTGTACTTTTCTGCCACGTCAAATAAGTAAATGACACAATGGAAAAAACCTAAAACAAGTAGTCCTATTTCAAACCACATTTACTTACTAGTAAAATTTCTTTGTTATGACACTTTCTCCAGTTTATAGACCTCTCTCATATTCTATCTTATCGTATCTAAACTCATAGTCATGTATGTCCTCTAACCATCTCATGACACTTTCCAAACCACTTTTATCGGATGTAAAGTAAAAGCATGGATGGTTATGTAAAACGTCTAAAGTTTCTAAAGAGTCTCTCAAAGTCCAGTCTACTTGGTATTGAAAATCCCATGTGTTATAGAACGGCGGGTCTACTATAAAGAAAACATTTTCCTTGTTTTTATATTTTTCATACAACTCTGTCCAACGACATCTCACAAACTCTATACCCTCAGTATATTTTTCTATGTTCTCTTTGAAAACCTTTGTATAGTTAAGATATAAAACTTTTGACATAAGTGTTTCAATGTCATGAACTCTTATAGAACCACTATACAATAGTCTAGAAGATATACTATCCCAGTCAATATACTCTGCCTTTTTCAAAACCTCTCTGACAGTATTTTTCTTATCTAATGGTATACGTTCCATCTTACCTATAGGTATCTTTTCTTTTAACTCTTTCAATATATTGTTTGTGTCTGGTATATGTTTGAGACGGTTCATATAGTTGTCGAAGTCATTGCATATAATCTTTGAGTCAGGAAATACAGTATGGCACAAATGAGATATATAGAAACTTCCACCGAACAAATCTACAAATGTTAGACCATTCGGTAGTTTCTTAAGTTCTCTCAATAGAATATCTTTACATCTACTCTTATTTCCAAAGAAGGGTAACGGTGGTTTTGTAAAATTCATTTTATATATATATAATAAAAATGTTTTTACCTGAAAAGTGACAGAAAAGTGACAAAACATGAAAACATATATATTTTGTGAAAAGCTCCTGGAAGACCCGTATATAAAAACCTCATTTTTTTACTAAACATCTTCGGGGCTAGAAGGGGCGCAGCCCCTGGAAGCCCCACTACCTTTTTTTTTTTTTTTTTTTTTTTATTCTAACATCAATTCTTGTTATTCATCATAAAATGTTATGAAAATAATATTTTTATTCAACGGGAAAATGATAAGAAAAGTTTATGCTATAACATCCTGCTGAGAGTTGGAATAGATCTATATGTATTCACTTCACATCATAGGACAAAATTGCTGATTTTTCCTCAGAAATTTGAAAGGAACAAATCCTATTCATTGATTTTTTATATAATATTAATGACAAAACAATTTCAAGAATTATTCAATGAGTAACAAATTGAATTTACGGGTAAATTGAAAAGGAACTTCATAATTTTTTATGCTTTTTACTTTATCTTCTCTTTCATTCTGTACGTGTCCCCAAGAGGAAGAATATAATGTTCCAGATCAAACAACATCAATCAAAAACTACGAATATGCAAATTGTTCAGAACTAAAAAAAATATATTTACCTGAAAATATTTCATCAATTGGAGAGTATGCTTTTTGTGGATGCTCAAAATTGACATATATCTTGATTCCTGATAATCTAACTTTCATTGGACAATATGCATTTTGTAATTGTACATCTCTCGAATCTATAAATATAAAGTATTCTAATCTTAAAACTATCGAAAACTATACTTTTTATCAATGTTCTAGCATCAAAACGATAGAATTTCCTTTAAGCCTTACAAATATTGGCGATTATGCCTTTAGTCAATGTGATTCTCTGGAAAGTATTTATCCAACGCCTAATCTTACCTCAATTGGATATGCTGCATTCATGTCATGTGCTCATTTTAAAATATTATCAAGTCCCAATTGGAGAGAATATACTAACCTTAGGTATATCGGAGAGTATGCATTTGCCAATTGTCCTAGGCTCTATTATGTGCATGTCCCTGGTAATGTTTCAACAATTCCACGATATATGTGTTATAATTGTACATACTTCCCAGGATTAGATCTTCCTTCATCTGTCACCTTTATTGGAGAATGGGCTTTTGGATATTGCACCAGCTTCCACCTTCTAACAATGTCTCCAAATGCTGAAATTATCGAACCATTTGCATTTTATGGATGTTTTGGTTTGCATAGATTTTCATTTCCCTCTAAGCTCAGAAAAATTGAGAGTTATTTATTTTATGGATGTTCCTTTTGGGATTTAATAATTCCTTCGGGAATTGAGTCAATAGAAGATTTTGCATTTGCACGTAATACAGATCTTCAGTCAATACAATTTCCTTCCACACTTAAAACAATGGGGCCCCGTGCATTTACTCAATGTGAATGGCTCAGTACTATAATAATTCCGTCAGGCGTTCCTTCTATTGGATGGGAAGCATTTACACTGTGCAGACGTCTTAGAAGTGCAACTATTGAAGGAAGTCTTGATTCAATTAGTATGGGATTATTTTGTAATTGCGATAGTCTTACAAATATCACGCTTCCCTCAAGTCTTAAGTCAGTCGGCAACGCTGCATTTGCCCAATGTTCGAAACTTCCAAATATTACAATACCAAATGGAGTCACAACAATTGGCAATTCGGCATTTCAATATTGCTATAATCTCACAACAATAACAATTCCTTCAAGTGTTACTTCAATAGGAAACGAAGTATTCATTTATTGTAAATCCTTAACAAGTATAATACTTCCAAATGGCATTAATACAATTGGATATTATGCATTTTATCATTGTTCGAATCTCAGAAGTGTAACACTTCCTTCAAGTATTACATCAATTGGAAAACGAGCATTTGAGAGTTGTTCAAACCTCACAACTATAATTAGTTCCCTTTCTCCAAGCATTTTGATCGATATTGATATTTTTGATACTGCACCAATAAATGAATTAAATTTTGAAACACCAGTGTTCTCTCTTCTGACTCCCAAATTCAAAATCAATACAATCAAATTCAACTTTACAAAAGCAAATACTGATAAAAAACTTAATGAAATCCAATCTTTGCCATCATTGGAAAGTTTTTCTCAATTAAAAAACATCACAATTGGGAATATCAACGATTTTACAATTCCAAAATCATTTGTTAAAGGTGATAATGTTGATATCTTTATTGCAAATGATATTTCATCAATTGATCCAGATGCATTCAAAAATTGCAATATCAGAAAGTTCGAATATTATGGTAGAGCAAAACTTGATGGTGATTTCATTAAAAATGCTAAATCTTGCCAAGAAGTAGTAACATCCACAAAATATAGTGGTGATCAACTTGGTGGAATGAATATTACAAGCAATGTTGAAATCAAGTATGAAGATCAAGTGGAAGCTACAGATCAACCGGAACAGCCATCTAATCAATCAGAACAGTCAACTAATCAATCAGAACAGTCAACTAAGAATGAATTTGAAGAAGATAATAATAAAAACCGAAGAAATGATAATAAGAAGAAAACAACAGGTATCATTGTAGGAGTTGTAGCTGCAGTCCTAGTTGTTGTGGCTGTTGGCGTAATTGTCTTCATAATGTACAAGAAGAAGTCAGAAAACAAAAGTGAAGATGATGGTAATTATCTGGAAGAAAACCCATAAAATTTCATGATTGATCATTTTTTAAGGAATAAATCCTTTTTTCTAATCATATTTATTTTTAATCTACATTTGCATGTTGGCATTTTAGTAAGATTGCTTAATTTCGAATAAAAGGTTCGAAAATTTGTCTAAAATAATAAAAATTGTGATAATAAATGCGAAACTAAAAATAAAGCGATGTGAAAATAATATATACACGAGTAAATAAGACAATTTATGTTGGATAAAATTGAGAGGTTCCCGATAAATTCTTGCAACCAAATAATTATCCGATGTTTGCTTTTTTATTTTGCTCTAGAGTTTCCTGCGAACAAAAACATCCAATTATCGGTATTGACTTGGGCACAACTTTTAGTTGTGTTGGTGTTTTTATGAATGGAAAAGTTGATATCATACCAAATGAAGTAGGAAATAGAATTACACCATCAGTAGTTTACATTGGAAACGGTAAAAAGATTGTGGGCGATGCAGCAATGCCATATCTTGTTAGTGAACCAAAAAATACAATTTATGCAATTAAAAGGCTTATAGGTAGACGTTTTTCAGATCCAGAAGTACAAAATGAAATACCTCATCTTGGCTATAAAGTTATAGATAAAAACAACCATCCATACGTCGAAATAAATAATAATGGAGTAATAGAGCACTATTCTCCCGAAGAAATTTCATCAATGATTCTTTACAAGATGAAATCAGTTGCAGAATCCTACTTAGGATACCAAATTAACGAATCTGTTGTCACAGTTCCCGCATATTTCAATGATAATCAACGAAAATCTACTTTTGATGCCGGTAAAATTATCGGATTAAAGATAACTCGTATAATTAACGAGCCAACAGCCGCATCTCTTGCTTACGGACTTGATAGGAAAAATCAAGACTCCGTAAACATCTTAGTTTACGATCTCGGCGGTGGCACATTCGATATTTCACTTCTTACAGTCGAAGACTCCTTCTTCGAAGTTCTTGCAACGTCAGGAGACACTCATCTTGGCGGAGAAGATTTCGATATCAGATTGGTCGAACACTTTGCAGATGTTTTTCAGCGCAAGACAGGCAAGAATCCCAGAAACAATCCTAGATCAATGGCTATCCTCAAACGCGAATGCGAACACGCGAAAAGAGTTTTAACATTTGAACATCAAACACAGATAGAAATAGAAAACTTCTATGAAGGATTATCATTCTCAGAGCCATTAACAAGAGCCCGCTTCGAAGAACTCAACATGGATCTTTTCAGAAAAACAATACAGCCAATTACTCAAGTTCTCGACGATGCGAACCTCATGAAACACGAAATCGACGAAATAGTACTCGTGGGTGGCTCTACAAGGATCATAAAGATCCAGCAACTCGTCAGAGAGTATTTCAACGGTAAATCTCTTTGCAAGTCGATCAATCCGGATGAAGCAGTTGCAAACGGAGCAGCTGTAGAAGGCGCAATTCTCAATAACGAAGTCGATATTTTACTTCATAATATTAACCCACTTACATTAGGTATAGAAACGGTTGGTGGCCTTATGAGCGAGGTCATCCCAAGGAATACTCGCATTCCTGTCACTAAAACTCGTACGTTCTCCAATGCAGAAGACGATGATGATACAGTTACTATACAAATCTACGAAGGTGAGCGACCATTGACACGCGATAACCATTTCTTGGGCAGTTTCGACCTTAGTGGGCTTCCTCCTGGCCCACGCGGAACAGTTTTGTTCGAAGTCAGTTTTGAGCTCGACCAAAATAACATTTTAACCGTTTCTGCTAAGGATATATCGAGCGGACATGAGGAGAGTATAACTATTAGTGCTAACGATAACCGTCTGGATAGCGATGAGATGGAAAATGCGATAGAAAACGCTCAGCAATGGGAGGAAGACGATGAAAAACTTCGCTCTCAAATTGTGGCGAAAAATAAATTTGAAACCGCAATTGCTCGAGCCTTCTTGAAGTTAGGAGAGACTGACTTACCTGAGGAGAAGCGCGAACACTTGGAAAAGCGCCTCAATGAGGAGAAAGAGTATTTGAAAGATACAGAAGACGATGCAGAACAGATTCTTGAAAGATTCGATAAATTAGGTGAGGAAGTGTCTTTCTTGTTTACAGAAAAGGATGAGAAGGAAATGAATACGGACGAAATTTAGTTATCTCTTTGTTATTGTTATCCAAAATTAAATTTATGTTATGAAATTAATATTTTTCATTGTGGAACTATTATATGTTAAAAACACTAAATTTTAAAGATATAGTTCATAATAAGAGTTTATAAAATAATAACGAAATCTCTGTTGTTATTATATCATGTGGCCAAAAGTAGTAAAACTTTGTTATTATCTGATACTCCGTTCAAGCATACATTTTATAGTTACCAAAACAAAAATCAAATGATCTGAAGATGTCTCGAAATTGTCAATGTTAAAAATCCATCCATGGAATAATGGATGCTCGTAAAACTAGTATGGGCTATCTAACCATGCTATTTTTACAGTTATACTAGCTTAGAAATTTTCATTGTAAGACAAAATATGCTAAATCAATTGATTTTTCTTTGATAAACAACTTCATTAAAAAAAAAAAAAAAAAAAAAAAAAGGAAGTGGGGCTTCCAGGCACTTCGTGCCTTCTAGCCCTGATGTTGATGTTTAGTATAAATGAAGTTTTTATTCGGAGGACTCTTCTTCTTCCTCCATTGCTTCTGGGAAGAAGCCTTCTTCTGGGTCGAAAACATTATATAATGTGTCGCTTTTCACAAATTATATATGTTTTCATGTTTTGTCACTTTTCTGTCACTTTTCAGGGAAAAACATTTTTATTATTATATATAAATGAATTTTACAAAACCACCGTTACCGTTCTTTGGAAATAAGAGTAAATGCAAAGATATTATATTGAGAGAACTTAAGAAACTACCGAATGGTCTAACATTTGTAGATTTGTTCGGTGGAAGTTTCTATATATCCCATTTGTGCCATACAATATTCCCAGACTCAAAGATTATATGCAATGACTTCGACAACTATATGGACCGTCTCAAACATATTCCAGACACAAACAATATATTGAAAGAGTTAAAAGAAAAGATACCTATAGGTAAGATGGAACGTATACCATTAGATAAGAAAAATATTGTGAGAGAGGTTTTGAAAAAAGCAGAATATATAGACTGGGATAGTATATCTGCTAGACTATTATATAGTGGTGCTATAAGAGTTCATGACATTGAAACACTTATGTCAAAAGTTTTATATCTTAACTATACAAATGTTTTCAAAGAGGACATAGAAAAATATATTGAGGGTATAGAGTTTGTGAGATGTCATTGGACAGAGTTGTATGAAAAATATAAAGACAAAGAAAATGTTTTCTTTATAGTGGACCCGCCGTTCTATAACACATGGGATTTTCAATACCAAGTAGACTGGACTTTGAGAGACTCTTTAGAAACTTTAGACGTTTTACATAACCATCCATGCTTTTACTTTACATCCGATAAAAGTGGTTTGGAAACCGTTATGAGATGGTTAGAGGACATACATGACTATGAGTTTATATATGACAAGATAGAATATGAGAGAGGTCCTATAAACTGGAGAAAGTGTCACAATAAAGAAATTTTATTAGTAAGTAAATGTGGTTTGAAATAGGACTACTTGTTTTAGGTTTTTTCCATTGTGTCATTTATTTCTTTGACGTGGCAGAAAAGTACAGAGAATATGAAGATGAACCAATGCCTGCAAATGTTCAGTATATGTACTCGTAAGAGATATTTTTATCTAATATTAAATGGACGCACAGAACTTAGCGAATGCACAGCAACCTGGACAACCAAACCCAGAGAATATTCCAAATGAAGTTAGAATACAAACTGCAATGGCAAACTATGGTCAAGTGCCAACAGATGTACAAATGCAAACTGCCATGTCAAATGACGCTGCGTTAGGTTTGCCACCATGGTATGCAAATATGAGATGGAAAGAGTTTTATACAAACCCTGAAGTGGGATATAAACAACTTTATGCAGATGACGCGAACACAGGAGTTGACCCAGAATATGTTTTCTACCAGAGGAGAAACAGAATGTATGAGCTCCAGTTAAAGAATGCTATGGAACTCAACAGGAAACGTAAGAGACTAGGTGGACATTAGATTTTTACATATAGTAAAATGGGTTTCTTCAGTAGTATTGGAAACTTCTTTCGAAATGTTGGAAGAGGTATATGGAATGGAATAAAATCTGTCGGAAAAGGAATTTGGAACGATGTCAAAAATATTGGTAAAAGGGTAGGTCAGTTTGTTGGTATTATACCTAAAGACCCTGAACCAGAAGAACAAGCTCCTGTTATACAACAGCCTGAACCTGCACCACAGTCTAGTTGGCAACCAAATCCAACACCTCAACCGTATTAAAAAATTATATTTTTACCGTTCGATAGTAGTTGTATATGAAACTAAGTTCTAAGTAAAACGCATGGTATAATGGAATTATTCTTTTTCTTCCATCTGTAGTAAACCATACTTGAAAGTCTGAAATACTTCCACTTGGTGGTTCGTATAACTTTGTAGGTTTTTTCGTAAAAGTCATTTGCCAAGCATAAGAAAGAGTTTTGGGCGCCAGAAAATGAAGCATGAACAATAATAGCAGCTGGGTCGAAAACATCTTTAAATAAATATGGTTCATCTCTTGCATATCGACTGTAAATATTTGCTAAAGGAAGTTCGACTTTCTGATTTAACATTCTTTGCAAATAATACCATGACATTGCAGTGAATTCTGTATATATTTGTTCGTCTTTCTTTGGATTGTCTTCGTAGATTTGAAATGACACTTGTGAATTTTGTTTGTCATATACAATTCTCACATAAAGTGTGCTCTCGGTATTTGCATATTCATCAGCATATTTTGCATAACATGAATTTATTTTATCTTCTATATTTTTTAACGCAGTCTGTAGAGAAGATGAAAGGTCAACTTGTATTAGCTCAATTTCTTCCCACATTTTTCGTTTCCCTTCAGATATATAATCTATATGAAACCTTACAATAAATGGAAAACTTTTATCTTCTACAGACACAAACTTCATTCTACGAAAGCCAATAGCTTTTGTGACAGATGGGTCTCTTAACCATCTTAATGGGTAGTCAAAACGATAGCCTTCATGCTTTACGGTATCTGTCTCAAACTTTTGACCTACATTAGTAAAAAGTTCATCTAATGGTTTAGTTGTAGCAACTCTAGAATTTTCTTTTTCTATTGAAAGCATATTTTATCTAGAATAAAAATGTCGAAAGATATTGCTTCCATGAGAGAAATACAACACAACCGACAACTCATTATGCAAGCTCTAAATAAGAACACAACAAACTTTTCAAACTATTCTAAGATATCTGAGTCATTGAAAGAAGGAAACTTAAAACTGACATTAAACCCAATGACAGATGAGTTTCTGTTTCAAGACAATAAGAACCATACTGTCTGTATAAATCCAACAAAAGGAACTTTAAACGAGAAACCTATAAATGAACTTCTTTTGAAAGCAGATGTTGACAACAAAGCTGACAAAGAATATGTAGACGATGCAATAGCAAAAGAAGAAGAAAGAGCTAACAATGCTTATGCAACAAAAGAACATACTCATCCTGAACTAGCAGACAAAACATATGTTGACAATAAAATGTCAAGTGAAGTGACAAGAGCTGAAAACGAATATTCTAAAAAGACTCATACACATTCTATATCTGAAATAACAGACTTAAACGTTAGCCTTGAAAAGAAAGCGGATAAGGATTGTGTGGCTAGTGCGTTAGAGAAGAAAGCAGATAAGGAATATGTGGATGAAAAAGATAACGAAATGAAAGAAAGGGTTGACTGGTACCATGAACGGACATCGAAGATTTTAAAAACTAAAGCCGATACAGGATGGGTTTCAGGATGTTTAGACCTTAAAGCAGATAAAACTTATGTTAACGATGAGTTAGAGAAGAAAGCAGATAAGACTCATACACATACAAGTTTTACAACTGTTGCTATAGAAAGTATTGAAGGAACGGTTGAAGAAACTGGTGGGGATGCAATATATTGTAAACCTCCTAACTTTCCACAAGGTTTAACATCGGATGACAACATAACGACGATGAGAAACATTAGATGTAAAGATGTTTATGTCATGAAGGATGAACATAATATTAAATTCACTGCTCAAGATTTATATGACAAGAAAGCAGACAAAACAGAGCTTCAAACATTAAAGACAGAAATGCTTCAAACATTATATCCTATAGGCTCTATTTATACGTCAATGAACTCTACCAGACCAGAAACAGTTCTGGGTTTTGGAACTTGGACTCAAATAGTCGACAGGTTTTTGTATTGTGCAAACTCTTCAAAGGAAACAGGTGGAAGTAAAAAACGATTTCAGGTGAAAATTTACCTGCACACAGTCACTACATAGATTTAAGTACATCTCAAGCAGGTTGGCATAAGCATAGATATTGGGATTGGTCAGCAATGACAAAGGTAAAGGATATGATGTTAAAGACAACGTTAAGTTTGCTATAAATTGTTACTGGAGTAACACTGAGGGAGGAGGAAACCATACACATCGCGTTTCGGGATATACGCAAACAACGGGACAAAGTAAAGACTACATGCCACCTTACATGACAGTTTACGCATGGTATAGAAATGCTTAGTCGTCATTTTCAACTTCTTTAGCATATTCGTCAGGAGTTGTCTTATATTTGTTAGGAACTGTCTTTGAAAGTATAACCTTGAACTTTGACAAGTTTGAAACGAGGTCTGACAATAGTAGTTTTATCTTCTGCTTGCAGTGTGTACATTTTGCCATGTTTGCCTAAAACTTCATAATATTCTCTTGTATACTTTCTTCTATTTTTACGAACACGAATGTGAGTACCTGTCGAGTTCCCATTGTTGTCATAGTCAATAGTATTTTCATATGGGTCGCGTTTAGGTATTTCTATTTTTACTTTGTCACCTTTCTTAAGTTTGAAGCCTGGCATTCTTTCTTGTTTGTCTCTTTTGACTAAATTATTAAATATATAGTCTTTCTCTAAGTCAGGGTTGTTTTTCATTTCTTCGGGGGAGTGGTTTCCCAAACCTTTTTGTTTACGGTTATTGTAAATATTTAAAACTTGTCTCATCTTTGCCTGGGAGAAGTGTCTATACTTGTCGTCATATGACATTTCATTTGCTTCACCACCTTGTGGTTGGTTTAAGTCTCTTAACATTTTTATACAACCGTCAATGACACCAAGAGCAGAATGGTTTTGGTCGACAATGAAATATTGGTTTACATTTTTTGAACGCAGATAGTTTTTTACATCATCTGATTTGAAAGAACTTTCACAGTCAGATGTCAGTTTTGTTGGATGGTATTTGTCAACGAATATTGTCAAAGCAGTTTTCACATCTAAAATATTTTTGGACCATAATGGTATGGCTTCACAGTATCTTGTGTTTTGACCGACAAATATTAGCCAGTATGGTGGTCCATCTGTTCTAACTCTCGGAATGTTTTCCAAGATATCCATAAACCAAGCATTTGGTGTTGAACTAAAGATTTTTATCATGAGTGCTTTCTTTGTCGCTTTAGAAACATAGGGGTCCTTGTTTGGATTCGTCATTTTTTAACCCATAAGAAATGGGTTTATTTGGCGCATTAGCAGGAGTTGCATCCAGATTTTTGCCCGCAGTGGGAACAATAGCCAGAGGTGTATTTGGAGTTGGAAGGAAGATTTTGAGTACATTAGGTATACTTAAAGAGAAAGCACAACCTATTATACAAACTGTACAGAAAGGTTGGGATGTAGCACGAGATGCAACAAATCTTATTCCAAATCCTGAAACAAGAGGAAAAGTTCAAGGATGGATGGACAATGTAGGAAGACAAGCAGGAAACTATTATAACAAAGCAAATGACTACTATAACCAAGCAGGACACTATATGGACCAAGGTGAAAGATTCTTTAACAGAGGATATAACCATGCACAACAGTGGGTAAACAATAACCAACCGCAACCGCCTCAAACGTGGGGAATGTAAAGTTTTTTACTGAGATGAAATGAACAATACAGCATTGAGACAAATGGGTTCAAGATGGATTTGTCGACTTCCAGCAGTTACACCACGTGTTTGTCAAGTTCTTCCTATACCTCAGGAAGTTTTAGACCGACTTAAAAAACAACAACAACCAGTTGAAAACAAACCAAACTAAAATTTTTTACTGAGATGAAATGACCGAAGAAGTTGAAACGGTAGATTTGACACCACAAACAAAAAGTTCAGAACCATTGTCAAAACCTGTCAAAGAACTTACAGATGAAGAGAAAAATTCAATAATAGAAAGTGCCAGGTCTGGAAATACAAACCCTAACTATAAAGTCACTTTTCATAGAAATGGAACGGCTAGTATCTCAAAAAAGAAACAGACTCTCACAAATAAAATATTGAAGTCTGAAGGAGCTTTCGAGACAACAGATGGAAAAGTTTACTTCACTGACCAACAGTTCATTATAGAACATCTCATTGACTTAGAGTCGAAATATTCTAAAACTTTACAACAAACACAAAAGTTGAAAGGAAAACAAAAAACAAATGGCATATGATATTTATGAAGATGTTGACGACACAACTGTTCCTGCAGGTGTGGGAAAAAATCAGATGAACCGAAAAGTGACGAAAAACGATAGAAGAAGAGAAACCAAAAACTGAAGATAAACCAAAACCAAAGTTTAGTTTCCAAACTAAACCAAGTCAACCTTCATTAGCTGGTATGGGTTGGCGTCAAAGACTTATGGCAGCAGGTGGTTATGTTAAGTAAAGAAAAAAATATTTTTTATTTTTATAAAAATGCCCCCATATAGAATGGATAGAAAATCTGCTAGAATAAAAGCAGAGTTAGAAAGATATGGTTGGAAAGTTTCGAAGAATTTTAAATATAGGAAGGGAAGACCATAAAAGTCTATGACAAACTGGCTGGTCTTCGCTACGAAATGGATTTGGAAACAGCACGTGCAAATTATCCAAAAACAGACTAGAGAGGTTAGAAGAAGAACGTCTTATGGACATGCCTTTCGATGTTAGTGAACATTGCATGAAGTAAAAATTTATTTAAAAAAGTGACATTTTTTATTTTATTTGAAAATGCGCTGAGTTTGTTGGAGAAGACCGTTGGGAAACTTGTTTGTTAGATGAGAAATATGAAATTCACTGTTGTGAGTCATTTGAAGTCAGAAACAAAAAGACAAAAAGAGTTTTAAGCGAATGGGAGCGAAATGACGGATATGCTATTATGAAGATGGGTGGAAAACACTATCTTAAACATGTTGTCATTGCAACTCATTTTATACTGAATCCTAACAATTTACCTTTTGTAGACCATATAAACCGTATAAGAAACGACAATAGACTTGAAAACTTACGTTGGGTCACTTGTTCTGAAAACAATAAGAACAAAGGCAAATTTGGAGATATTGTATTTCGAATTTGTCGACGAACTAGAAGATAAACAATTAAAATTACAGACTATGGCAAGCATACGTTTGAGTTTTACTACTATAGCGAAGAACAAGACTCTTTCTATTTTATACCGGCGTAAAACTATAGGAAATTACAAGTATATTTTACTAAGGAAGGCTATGCTTATGTAAACACTAGAGATACAGATGGAAAAAACGTTCAAATACTTCTTAACAAATTCAAGAAGCTATATGGCATACCATTTTAAAACAATATATTTTTTACATATATTAAATGCTTCAGGTTGAAAACAAAGAACAAAAGTAGCAGATACAAAAACCGTTAGACTATATCTTTACAAATGCTGTAGGACAATATCAGATGAAAAATTTCATCCCGAACATACAGGTTTGACTATCCAATTCGTTGGCTTCAAAGTCCTTCAGATGCAAAGGCAATAGGATTTAGAAGAGTTTGTTTTCAAATAGAACTAACGCATTATGTTCGTAGTATATTTTCATGGGCAGTAAAAGGTTCTGGTGGTCTAATAGACAAATTTGACGAAATGAGAATCTTTACAGTTCGTTCAGACGAAAGTCTTGAGAAAACTCTAAATGACTTTCAAACTCAAATGAACAAATATTATTGGGAATTTCAAGAAAAATACGACTCTTTACTAAATGGAACATACTATCTGAAACTAGAATATGACAAGATGAACTCCACCGTTTCATTTCAAAAGATTGAAATTAACCCTCCAAGAGATACAGAGTTTTTATTTTGGGAAGTAGACAAACGTTCTTGGGCACAATTTCTTCGGTTACTAAACCAGAACGAACCATTACCACAGAATGGTCCATTTAAATTTATACTTCCACCAGCAGATTTGACAGTTTATAGAAACGTGTTTGACCTCAAAATGTTATGTGTCATGCAAGTTTCAGTTCAAGCAACAATAGTTTTCTATGTATTGGTAAGGACTTTTATGACTTTGCTTCTAAATTCTACGAACCACCTAGTAACAGTTTCTCTGACTTTCAAGTTTGGTTCACAACAAATGGTGTGCAACATATTATTCCATTGTACTATGACTTTTATCTCGAATTGTCTTTCATATATAACTACGGAAAAGTGCTGAAAAAGTATTGAATGTGAAGATATTAGAAAATAACATTTTTCTAACATCGTAGAAAACTCATGAAAACAATTTATTTTTGTGAATATGTAAGCGGCTCATAGCTCAGTGGTATGGGCTACCTCGTTAAAGGCGTCGAAGACCTCGGTTCAAATCCCGATTCGCGCAGGTTTTTTCCTTTTATGCAGTGAAATTTCATGTACATAGGTTACTTTGGTGTTAGACCCTAGTGAAGAAAATAGAACGATATAAGTTTACATTTGTAAGGTTACTTTGGTGTTAGACCCTAGTGAAGAAAATAGAACGATATAAGTTTACATTTGTAAGGTTACTTTGGTGTTAGACCCTAGTGAAGAAAATAGAACGATATAAGTTTACATTTGTAAAGTTGGACGATAAAAATCTCTGCTACTGTCAGTAAAAGTACTGCTACTGTCAGTAAAAGTACTGCTACTGTCAGTAAAAGTACTGCTAATGTCAGTAAAAAGGAAAATTTGAGAGGGTTTTCGACGATAAAGTACTGCTACTGTCAGTAAAAGTACTGCTACTGTCAGTAAAAGTACTGCTACTGTCAGTAAAAGTACTGCTACTGTCAGTAAAAGTACTGCTACTGTCAGTAGCAGTACTGCTAGTAGCAGAGATTTTTATCGTTGGTGGTCCGACGGTTAAGCCACAAACGAATGTCCCACGTCCCACCAACCCAGTCCATTCCCAAACCAGAGGAACCTAAAGCACCAGCCCCTGCACCTCAGTTCCAGCAAGTCCCTCCACCAAATTACTACCAATTTCCACCTCAAGGTTACTACCAATTTCCACTACAAGGCTTCCCGAACTACCCTCCTCCTCAGCCTATGCCTTACTTCCCCAACCCTTGGATGTTCCAGCAAGCTCCACCCCAGCAATTCCAATTCCAATCTCAATCGAAGAGAAACCAAGACTTCGAAGAAGGCCTGAACCGTTTACGCAAAGAGTATGCCACAGCCCCTATGGAAGACGACAGGCTTTCAGTCTCTTCCCTCAAATCGACCGATTCGACTCGTACCACAGATTCGGTTCGTGACCGTGAAGACTACCTCAAGCAGTCTGAGAGACTCTTCATCCTACAACCATTTACAGTTGGAGCTCTCAAGAACATGCGCAATTACGAAGGTCAGACACCAGCTGGAGACCGCAAAACAGACATACTCGCAAGAGCAGTCCAACTGGTCAAGACAAAGACCGAGATAGTCGACTTCATTCTTGCAGCTTGCCCATACAAGTAAAAAAATAAACAATTACGAGTTAAACTTTTTATTCTTTCTTTTCTGAGTTGTTTAGAGCTGGTTTCTCTTGTAGGAACCTTTCGTACTCTTCCATGGTCATGTAATTGCGAATTTGGTACGCAATTCCAGGTTCGTTGTTTTTGAACCTTACGTATGTAACGCTTCCATCCTCCGCAGGGAAGTAAGCTGCTAACATCTGACCAAGTTTTCTCGGTGACTCGGAGCTCATAAAAATGTCACTTTTTAAATGTTAAGTTTTTAGTCTTATTTTACCCTTTGTTTACCCTTTGTTTGTCAATGTAGTATTGGAGTGCAATTTCTCCAAATTCTCTGTGTCGGAGTTCTTCAGCATTTTCCAAGGTGTACCTGGAGAACTCAAAAAAGTTGTCAAGAAGATACTGCCATGCTGCTCTTCTGAGTTCGTCGGTATTTTGGAAGTGTTGCACCTTCGAGTCTTCGGACATGAAAAAATGACACTTTTTCTATTAAACGTTTTGGCATTTCTCATGAGTGAGTATAGTTCTGCCGAACCATTGGAAGAGAAGAAGTACCCTTGCTGGCAAAAGACAAAAATAGTTGCCTTAGTTGTCATTGGCAATTGTACTCGTAATTGAATTCATTGTACTTCTCTTCACGTACATAAACTCAGCAATGGTATTTGCTTTAAGAAGCTACCATCTTACTAAGACTAAACACTTAGATTTTTCAAGCTTGACTTTTTACAATTTGAATTTTGTCATAAATTTACACCAAAAATAATGTTTAGGTGAAGAGGTGAGATTTCACCTCTTTTTTTTCACCTGTGTTTTCACCTCATGAATTTTCATGATTTCATCGTAAATGTTTTGTCGAAACTTCATCGTAATGAGCGTAAATGACCCAAAAATAATGTTTAGGTGAAGAGGTGAGATTTCACCTCTTTTTTCACCTGTTTTTTCACCTCATGAATTTTCCCGAAATAAAAAAATAAAGTTAGTTTTTTATTTTTTATTTTATTTATTTTTTTATTTTGTATAAAAGATATGATTTTCAACAATCGGCACAACAACACTTTCAAACAACAACAGCACCAAACTCGTTAGTCATGAATCCAACATCTATGTTGGTAGAGATGAAAAACTTCATTCCTTCTTCATATACTTTCGAAACAAAAATCCAGAAGATAAAGCAGGAATTGTTAACAAGTAATTTAGACTGTACCGCACAGGATGAAACAAATGAACAGTATCTTTATGAAATGCAGGACATTATTGACCATTTACCCAAATTGCCTGAAATTCAGCAGCAAAAACTCACTATTCCCGAATTTGACGAAATTGAAGTGAAACCAACTGACTCAGTAGAAATAAAAGAAGTTCATTACGAAAGGTAAATTATGAATTCCTTGGTTTTCATTGCAACCATAAGGTTATGGACAAAGATTGCGACATGTTATATAAGAACATCTCTGACCTTTACAAATCTGAAGAATTTAAGACCTACGACAACTTTGTTTCATTAGTTGCAAAATGTGTATGGGAAATAAGAGATAAAGATAGTAGGGTAAGGTATGGAATGAACAGATAAGACCCGCTATGTTTGAGATGAAGAGAGCAATTGACGCCTTTGGTTGTTTTAGCAGGTAAGGTTTCAGAATATAACGCAAAAATGAATCCGCAATGTTCTAAATGTAAAGCAGCAATGAGGAGATATAACTACTCCGTCAAAGAGATAGAACGTATGCGAAACGACTATGCAGACTTAAAGAAAGAAGCAGAAAAACCCAGCAGAAAATAAAATGGATATGTTAGAATTTCTGAACAAAAAACTATCCAACAGCAGAAGATTTCCTATTATCTGACGTCAAGAAGAAGTATAAAGAAACTTTCGGTATCGTTAAAACATTCGATATCCTCAGCGAAGAAATAGAAGCTACAAAACTGTTTAGGATTTCAAATATACATCGTACAATTCATGTAAAACGCTTATAAAATAACAGGTGAGAAAAGAGGTGAAAAAACAGGTGAAATCTCACCTCTTCACCTAAACATTATTTTTTGCTGAATTCAGCAACAAAATTCTGAGTAAAATAATTTTTAGGGCATGTGTCAAACCGTTGAGTTTTCACAAAATTTAAAAAATAACTGGGGTGAAAAATTAGGTGAAAAAAGAGGTGAAATCTCACCTCTTCACCTAAAATATATTTTTATTGAATTCAGCAACAAAAACAGTGAAATTTCTCTAGACTGACTTCTTTCGGGGTCGCCAAAACTCTTTATTTTTCAAGCTTGACTTTTTACAATTTGAACTTTGTTTGCGTAGATATGAATTCTGAAAGAAGTATGAGGGTCTTGTATGACTTTATACTTCTCCCATAGTTCATGTCTGTCAAACTTACCTGCCATGGACTCTTTCATAAGTTCCATGAAATCGTCTTCGGACAATCCAGGGAAAAGTATTATGTCAGTCAGTATTCTCTTTACATCCTTACTTAAACTCTTTGCTGTCTGTACACATATTACGACTGAGATGTTAAAGTGTCTGAGCTTCTTAAGAATTCGACACATGTCTTGTTCTCTATTCTTTAACAAAGGATGAGAAGCAAAGTCATCTAAAATAAGAAGACATCTATGAGGGTATGTCTTCCAATCGTAAGATTGCAATTTCTTCGAAATGTATTCTATCTCTTTCTGTTTGTTTCTGAAGTGTTTCTTCTCTAATATTCTCTGCATTTCCTCATTTGGGTCTTTAAACTTAGAATTTATATACTCATTTATAGCATTATACTTCAAAACTCTTCTTTGGTACTTCTTTATCCAATCTAACAACTCAGTATCCTTTATACATACTAACTTAGACTTCTTTATAATATCTTTGAACGAATTGACGGTTTGGTCAAATTGACCAGAAGTACTACAAATGACTACTAACTCATAGAATGGGTTCTTCTCATCTAGTTCTTGTTGTTGTGCAGCCATTTTAAGATAAGTGAAAGTCTTACCCGACCCAGGTGGTGCGATTAGACCTGTTATACCATTCTGAGCAAATAAGAACTTGTCATGTATAGGCTTTATCTGAGCATTTTCCAACTTCCTCTTGTTCTTGTTTAAAACATTCTCAAATTTCTTGTCAATGTCAGCAAACTTTTTTTCTAACATATTTTTAGAAAAATTAAAATTTTTATCTTTTAGAAAATGTCTAGCGATTTCGCTATCTATATTCGAGACAAACTTTTTGACAGCAAAACATCTGTCGACCATAAAATCTTACATAGTGTAAACAAGAAAGGTGAATTTGTTCTAAAGTTCTGTTTCTGGGAATATGACAAGAACCATAAAACATTACAAAGAGCAGTCTTAAAATTTGTCAATGACAGACTTGTTGACAGAGATGACGCCGATTGGAAAGATGAAGTCCAACAAAAGTTCTTAGAATGCAAAGAAGGCACATGCGCTGTTCTTGAAGATGAAATAGAAAACAGAATAGAAGAGCTATTAAAGGACAAAGAACTTTTACATAAATATGGTTGCGCCAAATTTGACATAACTCCACCAGAGAAGAAGAAGAAGAGAGAAAAGAAAGAAAAGAAAGTAGAAGAAGAGAAGAAAGAACCTGAACCAGTTCCAGAGAAAAAGAAATTTGACATGTAAAAATAAAATTTTATTTTTAGAACATTTCTGGGTCAATGTCAATGTTCTCTTCCTCTTTAGGAGTAAACACTGGCTTAGACTCTAAAATCTTTTTACCCAATTTACCTTGAACTTCAACTATCTTAGACTCATAATATTCATAGTCGTCTGCTTTCTTTGGTTCATAAGGTATAACAAGTTTGTATGCTTTACCTTCTTCGAGTTTGAGAACTTTCTGTCAAAATTTTCTTTGACTGTTAACAAACCTTCTATGTCTAAGTCTTCAAATTTCGCACCATTTTTAGTCACAATAGCAAACTTAACTGGTGCAATGTTTCCAAATTTTGTCAAATGTAGACTTTTCAAAATTGTAGAAGTAAACATTCAAAATGTGAATGGAGCTAACTTATCTTTGACTTCTGTCATGTACTTGTTTACTGAGATGAATTTCGTCATCTTTTCTATCGGATAAAAAATATTTTTTTTTAAAATTTACTCAGAAAAATTTTTCTTTGTATATACACCATTCTGAACATCTAAAAGACTTTTGACATTTGCCAAGAATGTACGTTTAGACGCTGCCATATAACCATATTCTTGACAATATTGTTTATACGAATCGTACAATGACCTTTCATCTAATGACACAAAGTCAGTTTCATCTATGAACAGTTCATATACACTCTTGTTTGCTTCTAACAATGTTTGTCTCTCTTCGGTATGTGGAATTTGTCTTGGATTGAACTTAGAAATATCTAATGTCATGAAATATGAGAACAAGTGGTTGTAAAAGTCAGATGTCAAACATTCTGACAAAGCGTCAAAATATTCTGTATCTTGCATATGAGAATCTGACGTTCTGACAACTACATATCTTCTGTCAGAACTTTCTAACTTCATCGGAACAACATTGTTTGAAACCATAATGAAGTTTGCAACATTTTCACAAACTCTTGAGTCTTTATACTTTCTTTCAACAACTCCAACTTTGTCTGTTATAAGACTCTTCAAAGCATCTGAGTTTAAAACTTTTGTTGTATCTATACTTTGAAGTTCATTGCAAACTATAAGTTTCATATTCTCTATTGAGGAGTTAAATTTACCGCAGATGTTTTCTAAGTTTGTCATATTCGGGTTCGAATAGCCCTCTAATAGTTTGCATAAGATATCTGTAAAGAATGTGTTCTTACCTGTTCCTTGTTTTCCAATTATAATGAGAGCAGTTTCATTTTTAGCACTTGGATGTTGTAAGATGTTTGCAAACCAACATAAGATATACTCATAGACTCTTTCGTTTCCATTGCATATAATTTCTTTGACATGGTCTAACCAAGCTTCTATAATATTTCTTTCCATTCTACTTGTTCATATTTATATCCAGTGAAGATAGAATAGAAGTTTGGAGAAGGTGTATAGAACTTTATACCTCGAACTGAAAAATCTTCTAACTTTGACAATAAGATATCCCAAGCATCTAACATCTTCATGCCAACTTGTACGACTTTTATTTTCTTAAGTTTCTGTCTACATTCTTGTTCTGAAACTATTGTTGCTCTTGGTTTGTTAAAGACAACATCCCATTCTTTCATGACATAACATTCTGGGGCAGAGTCGACATAAATGACTAAACGTTTCAAATTTTCGACTGCTTTGTTATAGTCTCGAAATGGACACATATTTCTGAATGCTTGGAAGTCATAAAAATCTGAAACATCTATTCTGTACATTTTTATAAAAATAAAAAAAAATATTTTTTTATTCTTGACTTTGTTGTTCCATTTGTTGCATTTGTTGTTCTTGAGCTATTTGTTGTTGAAGTTGTTCTTGTAATACAATACTTTCACCAGTTGCATCTTCCAATTCGAAACTTTCTGCCGTCATTGACAAATACATAGGACATAAAAGTTTTACAGGAACAAAGTTTGCGTCAACTAATGTCAACGTTATACTTGCCAAAGTGTTTGAGTTCACTAAGGTTGAAAATTCTGCATTCGAATGAACAATAGGCAAACCAGCAGAGAAAGTATTGTTTATACGCATAAGTATCTTTTGGTCATAATAGTTTCTGTCAACATTCGAATAACACTTTGAACCTAAGTTTGAAACAATATATAAAATAGGTGTACTTAAAGTCAATGGAACAGACATTCCTTGTATGACACCTTTTCCTGTTATAGGAAACTGTTGGTAGTAAAAACCAGATATAAGTTTTGTATTATAGCTCATATTGTTTATAGTAAACTCAGTCGGACATCCAAACATAATGAAACCTGCTCTAGTTGCAGCACATGTTACACTCGTCCTTAAAGTATTAAATAAGTCAACAAAACCTGTTGGTGGTATATCTGAGTAAGTATCTTCAAAGGAGTATTTTTTACCATTCACAACAATAAAGTCTTCTGGTGTCAAAAGAGCAAAACAGGCTTTAGTCGTCATTGTGTTTAAGGTTAGTTTACAATATCGTCCTTGAGGACTTTGTAAGTTTGTTGTTATAGAATTATATGACTCAGGGTTTTTAGTCGTAATAGTATAAACCATTATGTCTTCTGCCATTTACTTAGCAAATAAATTTTAATGAAATGTTGTGGTCGTCAAATATTTTTATGACGTCTGGGAAACTATACTTTAAGTTCAACGTTTCACCTCCTTTCATAACGTATATCTTGTCAATGACATTATATGAAACACCACAGCAAGCAATGTCAGGTTCTATTTCTTTGATGTTTATATCGTCTGCCTCTGTCAAAAGTTTCAATAGTTCTTTCAAAACTTCATGAGGTGCGATGACATATGAGTTCACTTTTACAGGGTTGTGCTCAACCAAGTTTAACATTATACCCAAAGCTTGACAAATCTTCTCCTGAGTTTGAAGTTTGTCTTTCAGTTGTTGGTAGTCGTTTCGAATATCTGCAACAGAACTTAAGTCTCTGCTAACTTCAGGGTATGTTGGTTGTTCTTTTACAGGAACTATTGTTATACCATCTTCGTCTTCGTATGGTTTCCCCACTTCAACATCTCTTTCTTTGACATTGACAACAACACTTTGACTGTTTGTTTGAGTTGGTGAATTTAACTTCACATCTGCCACCGCCATTAAACCTTTTGAAACACTTACGCTTCTATTTTTCGGAAATGACATTTTACTTAGAATAAAAAGATGGACGTATTCGGATATCTTATTGAATTGAAGCAAAACAAAGTTTACACACACAAACAATACAAATACATTGACAGAATAGTTCTTTATACAAACAATGGTAAATGTTATAGAATAGCAATATTTGCTGAACCAAAATATTTCCATAAAGCAAAGAAAGTTGGTATAACTGAAATGGTGAAAGTTCTTGAAGCAGACAAAAATATAACAACAAAACTTACAGATATTTCTAAAGGTAAGTTTATAATACAATTTTATGTCAAAACTGGCGTACTGTCAATATTTGACGGAGAGAAGTCAGTTCAAGAACAACTTACTGACCTGCTGCCAAAATCTGCTCGATGGAAGCTGTCGTTATGCCAATCTGAGGAGCCCAGCAGGTTTCATCGAACGAATCTTCAAAAGAGCATCTTCCGTGAAAAGTGCTATTGGTTTTGTAAACTTCTTTGCTCTCAGTTCATCTGGACCGTCTCTGTCACCAGTATATTGTATTTGTACAGTACCAACAGTTGAAATACCACCCATAAAGTCTTCTGAGTCAGCAAATGGAATGCCAAGCCAAAAGTTTGAACGGTCTCCATTTGTATATTGAGTTTTTTGACCTCCTGTATGGGTCCATACTTTCACATATGGCATAATAGAACTTTGCATTTCAGGGTTAATGGTTGTTGTGAAGTTGTTGTTAAAGTTCATAGCATCTAATGTCAAGTTGTATGACCTCATATCCTCAACTGTAGAATATTCTTCTCTTGGATAATATTTGCCATCTATGTTTATATGATATTTAATACCAGGGTTGTAGAAACAAGAATAGTCATTTATAGTTCGTCTGAACAGTACAAACATAGTATCTGCATGTTTCATTGCAGTTGTTAAAGCAATATCTGTTCTTGCACCTGGGTCAGCACTTTGGTTTCCAACTTCACCTGCAAAGTCTTTGACAGATATTTGGTGTATAGGGAACATAAGTGGAACTGCAATATATTTGGCAGCTAAAGCATTTGAAATATCTGGGTCCAACATATAGACTGCAAGTCTGCTTTCTATTCTCTTGCATTCAAATTTTTCGCATGTGAACTTAACTGGGTCCCAAGCAGTTCCAGCAGCATTGAAATAATAGTTTACTTCAGTGTTTGAAGTTTGAGAAACCAAAGTCTAAGTCAACTTTGTCTTTGCAAAAGTCACAGAACTTGGCTCCACCAGTTCCAGCTACACAGTAAGAGTGAATGGGTCTTGTGTTGGTGCAATGACTAAGTTATTTTTGCTTGGAGTAAGTTCGATAGAAATTTTTCCTGCCCAGTTTGGCAAGTATCTTAAAAACCTGAAGATGAGGAAAGATGACAAAGGAACTCTAAGTTTCAGTTTTTACTTTAGTGGCAGCATTTCCATCTGAACCAGAAAGGTTAACATAAACTCCTGGAACGTTAGGGTCAAGTCTTCTTATTTTCTCAATAGTTGCATATTGGTCTGTTTGTTCTCTAGCTTGTGGTTGTACTGAGTTTCTCAAAGCGAACCATTCATAGTTTGCCCATGTTACTGTTTGAACTAAGTCAGAGTTAGAATATATCTTATATCCCATGAAAACTTCTGGAGCATATTGGTATCCGACATAGAAAATTCCATTGCAACCTTTCTTGTCAGACAACTTGGCAGAAGGTTTTATTTCAATGTCTTGTTCCACGTATAAGAATGAGTTGTCAATAGAAATTATATGAAACCTGTCGCAAGCAATATCTACTGTTGTTGAAGAACCTTCACCAAACTCACCTACATTTCCATAAAACAGCAGTTGTATATTCGTAAGTTCCAGGAACTATTTCTGACCTTCTAATGGCATTGTCGCATTCGTTATACCATTCGGAAACATTTCCATTCATGGCATCCAAAACTGTTGGCGTTATATTCTGAGCGGCGTACATTTCATATGGGTAAAAATATAGAATAGTTGGATTTATATATCATAATAGAACCCACTCGGACCAAGCTTTTACTTTGTTCTACTCTTCTTCTTTGGTGTCGCTTTTGGTAACTTGCCCTCTGCTTCAAGTTGTTGCATCTTTGCCTCATGTTCACCTAGTATGTTGTAAATTTCCCATGTCCTTTTTGCCTTTGGGCTCTGGTCGCCCATCTCAGGTAACCTATATCCTTGAAAGATTTCGTCATAGTTTGTATTTGAGTCTTCGCGTATTGTTTGCATGACTCTTTCCTGAGTTTCCGGTTCAAGCTCTTCAAACAGTGCCTGTCCATATGGAATAAGCTCGTTTCCAAATATATGTTTTTGTAGCCATTCTGGTTTTCTTTCCATGTTACCAATAATATCTTTTGTGAATGGGAAAGCTTTTACCCAATGTTTCAGTCTTGCGTCATTTATTTCTGTAGTTGGTTTTATTTTGTCAAGGAACATGTTTTTCAATACTAACATTTCATTTGGTACTGTCCATTTGAGTTTTCTTAAATATTCATCCCTTCTCGGTTCATTGTCTGCAAAGTAAGTTTTTATGACATTTTGTAAACTTTCGTTTGCAAGGTCATGTACAATAGGTTCTCTTCCTTCTCCCTCCCTAACTTTCTTTCTAAACTCTTCACCAAATATACCATCTTTATGGTTCTGTGTAGTTCTTTGAGATAAATGTTCTAGAACGTCAGGTGTTATATTTCCATCAGCCATGTTCATTTCATACTGGTCCAAAATATCTGCATCTTTCATATCTTTCAATGGCATTAAAGCCGCGCTGAAAATACCAGCTATATCTGGTTCACCATTCACTTCCATTGCGTCTACAACTTCTTGGAATTGTGGTTGTAAGTTTATGAACCACCTATCTGGGTTAGCTTTATGACCCCATCTCATTGTAGTTCCATAGTCTGCAGAAACAAAAGTAGGTTTGTTTCCATATTGGCTAGGTTCTGAATGAACTTTAAACAATGTTTCATTTCTATATGTTTTGTTGAAATTTAACCTTTTATTTTCACCGAGTTCATCCAAAGATTGAACGTTATATGCTCGTAAGTAAAAAGGATTGTTGTATTTGCGTACACTTTCTTTCAGTACTTCCATTCTATGCTGAATATTTTCATCTGGTGTTGGAGTCTTTTGTATGTCGGCGAACATTTTTCGATATTCTTCTACTATGTCAGCCGAATTTTTCTTAGACTCTTGGAAAGATTCCATATTCTCCGCATACACTTGTTGAGGGTCAAGATTTTTCGGCTGTTCCAAATCTTCATCTAGTTCTGTGAAGTTAGTTTCCAAAGGAGGGATTTGTTCGTTTCCTTCAGGCTCTTCTAGCTGTTGTTGCTGAACTATTTCTTCCATGTCTGGTTGTATCTGAACTTCTTCCTGTGGAGTTTCTTGTACCTCATCTGCTGGCATTTCATATATTCCGAGACCGTTTTTAACAAGTTCCCTATTTAAGCCATCCGCATTCATAACCCTTTCTTCTTTCGTTCCGTCTCTATTTTTTACGCGTTTCATGAAGATAGTTGAATTATCATTTATCTCTGACACCAAATATCTCGGAGTAAATTCAGTCATGTCATTTGGATGATATGCTATTAAATCATATCCCTTAGCGAGCTTGTATTTTCCAGGTTTGAAATTATATCCCATTTGGTGCTGAACCATAAAGCTAAATAGGTTCGGGTCAGTATTTCCTTCCTTGAACTTTCTAATAGCTTCTTTATATCTGTCACTAAAGTCAAGAGTATCTGGGTAACCATAATTTTCCTTAAGCATTTTTAAGAATTCTTGGTTTCCTTGTTCTCTACTTCTTTTATGTCCTTGCTCTGTTTGTGGTTGTGGTGCTGGATTTTGAACTGTTGGTTGTGGTGCTGGATTTTGAACTGTTGGTTGTGGTGCAGTGTTTTGAACTGTTGGTTGTTGTGTTGGTTGTTGTGTTGGTTGTTGTGTTGGTTTTGGTGCATGCCTATGTCTGTGTCCATGTGACGATGTAAATGTTTTTGGTAGTCCTGGTGCAGGTGCTTCTCTTGGAGGGTTTGGTGGTATATAAGTTCCACCAGCTGGCACATATGTTCCATCTGCAGCATAATGTCCTACCTGACTTTTCGTTTTTAAGAAAGCATTTACTAGGTCTGTTTTGGTCTGTTGTAACTCTTTTTCTTGACTTTCCACAACAGTTGCTCTAACGGCGTCATAGGCACTTTGAACTGCCTGTCTCGTTGCTGTATCTGTTATTTTCGTCATATTTTGTGCTACTTCTCTTAACTCTTTGTCGAAACCTTCAGACTTCAGTTTCTTTCCAGATGAGAAGTCGTTCACTAGTTTCACCTTACTATGAAGAGCTTCGAAGGCGTTCTTAAAGTCAGCATTCATTAAAGCTTCATTTGAACTGTCTTCATCCGCTTGTATTTTTGTCCTTATTGACCCTATAAGTTGGGCATGCTTTGGCGTGGCTTGGGCATCTAACCAGTCATTATTAGCTTTTATATATTCTGCGCTTTTCATTGCCTTTTGCATGGCTGCGTCGTTATTTTTACTTTCTTGTGCTAAGTTTTCATACTGTACGGTTTGGTTTTGCAACTGTAAAAGTTTTTCTGCCTTTACATTTGCTTCAACTTCTTTTTTATACTCATCGCTATCCATATATGTCTTCATGGCTTTTTGTTTTATTTCTTCATCTTTCAGTACTTTATATTGAGTAGTATGGTTTTTCAAATTTATAACATCTTGTTCCATTTTTGCTACTTCTGCTGCTTTTTCTGACACTTTTTTCGCATATTCCTCTGTACTTAGTTCTTTCAGTTGTTCTTCTTTCTTCTTTTTCTCTACGTTTAACTCATTTAGTTTCTTTGTGTGTCTGTCATATTCTAGTTTCTTTTCGTTTTCACTTATTTGTTTCTGTATGTCTATGTTTGACTTTTTGACATCTGATATTTGATTTTTGAGTGAACTCAAATTCATTTGACTTTGAGGGTTATAGGCTGTTCCGTCTGCAGCTCCACCATAGCCTGCCATTTTCGCTAAAAGTGCCGCTCTTAAACCTCCACTCTGTGCACCAAAAACTCGGTTTAAAAGCATAGGATTGCTTGACATTTGTTGCAACATAGTGGGGTCATTCATTATTTGTTGTTGCAACTGTTGTTGTGGTGTCAGTTTTACTATTGGATGTTTCAATGCTCTCTTCCTCTTACGTATATTCTTACGTAGCTTACGTGGCATTTTAAGTGAAGTTAAAAAGCGGTTTTTGACAGATGTTTATTGTGACTTCTTCGTAAAGACTTTATTGTGACTTCTTCGTAAATGAGTGTAAATGACCCAAAAATATATTTTAGGGTAGAAGGGTAGATCTAACCTCTTTTCTACCCTCATTTCTACCCTCTTGAATTTTCATGAATTTTACACCAAAAATATATTTTAGGTGAAGAGGTGAGATTTCACCTCTTTTTTCACCTCATTTCTCACCTCTTGAATTTTCATGAATTTCTTCGTAAAGACTTTGTTAAGACTTCTTCATCTAATTTCTCATGAACTTTCTTGTCTATGTTTTGTCAAGATTTCATCGTAAAGACTTTGTTGAGATTTCTTCGTAAATGACCCTAGTAGTATATTTTTGGTGTAAATTTCATGAAAATTCAAGAGGGTGAAAAATTAGGTGAAAAAACAGGTGAAATCTACCCTTCTACCCTAAACATTATTTTTGGTGTAAATTTCATGAAAATTCAAGAGGGTGAAAAATTAGGTGAAAAAACAGGTGAAATCTCACCTCTTCACCTAAACATTATTTTTGGTGTAAAATTCATGAAAATTCAAGAGGGTAGAAATGAGGGTAGAAAAGAGGTTAGATCTAACCTTCTACCCTAAACATTATTTTTGTCTGATTTTACGAAGAAGTCTTGACAAAACATTTACGTTCATGTTTGACAAAACATTTACGAAGAAGTCTTGACAAAACATTTACGAAGAAGTCTTGACAAAACATTTACGAAGAAGTCTTGACAAAACATTTACGAAGAAGTCTTGACAAAACATTTACGAAGAAGTCTTGACAAAACATTTACGAAGAAGTCTTGACAAAACATTTACGAAGAAGTCTTGACAAAACATGAAAACATATATAATTTGTGAAAAGCGACACATTATATATAATGTTTTCGACCCAGAAGACTAACAATTTTCCGAATAAAAAACTTCATTAATATTAAACATCATCAGGGCTAGAAGGCACGAAGTGCCTGGAAGCCCCACTACCTTTTTTTTTTTTTTTTTTTTTTTTTTTCATTTTGTGAGTTATTAAACAAAGATCAAAATGTACAAGCGAAAGTACAGATTCAAGCGCAAGCAAAAAAATTGAGTGAAAACATAAAAGTGGCAATTTTACGTCAATGAAATGGTTTTCGTTCGATACTCCCGATGCTCGTAAATTTTTTGAATCTTTTTTTCATCTTTTGATGAATCACTTTTGTAAGAAAAATTGTAAAATAACTATTGATTCATTATTATTAGCCATGCAAAAATATGCAATTTTTACCGCCAGAAATTCCATGTAAGAATTCTATGAATTTGGAACAAAATTAATTAAATTTATATTCAGGACTGTTATACTTAATATATTTATCAATTAAATTTGAAAATAAATAATCAATATATATTGACACTTTTTATAAAATTTATCGTTACTTCTCAATGCAGACGCGTATCGATTGTCTCGAGGAGTACACGATCATGGCAAAAGTAGGCGACGGTACGTTCAGCAATGTTTTTAAGGTCAAGAAGAATAGCACTGGTGAGATTTTCGCGATGAAAGTCATGAAAAAGCACTATGAATCAGTAGAAGAAGTTGACGCTAATGATGAGATCAGGTACATGCGAGAGCTCGGCGAACACCAAAATATTCTTCAATTGTACGATGTTATCTTTGAGCCTAAACTTGGAAGGTTATCTCTCGTTACAGACTTAATGGAGTTTAACCTCCTCAATTTGCTAAATACTCCGCACTTCTTCCCCGATGATGTTTTGTACTACAGCTACCAGCTTCTGAATGGCCTTTCTTACTTGCATTCTGCCGGCTTTGTTCATAGAGACATTAAGCCCGAAAACATTTTAATTAACTTACGATCAAGAGAGCTCAGAATTGGCGATTTTGGTTCTCTCGTAGAAGAGCCATGTAACTACATTCCAGGAGAATACATTACAACTCGCTGGTATCGTGCTCCAGAGCTTCTCTTGAAGTGTCCGACATACAATTGCGCAATCGATGTATGGTCTGTAGGCTGCGTCATTGCTGAAATGATATTAAAGCACCCTCTTTTCCCTGGCGGAGATACTACTTCCCAGTTGGAAATGATTCATAACGCTTTGGGTGCACCAACAGCAGAACTATTCGAGACAATGGCTGCCGATAGCCGCTACAAAGCAGAAGACTTCCAAAACGTTACGCCCATATCTTTAATAAATCGACTCGAAGTTTGCCCATATACAGATTTGGTTGCACTTGTTATGACAATGCTGAAGTACAATCCGTCCGATCGCGTCGATTCTGGAACAGCCGCAGCTTCAACTGTATTTGAAAGTTGCAAATACTCAAAATCTCTTTCTCGCGCAAGAGTTCTCGTTAAATCTACCCCAGATATCGGATTCCAAGGAGTCCAAATCAAGAAGCAAATTACAATCTCTCTAAAACCAGAGACAAAAGAAGCCCCTTCGCCTCTTAAACGCCAATGCGTTACATTCCCGAAGATATATACACCTAACTGCGGAAAGCATATTCCAGTGGTAGAAAAAATGCCCAAGAATAGGAGTTTTACAAATTTAGATGATTGAAATTCTTAGATTTGTCACTAATAAATGTTTATTTATGTTTATTAACAATTGAAACTTTGTTTTTAATTATTAATTATTCTATCCCTCAAAGCTTTATTCTTTCAAAATTAAAATTCATGCACAAAAATGCATTTTCTGCTCAATTACTGTTGCACATAGACCTTAATTCGGAATTTATATTCAATTACATCTTGTTTGTATGGTCATAAGCATTACTTTTATGAGCGATTCTTTTTGAAATTTTTTTCTCTTGTCATATGCACTTATTGATCAATCATCCTCACATAATAGTTATAAGACATTTCATTTAGAAGTTATTCTCATTATGATCACACTACACTACAATCATCTGTGGTTAAACTTACGATAATGACAGCTTGCTACTACTCTATCTCAAATACATAAAACTATTGCTGGTGAAAAGATATATCTGTCATTAGGTAACTCGAAGATACAACAGCTCGCAAAATTTCAAAGATAGAGCATATAATAAGTGCATTTCATTCATTATCTCTCAAGAGTTTTACATAGTCATCGAGTATGCTATCCATTTATCTTATTTACTCCGTTTATATGGTTTACATATTCGATTACGATCATTAAAATAATAGAATACTAAAGCAGGGATACAAAAATTAAGATACACTACTAATGGATGGCATGGTTTTATAACCGATTTCCTCAGAACTCTTTATACTTCACCAAAAATCGCTATAAAAAGAGTGAAAGGATAATTCACAAAAGTGAAACGTGTAAATAATTGCTATGTTTTTCATCTTGCGGGATCAAAAACTTAAATTAAAATAACCTTAAAATATTGAAAGGTTTATAAAAATTTTAAATTGTAATGGGAAATTCTTCGTCAGCTGGAGTGAAATCTAAAGAAACTAATAGCATTAATAGTGCCACATTTTCGCAACCATACTTTTGGCAGCGGTCTGCGGGCACTCCTTTTATAAAAGTTTCAGATTATATCACAAAAAGTGTGAAAACAAACATCTCTCCAGCTGACCTTTCCTATCTTTTATTAGGCTGCTGTGAACAGCTTAATAATATCCCACAATTACTTGAAACAATCATAACAGAACAAGATAATATCTCATCCAAGAATGATTCGAAAGATGGGGAACCGGATTTCTTACAAATTTTAAGATCAAATTACAGCTACTATGTCAATAATCAAGAAATTTCAACTTCAATTATTTCATCTTTTCAAATGTATTCGAATAAGATGTTTATGCCCTGGTCTTTTACACCTCCAAGGCATGGCAATAAGCTTGTATTACCGACCCTTGCTCAAATCTTTGATTCAATTGATGTTGCAATAGATTCTTTAAATAACAAGAAAATTGACCTATCACCTATCGAAATAGTTACTAATTTCTTCAAACTCGTCAGTCCTCCATCGGCATTTCCACCTCCTTCGAAAGAATTTTTCCCTAAAAATTCTACAGGTCTTGCGATCTCGATTTCCACGAAATTTACAGCAACACATGGCATGGCATCGAACGGATGCTTTCTTTTCGTTCTAGTTTCAGACGGAATTTTACAAATTTTCCCGTTATTCAACCACGGAACAGTTACATCGCCAATCATCAGGCAGCTCAACGCCAAGTTCGGCAACGATGCATCTTTACTTGTAAGAGATAATATATTACAGATTTTTTATGGAAAACAAGTTTTTTCTTACAGTGTCGACCATATTTTGGCCACAGAAACCGAAATAAAGGGTAATGTTGAGAACACAGAAAAGAACTACTTCGCTGTTTTGTCAGATGGAATCACACATTGCTTTGTAGAACAAAATTTCGTTGTAAACATATACGATTCAGCCACAAACAAGCAGATAAGGTCTGTACAACTTCATTCAGGTAATGCGCCACTCAGTAAAGACTTAAGAGAGCTATTTCCTGCAATGGCAGATTATCATCAAATTCCGATGGCGATGAACGGCTGTTTTATCGGTATGTTATTCAGAGTTCAGCAGTTTGCATCACTTCTTCGTGTATTTTCGTTGATTACCGGTGAACATGTCTTAGATGATAATCATTCAACGAACGAACAGTTTTATTCGATCATGACCGACATGAATACGCGCTCCATATGGACAATAGTTGGTCCGCGCCTCTCTTTGAAGCGTTATTACTTCGCGGGATCGATTGATCCTTCATTGTTTTCATTTTCAATAGTTCCTCACCAATTATCCAAACTAAAAGTAGGTAATTGCTTCAAGGAACTCACGTACACCCTCCAAAAGAACCTAATCCACTTAATTGGCTCCCAAATTATTCCGAAATCTTTGCTACCGGACAAAGACCACTTCCAGCAGATGCATCGTCTTATTGGCATGATATCTGATTTTTTGTCCAACAACAGGAAGGTCTCCGATAAGATGGCGATTTATTACAAATCAATGCTCCAAAACATGATAATTATTCTTGACATAAACCTGAAAGCTATCGAATTGGCAAACAAAGGGAAGCCGGATTTCATCAACAAACTGTTCGAATTAGTGACTTTGCTCCCGAGTGAAATGAGAACTTTTCTGTTTTTCAATCACTTGAAATTATTCATGTACAACAGTGATGACAATAAAATATCTGACTTCGCTTTGACCATGATGTGCAGTATTCTCGAGAAATTGACAAATGAAAATATAATTCACTGGGCTTTGTCTAGAATTGCAATTTCAGGGGTTCTATCAACAATATCCATCAATAAGTACACAACCATGAAGAATTTGATCCCTCAATCCATAAAAGAACCGCCAACAAAACAAATTTTCACAAGTTTGCTCATTTTGCACCAGAGATCGATTATTTCGGTTGCTTTGGACACATTGAAGAATGATCCGTTCTTGCCAATCACTGTTTCCGCCAAATATTTAGATGATCAAAATCCTCTTCATATTCTTGGCGAATACTTGAATTTTGTTGTTTCTAGATTCGATTCTGCCATCAGTGAAGTGTCTTCTGGAGACGAATTAACTAATTCTGTCATTTTTATCGTATTTAAAGAATTAGTTGACGGATTATCTCCTTTAACTATATATCATACAGTTGCACAGGTTGCCACGTCATTGGTCCACGTGTTACTGACTAAAATTGGCGAATTCATCACGAGAATTGACTTCAATACTTCTGATGAAGGAAAAATGTCGGAATTGATCAAAGCTTTCCTATTTCTCTTCGCACAATTCGCATCAACACTCGTCAAAGGTGGTGTCCTTTCCGTGTTTGAAGAGAGATTCGTTTGGTTGGTCAGAGCAAACATAGATATCATCGATAAATACAATCTACAGAGAATCACTGAAGAGGATTTCGAACCACTGAGGTATGAGAAGATGAATGACTTCATTCTGGGCAATTTTGACGTTATGTCAGTAATTTATAAAAAATTTAAACCATTACAGAACAAAAACCTGAAAGAAAATATTAAGAAACTCGATAGATTGTCAATGGCTGCACTCTCAATCCATACAGAGTGCGTAAAAGACTTAATTTCCTTAAATGAAACAAATACGCTCACGGATACCCTCAAAAAGTGCGTAGAACAGATGTTTAGAATCAGAAATACTGTTCGCGAGCTAATTCAGAACGGAAGAGATGATGATGTAACAATAATAATTCACAGATTGAGAATGCTGATCAGAATGAAGTCAGACTTCAATGGTTTCGATAATCCATCCATTCTCTTGGGCGATTTTGTACTTTGCAACACTCCTCCCGCCAGAATTATGCAAATTTTATCTCAGCAACGCTCCAGGATACAAACAACCCTTGTAGGATTCAATCTTATTGATTCTACGTACACCATGAAGATCCATCCCCAATACAATACGATCATCTCATATGCATTGAGTCGGATTGAGAGGTTTGATGGCTTATCGTCAATAATAAAGATGACTCCATTGACTGATATGCAGAAAAAGCAGATTGAATCATTTTTCTCCAGAATTCTTTCTCTTATCAAAGAAGATGTGAACACAGACAAATGGATACTGGTCGCCTACAGGTTTTTCAGGGATATCGACATGTTCGATGACGTAAAAAGGTTCTTCCTCGAAGGAATTCTCGAAGCATTTACTAAAAACCCAACAAGGTTCTCTTTATTCGCTCTTTGCTTCTCATTAATTCCTTCAATCACTGAACTGCCAGCTTCTCTTGCAAATATCGATAATATCCAGCCAATTAGGTACATTTTATTATCTGAAGCTTTGAGGTTCATCGATTGTCCTTTGGAGCTTTTCGAACGTTACGACAAGATGTTCTGGACTATCAAAAGCGACTTCGCTCGCTTAACTTGCCGTACAATGTTTCATATGTTATCATCATCGGAAATTCCTGACGAAATAGTCCAAAAGACCGTAGCCAACATGATCAGATACGTCGGAGAAAACACTCTCCTTAACCAACATATACCTTTTTGCAACGAAATGACTTGGATATTGCGAAGAATGATAACAACGAGACACAGGGCCTGCGAAATGATCAAAAACACCATACACGCACTCACCCCGTCATCAGACAAATACGATATCTGTGGCGCATTAACAGTTATAGGAAGTTATACGGAAAAACTTCGCCCGTACTGTAATGTGAAGTATCATTTGAACAGGAACTCTGTTTTCGAATGCATTGCCATCCAACAGATCGTCGAAGATAAGAATGTATTTTATTATTGCTTCCATAGGCCGTTTATCATCATGTCTCAGTCCACAAAGATCAAAATGACGCCAGATACGATGATTTACGCTGTTCCTATGATTATTTTAGATCCGAAAGAGTTTGATTTTGATTTTATTATTTCATTTTTCGATTACGCGTTCAATTCTGCTTCCAAAGTCACACAATCCGTATACATGCAGGTTCTTGCTCTTTTCTGCAACGAACCCGATTTCGTTCAGCGCTTAAACGGCTCTCAAATGAAGAAATTAGTTGAATGTCCATTACCATTCTCCGATATCTCCAACACTATGTCAGAAATCGAGAAATTTGGTAAAATGCAGACATTGCCAACCATCTACGGCTTCAGCCAGATGAAATACAAAGACAATGAATATACTTCATATGTATCCCCCCAAATTTCCGAGGATGCTCCCCCCTTTACAGTTACCATTACAACTCCACCCGGCCAATTAAAGTTTTACGTGGGAGTTATCTCCAGCTGTGTTGACAAACATCATACAAGGTACTCATTAGTGTCAATTCCTGATGGACAGACCTATCCAATTGAATCTTATTCCCAAATAATATTAGAGCCGAGCCAAACATCTCTTACATTGACATTTAACATGCCATCCGCATTATTCAAGATCGGGAACTCCTCCTACAAGTTTCCTGATGGAAGAGCCTTCAAAATCATTGTTGCGATGCACAAATCAATTCCTTTCGACGTAAATGTTCCTCAAGCAGCGAATGTTTTCGAAAGGGACTCAACACCACCGCAAATACAGCGTGGATGCATCGATTTCGATGAAGAAAGGCCTCTTTTCAACATTCCTTCCGGTTGTGTCAATGAAAATCTGTCACACGACATAATGAAGATGAAACAATTGAGTTTAACAGTTGGAAGACTTCCTCCCGATGAAAAGATGATGTCCAATTTCATTCTTCCTCCACAATTCATTTCAATTCACATTGGATTCACATCAGAAGCGAGTGAACCATTAATTAATGAACAAATTCGCGGTTTATACAAACAACTGACTTATCAATGGTCAACAATTGTTTTGATGCGAATTTTGTTGTTGAAACAAGAATTGATAACAAGCGAGAGATTAATGATGAAATTAGTTTCTTTGCTAATAGTTATGTTGGAATCATTTATTCCAAGTGAATTCGAGCTCCAAAAATTCCCATTTTCTTTGGCAAATCCGATTTGGGACAGAAATGCTCATACGAATTTGTTATACATGGGATTGGAACAAGAATCTCTCAAAGCCTTGAAAATCTTTGTACAAAGAAGTCAGTTCAAATCTGCTCTTTGTAAAGGATTACAAGCGATGGCGAGATCAGAGCGAATGCATTTAGTTGCAAGGCCATGTAGAAGTCATCATTATTTTGCAAGTCCAAGAAAAGGAAATGAACCTTGTTCTTGGCGAGAAAATCCACAAAATTACCAATGTACGTCTAATTGTATTGTTTGTCCAAATGATTTTCATGGATATGTTCATAATTCGATTAGATTTAGAACGTATCAATCGAATCAAACTTTTCCAACTCCTGCGATTATTCCTCTTTCCAATCCACCTCATGTTATTTCTTTCAATGGAAATAATAGAAGAGAATTCTCTGTTTTCGATATAAATCCAATGAATAACACTTGGATTTATGATACTCCTTTTGAGATGCTTCTTTTGTTGAAGAATTTTGTGTTCTTGGCACAAAGTGATGAAGAAAGATCTGCTGCCAAAAGAATACTTTTGGAATGTTATATAATTCAATCTCCTTTTATTTATAATTATCTGCCGCAATTCGCTGATTTGATGCAAATACAAATCCCTGTAACTCCTTTTGATGACAATGAACAATATAAACAATTGTTGTGCATTGTTGCTTGGATGTTACAAACAAGGAAAGATGAGGAATTTGTTTCTCAAAGATTCCATATTTTGTATTTACATGATCAACATGTTTTGACATCGCCTGAAAACAAGAGAATTTCTATGTATTTCCCTGAATTCTTTACAAAGAAATTCGAGCCTTGTAAAGATGACAAAATCATGATTCCTGAAGCAATTATTGATCCAGGAGCAATCCATGGAAATTTCCCTGGTTATATATTGATGTTGAGACAGTTTGCAAGACAATACAAGTCTTTGGAAGGCTTCCCGTTCTGGGAAATTCTTCCTATGTGGTTTAGAATTTCTGGTTCTTTCAAAGGCCAAGGTGATTTCATAGAACCTTCTTTGGAAATCACTTCACCGACCACTTGTCACGTTTCTAATCCAAGTGGAGTTGAACTTGAAATAAAGTTCACTAAAACAGGGAGATTATCACATGAAATGTATATATTCAGATCTCCTAATGCTGAATTTGATAATCCTGTTGTTATTTGCGAACACGAAATCAAGAATCCGATAAACACGAAAGAAAAAGATTTGTTCTTTTCTATTATCGGAAATCATCATGATAATTGGAACAATCTTAAGCCATCAATCATTTCTTTGTCAAAGAAGCCTCTGTCGAAGCAGACTGCTTTGTCAAACATTGTTCCAATCTCTTCAATCAAGTCGAGATTCATGGATGACATGCAACAATTCGCTGTAGAATGGAACTCGAATGACACTGAAGAATTGATTTCGATTTTGCCGAGAATTTCATTGAGAGAACCAACATTTGCTGCTGTAGAAAACATCGCAAAAAGTTGTTCTCTTTGTAGTAAATTCTCTCCAACAGTTGTTGTTCTCCACGCTCTTTTAATTCATCATTTCAACTACATAAGATGTAATTATTACAAGAGCATTCCTCAAAATCTTTGGAATTCTATGACTTCTTTCTTATCCGCGGAAGATGCAGCAGACGCAATGATCTCTATGATCTACATGTGTCCAGAAGCAGCATATCCAACCCTAACAATTGATAGACACACAGCACATAGATTAGTAACAAATGGAAATGGAGATCCGATGTATTCCATCATTTCTCAGTTGTCGAGAATATTGAGAAACATTCCTCCACAGAGATTGTGCTGCAAGAAGAAGCCTTGGAAAGTCAATTTCGTTGGAGAACTCGCTGTTGATGCTGGCGGACCAGGAAGAGAACTGTTAACAGAAGCTGCTGCAAGTATTTTCGAACCAACAACTCTTTTGGCGATTCCTGTTCCAAACATGAGAAATCACACTGGTCAATACAAAGATGTTTACATTCCTTTCGACAAAACAATGTGTAGATCAGCTGATTTCTTCACTATTGGAATATTGTTGGGAATCATCATAAGAACTGGCTTACAACAGGATATTCCTTTCGCTCCTTTAGTCTGGAAATTCATCGCAAATGAAAGAATAGGAATTGATGATATAATTGCTGTTGACAGCGGTTTGGCTGATCATTTCAATCATATGAGATCTGTTTCGGAAGACAGTGATTTCGCAATACATTACGCGTTCCAGTGGAAAGTAGAAGACTGGGATGGAACGAAAGTGATGCTTCCAGGTCACGACAAATCCCAAATTATCCAGGAAGAAGATGTCGAACAATATATCAAAGAATCTGTTGATTTCAGACTGAATTCGATCATGCCGCATTTGAGAGACATCAGATCAGGATTCAGACAAAACACTGGATTCAAACACAACTCTTTGATGACAGGTGCTTTGCTCAGCAGAATGGCGCAAGGCAATGGAGATATCTCTGTTCTTCATTTGAAACAAATAACAACTGTTTCTGATTTCGAAGACGGAATAATGAATGAATACGTGCAGAGATTCTTCAGATCTGTAGAGAGATTGAACAAAGAGCAGAGGAAGCTGCTTCTTAAGTTCATCACGACATTGACAAGATTGCCAAATAGTACTTTAATTCCTGATTTCAAGTTGAAGATTGATATGAAGGATTGTCCAAAACCAGATGAAATGCTTCCAACAGCATCAACTTGTTTCAACAAATTACACTTGCCGAAGTATTCAACTGACGAAATTTGTTATCAGAAGTTGTTGATTGCTATTCAATACTGCCAAACAATGGAAGAAAAATAATATATATATTTTATATTAGTAATTATTTGTTGTTGTTGTTGTTAAAAATATATTTTTTTGTTGTTTTAATATCTCAATCTCTGAGGTTTTTCTATTCTCACACATTATGCCAGCAACAGGTGAAACAGTTCTTGCTTGAATTATATTTTGGTCGGGAAAAAGTAATTATAAATTTCTGCTTAGTTCCTAACATGGCAATATACTCTTTTGCCATTAAAATAAAGATATGTTGATATTATCTGAGCGTGTCAGAAAGTGGTAAGTGCACTCTTAAACTCGATAATTATATACTTTGTGCGTAAACTTTTTAATCTTCACATATCTTGCGAGGTTGACGTAATGAATAAGATTTCAAGTTTATTCGTCCAAATACCAAATAAAAAATTGATTTTAACTCTCTCAACAGAGACTTTAAATTAGATTAAAAATCACTTTTAGCTATCATACATTAAAATAAAAACATAAATGCTGCTCATGAAGTTTTGTCGATAACAAACACAAACTGTTGGACAATTAACGAAATTAAGAATAGTAATGACAAGTTTACCATTGCCTTCCCAAATACCTGATGCATCAATGGCATTATGAAATAAATAGTCTGCCTTTGTGAATGCATATTTAGATGTTCCAAGAAAATTATAAAAACTATCATATGAATCTAGATCGATCTCTGGAATAATTGCATCTTTAGACAAAATCCATGAACTTCCTCCTCCTGAACCTCCATTTCCATGTTGACTCGAAAAACCACCAAACCAACCTGAGCCTGAACCTGGCCGATCACTTTGCCCACCAGGATTCTGAACTCCATTTGGGTTTAATGTTTTCTTTAGTTGCGCTGATTCACCTGAGCCAAAACTGAATCCAAATGTTGAATTCGCTAAATAATTTGAGTAATAAAGTCCATCAGTGTACCAACCTTGTCCTACTAAACCTCCTGAACCTCCTGAACCATCATCTTGTTGATGAAGTGTACCAGCTCTGTTATCAGAACCACCTCCAGCACCACTCACAATGACTCGATGCCAAAGATCGTTTTTGACAAATTTGACGGCGGTTTGACCACCTCCTGAACCTACACCTTCAGGATATAAATTTCCACCATATCCCCCACCTCCATAACCTCCTTCGGTCATGTTTTCTTTGGCATAACATGCAAGAGTGTTTCTTTCATTAATTTTATATTTATATATTCCTCGACCTCCAATAGTGGCATATGCGATAGTTTCATTAGATAAATATATTGTGCCACTGATATATGCACCTGCACCTCCGAGACTAGACTGTTGAAGACATTTAACATTACCTTTAACAGATTCAACAATTCTGTCTTCAATACATGAACCATTAGGATATCGATATAATGACACATGACCAGTTGAACTTCCACCTGATGCACCATACAACTCCAATTTGTATACACCTGGTGAAAATGTGATGACGTAGTCTGTACAATCATGGTTGTTTTCACACGGATATTCGAAGACATACTTATTTCGAATTTCTGTAACCTTCAACTTAGCTTCATAATGACTTTCATTATACAATGAATATTTAATCATATATTAATTAATTAAATCTAAATAATACTAATTAAAAAAATAAAACTCTTAACTTACATATATATATAATATCAATATGCCATGTGCCAAGTGTCTCAAGATATTGGAGTTCAGAAGTTACAAAAGCTCAGAAAGAATATCTTTAAACATAATTTGTTAAAATAAGTCGACTCACCTCGTATTCAAAAATAAGAGTACTCCTATCGGATCCGATAAAAAATTGAGATAAACTATTGAAAATTGTTATTTTTATAATGTTTCCATAATTTTTAGTTTTCCAGTCTAGTTATCCAGGACTTCAATATAAACTATCAAAGAATATTGGCAAACTTAATGTTACTCAAAATGGAAACAAGTTTACCTTTGGTTTTCCTTGCGGTGACAGTGCATATGAGTGTTCTCCTTATACTGTCAAACTTCGATCAGGCTATTACTTGTTTGAAGCATGGGGATCATCAGGAGCCGCACAGTACCGTCCCTCAGGACGTGCAACTCCTGGACTCGGTGGATATTCATCAGGAGTCCTTGAAGTTTCTGAATCATCTCTAATTGTTTATTTGTATATTGGATCACAAGCCCTCTTTAATTCTGCCAAAAGGCGAAATGGAGGTGAATCATTTATCGGTGGAGGATCTTCTGATGTTCGTCTGTATTCAAATCCTTCATTTGATTGGTTTGACAACGTATCTCTACGATCTCGAATTATGGTATCAGGTGGAGGAGGTGGGTCCGAATGGCTTTATTCCATTGGAGGCAATGGAGGTGGTCTTGTAGGAGGAAATAGCTATTCCAATTGTCATACTGATAACATTTACAATTGCAATATTACAGCTACTGGTGGAAATCAAACGGGTGGGGGAATTGCCCCTAAAACTTTTTTGGTCTTAATTGTACAGATGGATTGTTTGGAATGGCCTCGTATAATCCAAATTCTGGTGATTTTGGAGGAATGGGAGGTAATGGTTATTATAGCGGTGCTTCTATTGATTATGCCGGTGCAGGTAGTGGTGGAAGTTCATTTATTTCAGGATATGAAGGTTGTATTGCTCTTAATAGTGAAGCTGACAATTCTCCAAATCCAAATAATTCTTCTATCCACTATTCAGGCAAATATTTTATTAATCCTATAATGATCCAAGGAAATAATACTATGCCTCTTTACACATCAGCATCGCCAGGAATCGGAAATTCAGGCCGTGGAGCAATTCGAATTACAGTACTTGCTATGCATTTATGTACTAACAAATGTAATAATATTTTTCCTATATATTTTCTTAGAATCGGTTTATTTTCTTTTGATTTTCTTACTTAAATTTTGTTATCTTGACTGGTGAATAAAATCTTAGGAGAGAATTAGAAGCACATAATTTTTGGATTTCATTATCTCTAAAGAGATGAGAACGTTTTTGTTTATAAAATGGTTTGTGCAATTACCTGATCATTTTGCTCCATGTAAAATTAGAAGTTTTGCAATTTCATTAGCATTATGTTTATTTGCATATTGAAGAGGAGTTTTTCCTTGGTTATCTTTAGCATTAATGCCTGCTCCATATTCAATAAGAATTGTAGCTGTATAAACATCATTCATTCTTGATGCTAAATGAAGAGGTGTTATTCCTTTTTCATTCTTTTCATTGATATATGCACCGCGTGATAAAAGGAGTTCAATAATTTCTTGAGCTCTACTAAATTCTGATGTGTTTCTTACAGTATTAATGACTGCAAAATGAAGTGGAGTCGTTCCAAATGCAGTCTTTGCATTTATATTTGCACCATAATAGATAAGATATTTGGCAATTCTCATATTATTTTTAAAAATAGCATTATGAAGGGCTGTATTTCCTTTAATATCTTTTGCATCAATATCAGCTCCAAGTGAAAGAAGAAGGTCTATGCCATCAAAGATATTATTGCGCGCTACAATATGAAAGGCCGTTTCACCATTATCTGATTTTACATTAACATCAATGCCATGTGTGATAAGAAATTTTATCATAATATAATCTCCTTTGTCAGCAGCTAAATGAAGAAAGGTCAATCCGCCTTTAGTTTTTAAATGTATATTAGCGCCATTAGAAATTAGGAGTTTTACAATTTCTATTTCTCCCATTCTAACAGCAATATGCATAGCAGTTTCTCCTTGATTATCTTTAGCATTTATATCAGCACCATGTAACAAAAGTAGTTTTGATATTCCTATTTGTTTCTTTGCAACAGCAATATGAAGCATTGTCTCTCCTAATTCATTTCTTTTGTTTAATGCTATTCTTTGATTTTCAAAGGAAACTGATAATTGGAGAGGACTCTTTCCATTATCATTTTTTGCATTAATATCTGCACCATGAGAAATTAGCACCTCTGTGCAATTAATGCAATTATATTTTGCTGCAATATGAAGAGGAGTTAATTTAGAATTGGTATCCTTTGCATTAACATCTGCACCTTTTGAAATTAAAAATTCTAATGATAGAATACTATCTGTTGTATAATCGAGTTTTGTTGGACGAAATTCTTCAAATATCTTTTTGAATAGTATCCAATATGAGTTATAGTAGCGATTATTGTATTGGGCTGCAAAATATATTGCATCACAAATCTTTTGTATAGAAAGAACTTTGGTTTTGATCAATCTTTTTTTGATTTTTTTGTAAATCACATCAATTTCATCTTCATGGCTGGTTTTTAACGTGAATATTATAGAGAAACTGTCAATATAATCTTTTAGCAAAGCAGTAATTTCATAATAATTAAAACAATCCATGAAAGAAGAAGTGACAAAAACTGTGTCTTATTTGATAGGGAAAAAAACTGATAAACTAGTTCCAAGTGCAAAGGAAGATTATTGATGCAAAGCCCTGTAATGCCTTCATTAATGAAGAATGATGAAATGAGCTATTTTCTTTCTCTAAAAGTTAAATATAAGGATGCTTTATGATTTTTTTTTTTGTTGTTGTTGTTACCAAGTTATTTAGTAGTATATATACTACTTTATTTTAATATAATTCTATATGGATATGACATTAATAAAATAACTTGTCCTTGCTCAATATCTATGTATATTCTCTTACATACGATTATTTTTGACTCAAATACAGATCCATATTTGAAGGAAAATAATCGTATTCTGGAGGATTACACTTTTCCGAAATTTTTTTGATTTTATAATTATACCTAACTATCCTATATATATTGTACAAATTGCTAGCGCTCAATTATCTGTCGATTCAGTGAATGATAAAATTTGCAAAGAAAAAAGATTATGTCAAATTTTAATTAAATTTTTGAAATAATCTCTCAATTTTAAAAATCTTCGAATAAAATTCAAAAATCCATATAAGTTAGGTTAGAAATACTTTTCTCCATTATGAGTTCATAATAAAAATTGAGATCCTATTGAAAATCATAAAAATTATTTTGGGAAAATAATTCAATTTTATCATCTGCTGATTTAGAAAGAATTATCGAAGAAATAAAATTTTTAATTATCTTCATCCTCTCAAAAGAAAACTCATTTTGATAAATGGGCTGCAAGTTAACTGATTTCTTCAAGAAATCATCAGGAGGAACGAAAGTTGTCGCCATTATTGCTTTTATTGCAACAATTGGTGGACTTATAGGCATTGACATTTTCTACATTCATTGGGGAAACAAATTAAACGACCAGCTAGATTTATTTAGAACAGACACATTCAAAAAACTTTTTAGTATGGTTATTGCAGCAGTATTCTTCGTTAATTTTGGACTTATTGCATGGTTTGTTTGGTTCATTTTTTGGAATTTCGAATGCTGTGGGTGCATTGGAAGTATCATTTCTTGGGTTGGACTAATGAGCTGCTGCCTTGTAAGCGCATTAATGATTACCATTGAAATCAATATTAATTCTAAAAAGGGATTCTGTCGTTATGCAGCTCTTTCACAGGATTATTGCGAAAAAACATTTCCAGTGAATGTTGGTTTAACATGCGTTCTCATATTAGGTATTATTTTAGATATCATTTTACCTTGTCTTAAATAAAGCGCAATTACAATAAATTTTTGAATGTTTTTCAATAGTAATTTAACTACTATTAGCTATTACTCTAATTTTGATTCGAAAAAATCCGATTTTAAAATATTTAGTTTATTTTAAAGCATATTAAACTTTACTGTGCATAAAGAAGCTAGATTTTTATTATTCACCTTGAAATCTGAATTAACATTTTATTTTGGGGAAGATGTAAACACAAATTTGAGAGGTGTGTATTCCCCCGTCATTTTAATACCGTTAGTATCATTTTTAGATGACTGAAGGAGAGAATGTTGAAGTTCCGGCTGCAGAAACTGCCGCCAATGCACAAGGAGAGCAAAACGAAGCTCAGGATCAAGTAGAACAAACAGAAGCTGTCAATGAAAATCCTCCACCAGCCTCTGAGCAAAATGAAACAGCACAAGATCAAAATAATGATCAACCAGAAGTTGCTCAATCAAATGATCAAGAAAAAACTGAAAATAATGAAAATAACAATGTCACAGAAAATCAAACTCCTCAAGAAAGTGAACAACATCATGAAGAAAACGCTGCAGAACAAAAAGAACCAGAAAATATCGAAGTTACTCAAGAAGAACACAAAGATCAGCCAAATGATCAACCTGTTGAAGTTTCACAGGAACAAAATACAGAAACTCAACAAAACCAAGAGCCAAATACAGAAAATCAACAAGAAGAAAAACAAGCAGAGAATAATGCAGAAAATCCAGTTGAAGAAGCAAAAGTTGAGGCACGAGAAATTACCCCTGAAGGAGAAACTGCTCCAAAATCTGAGGAAACAGAAGCTACAGAAGCTAAAAACGAAAATGAAAATCAAAATGTAGAAAAACAACAAGAAGATCAAGAAAAAGAGCAACCCAAGCCAGAAGAAAACGCAAATAATACTGAAAATGCAGAAAATGCATCAAAAGAAAAGAAAAGTGACGATGAATATGAGTATTACGAAGAAGAAGAGGATGAAAAGGATGCATCAGCTAAGAATCGTGATCTCAAAACCGGAAACTCTGCAGATCCAGAAAAACAAGGTCCACTTTCCAGTATTATCACAAATGGATTGACAAAACCTCAAGAAGAAGCAGATAAACCAAAGCAGGAAGGCGAAGAAAGCAACGACAAGGCTCAGCAAGAGAAATCTGGTCCATTATCTTCAATTATTACAGATGCTTTGCAGAAACCTGACGAAAACGGCCCTGAACTAAAAGAAAACCAGCAAGGAAATGATGAACAAAAGGAAAATCCATCAAACGGCCAGGAAGAAGCTAATCAAGATAAAGAAGTCCCAATTGTTGCAGTTGACAACAAAGAAGACCCACAGGAAATTCATATTTCCGTTGGAGTACACGAGCCCGAAGAACCAGCCAACAATGACGAAAACGAAGAAGAATCTCCGATCAGATCTCCTCGTGGTTCATCAACCCAACGTTCCCGCAGGCCAATACCACCACGTACAGCCGATCCATTTGCTTTCCGACGCTCCATGCCTGTTTTCAAAGCTCCTGAAGTTTCAAAGCAAGCATTAGAGATAAAGGCTAAAGCCCTTAAGCTAGAAACTCTTCCTGTAGTTCCTGATGAGATCTACACCCAAGCTATCTACAGTTTGAGTGAAGACAGGAAGGCTAAAATCCAAGATCACAAATTCAAAGAAGGAGCCACGGTAAACAAAGTCATTTTACACATCCAAGACATGCAGCTTAAGCAGCGTAAGATCAATGCACAGCAATCAGCCCAAAACAGCACGAAAGAACAAGAAGACGAACTTAAAAAGTTACTTGATGATTTTGACAAAGAGACAAAGAAGCAAACGAAAGAACTCGAAGACAAAATCCAAGATCAAAGGAACCAGCTCGTCGAGAAGCACGAGAAAGAGCTCGACGACCACGAGAAACTCTGGAACAGCGACCAGATGATGAAGATGTTCAATCACGTGAGTAGTTCCATCTCAACAATGCGTGCTCAAATGAAATCTCTTTTGTTGCAATGCAGATTTGAAGAAGCCGGTGCAATTGAAGTGATTGCTAATGAACAGAAAGCGAAAGAAGAGATGATGAACCACGAAGTGATGCAGACAAGATTCAATGAGTCCCAGAAGTTGTTGATGCAAAGACAAAGTGATGAATTAAATACTTTTGACGCAGCTTCTAAAGTCAAAGTCCAAAACTTCCAAAATAAAAGAGCAAGAGAAAGATTGCCTTTGGAAAACAAATTACACAAGGTAGAGAACATAAAGAACATTGTAAATGATAAGGAGAGATTGTGGAACAGAGAAAAATTAAGGAGAGCAAATGAAATTGCTCAAACAATGACGAGATCAACAACTTTGACTCCTTCAAATAGAATCACGCCAAGAGATTTGGAGGAAAGTAAATTCGAGTTGTTGAGCCTTCCTCCACTTAAATCAAACAGAAAGAAACCAAAACAAAAAGCAGCAAAGGCAAAGGCTACTTCTGAATAAGTTTTTATTTTTATTTTTTAGATATATTTTTGTTTTATATGTTTTAAGTTTTTTATTCATTATTAATAAACTAGTTTATTTTATAAAAAAAGTTTCTATTCTTTTATTTCAAGCATAAACCAAACTTGCTTTCGTTGGCCTGTATCTCGACATTTTAGTGAACCGAGATATCAACAATTTATGACATTTTTATTTAAAATTTTTTTTGTTAGTTGCTGATAATTCTCACAAGTGTTTTCCAGATGTTTTTGATAATATTATTTTCTAATATATAACTATTTTATATAAAAATCAAATTCAATGATCTTAAAAGCGAAGGATAAACCTCAAAATTTACGAATATAATGAGTGGGAATATAATGCTTATCTATCATAAAACCATATGAAATATCAATTTTTGCTTTACGCCTAATTTTTGACGACAATTAGCAAAAAATGTTAAATGTTAACACTCAGTCCATTTGAATATGAAAAATAAAATTGACTTTGATTAAATGTTTTTATTTATCATGCAATTCTTCTTGCGACCAAAGGTTTGAATAAAATTTCAAAAAATAAGATAGCTTAAAAAATAATATACGGTAGTGTTTACTAATAGATGAATAGTATATAAATTCTATTAAAATGGATTTGATCCAAAAAAATATAAAACCAAAAATAATTGTTATAATTTAAATGAAGAAGTAATTTAAAACGATTTTATTTATGATCAAATTTTATATATTTTTTTGGATAATGATGCTTTACTTTGCTATCTGGAAAATTGAAATTTGTTCTGAGTATTCATGAAATTTCTAATAAAATATTTTTTTAGTCTGTTATGCATAAAGAATTGTAATAATATTTTATATTATTTGCATATGCTGGAATATTTAAATTTTGAGGGTAATTGTTTGACTATTCAAATTTTGAAAAGACGCCGACTCTATGAAAAAAAATTGAATTATATTTCATTTTAATATAATGCTTGGAGAAGCAATCATTGCAAATGGAAGTGGAAGACTTTCATATTCCAGTTTAAGCATTAATGGCATCCAGCAAGACACGGTTCTTAAGTATACCATTAAACAAGTCTTTACAAACAATTCAGGCACCAATACCGACATCTTTTACTGCATACCTAAACAGCTTCATGTTACTACTTATGATTATCTATTCATTGTTGACAGGAACGAGATCAAACCAAAAATTTGCCACCAATATGAAGCTCAGGATGTGACTAATGTGTCAAAGATTCAACAATATGAAGGTAATGGACTTAACTCCTTCTTCTTGGGAAGCATTGGACCAAACAAGACAATTGAAATTCATCACAAAGTCTCTTTCATGGCTATGGCTAATGAAAATGGATTTATTTACACATTCCCTCTATCCAATAAAGGGATTTATGGTCCATTTACTTATCAAAGGCCAGAAAATTTCGAATTCTCAATACATGTCAAGACTTTAAGTGAATTAAAAGAAATTATTAATTCGGTAAGAGGAACAATAAATGTTATTGATCCACACAATGTTATATTTGCGACAAAAGAGTTCCCTAATGATGAATCAATAACAATTGAAACCCAAATCAAAGATAAAGACAATAATATTGCAATTTGGAGTGATGGATATATAGCCATTAGTACATTCACATACTTTGAAACAAAAGTGCATTCAAATTCCGAATTTTATTTCATAATCGATTGTTCAGGTTCTATGAGCGGCTCATGCATTCAAAATGCAAAATTATGCTTGAATATCTTTATGCATTCACTACCAATTGGATGCAGATTTTCAATTATAAAATTTGGTAGTGATTATGAAGTTGCTCTCCATCCATGTGATTACACTGACGAAAACGTCTCAGAGGCCATGAAACAGCTAAACAATATCGATGCCGAAATGGGCGGTACTGATATTCTTTCACCACTGAAATATGTTATGGAACTTACACCAAAACAAGGTTTTATTAAACAAGTTTTTCTCTTAACAGATGGCCAAGATTCAAACACAAATGAACTATGTGCCCTTGCACAAGAGAATAGAACCAACAACAGAATTTTTTCAATTGGAATAGGTTCCGGAGCCGATAAAGATCTCATTATTAATGTAAGCCAAAAGAGTGGTGGCAATTACGTTTTTGTCGATGATGATGAAAGCGAGAAGCTCAACGAGAAGGTCATCGAGTTACTCAATTCGGCTATTTCATATGCTTTAATGCATGTTTGTTTTCAAGGCGAAAGAAATCGCGCAGAAATGTGGCCATCACCTTGCCCACCGTTGTTTTCAAAGAATTCACAAAACTTTATCATTAAGTCTGACAAAACTGATAACGTTGTGATCAGTGGAATCATTGACAATGAAGAGGTCAGCATTTCTATTCCTGTTTCCAAATGTGATGAAAGCTTAGGAATGAAACAATTATATAGTCGTAATCTAATTGATGATTATGAATCTATGCTTTCTCACAAGCCTGACCGTAATCTCGAGCAAAAATGTATTGAATTGTCACTTACCTCAGGCGTTCCTTGCAAATGCACATCTTTCACTGGTGTTCCATGCAATTCAGACAATGGTCAAGTTGCCAACAGATTGATGTCAAAGCCGCCTGAAAAGCCTCAAAAATTCTATAAATATTCAATCACACCTGATGCATCTACAGCTGATCAGAAAGGAACTCCAATCGCATCAAAGCCTGAAGCAGCTCAAAAAGCAACACCATCCAATGTAATTCCAGAAGAGATTTCTCAAAAAGAAACACCAAGTGCAATTCCACAAGCAAAAGTACAAAAAACTATTCCTTGCCTTTACTTGATTAATCATCAAAATGTTGATGGTTCATGGGATGAATTTGAGGGAATTAATCAAGTAATAAAATCCAAGTTCGGACATAAAGTCGCCGCAACAGTTGCAGGAATTTTGTACCTCAGAACACTGTACAAAAATAATTTGACCGAATTTTCTCTAATGATCAAGAAAGCTCTGTCATTTCTTATGAACATAGACAGAAGCGTTAATTGGAATGATTTGACTTGCAAATTTAATTAATTTTACAAATTCTCAGTAAAAATTATTCACCAGTAAAGTATATCCTTTTTTATTGTTTTTTATCATCAAAGTTCATCAATACAAATCATATCAAGCTTAAATTGCTTGTTATTCAGTTTTAATTTAGTAAATTATGATAAACTTGAGAGAGAAACAATCTCGTAAATTGTTACTCCCTGATTTATAAGAGAAACTTTAAATTTGATTAATCAAAAAAGAGATTAAAAAAAGATTTATTTATTTTATTAGAAATCAAGCAAAAAAAAAGTAATTTATTCAAAATGTGTTTCATCGTCATCATCTTCCGCCATTGTCTCCTCTTTCTTCTTCTTCTGAGCTAACTGGAGGTAGCGATGCGATTCACGAGTCAAAGTATGCTCAGAACCAGCCGTAACTTCGAACATTTGAGAAGCCTGAGCGAGAAGTCTGAAAGCGTCCTTCCATTCTCCGAGAACGCATTTAAGTAATCCATGAGCGAAAATTGCCTGAGCCACAGCTATTTGTGTTGGGCCAAGGATCTCGATAAGGGCACTACGTATCTTTTTCATAATCTGGCTAGCGAGTTTTGAGTTTGTCTCCGTAAAATCAGGTGGAGTAGTAATTTGGCCGCCATTAAAAACAGGAGCGATGCATTGCTGGAGGAAGGGCGTCCAGATTGTTAATACTTTATCGAAAATGGCTACCGCGCTCTTATTGTCATGTTTGTCGATAAATACGTTTCCCATGAAATAGAAGCCTACAGAGGTTTCTATATGATCTGGACCCTTCTGGAGGGCTGTAAAGTAGACATCTGATGCAAAGTGCTTCAATGCTTTATCGTATTGCAGTTTCGAAGTGTATAATTTACCGAAGTTTCTTGAAAGTTGAGATTTGAGAGATGGATCCGCTTTAGGATATTGAATTAAGATCCATTTAGCTTGGCAGAGGTTTTCTTCTGCTTTATCGAAATACTTGGCTGCAATATTTGCTTCTGTAAGTAAAAGATATGGAGGAACGAGTTCGATGGCGTTTTTGCCGTATACTTCTGATGCATAACGTAAGGCTTGAATGCAGGCGGGATGAGCTAGCTGTGGATCGTTTTCTATAAGATGTCTATAAGCTTCTTGCTTGCAAATCTCAAGAACGTGTTTCTTTGTGCGAATAACTGTCTCTGCACGTTGAGATCTCTGCTCTTGTGTGGACAAGACTGGCGGAGGAGCACGAAGAGCAGCAATGTATGGGCAAATTTTGGAATGTACAGATTTCCAGTCCATTTCTTGATCTTCGGCACAGCAGTAGAATGTCCTCTTGCACAATGAACACTGAAGATGTGATTCGCGTGAGCAAATTTCACAATTATAATGCATTCCTTTTGGATTAGACAATGGGTTGTGTGCAAGGAGCTGCGGCAACTGGTGCTTCTTGGAGAATTCAATGCCGTCCTCGGGCGTGAGGCCGTCCAGAAGAGGTTCCTGCGAGCTCATTTTAGAAAACCGATTCTAAATTTTTTTTAGAAAAAAAAATTAATAACGTGCAAATGTTAATAACCATTATTCTCGAATTAGCTAAAGCTCTCGAAATGATGTATCATTTCCACTTTGACATTAGCAAAATCTCAAATATAATCGTTAAATTTATTCAAAATTTGTTAAATTTCATGATTTGTGTAAAATCTTCTATGTCATTAGAAAATCCATTGTTGTGGCAATAAAATAAAAGATTGCAAAATTGATTTTAAACTCTATTTTTATTCAATAAAAAATATATTCAATACATTTAAACTTTCTTAACAATTTCGAATGGGTATTTGATAGTATAGATTGTGTTACCTGTGGCATCTGTGAATTTTAATACAACATTAAACATTCCTCTGACAAAGAATCCAGATGGAGTTTCTACTTCTGGGAATAAGTGGAAGTATGGTTCTTCTCTTGGCTCGAAATCTCCTATCGGTTCATCTTCTGTATTTACGCAAATTCCAAGTTTGTAGACTTTTCTGTGGCAAACAACTCCTTTAACTGGTGCATTAACTTTAAATGTAAGTTTAAGAACGTTCCAGATGCCTTCTGGATAAACCATTCTTTCATTAAATTCAACATCCTTTCCAGCAGGGATATGTGATGAAATTAGCATTGGAGTCTCTTCACCCTTCTTATAAACAATAATTTGGTCCATATAGAATGGTTGTTGTTCCATCTGTTTGGTGTTCCGAAAGAAAAATGATTCAGCAATTCAATACTCATTGAAATTTTAAAAATTTTTGGATCATTCATTTTCATAAACCCCGTACTCCCATTGCAAATATTTTCCATTAAACTACAATAAATTTATCACAATACTATTTGGTTTTAAATAATTCCGTCTCTAATTCAAAAATTGAATGGTTTCTATGTCTTTCACGGGAACAATTTTGACATAATCCAATTTTTCTGGCGAAAATTTACTCCAGATTTCCGGTGTTTAGCTTATCAACTGATCAAACTGGAAAAAGTAAACTTAAGCATCAGAGTTATTCACATCTCTTTATCAAAAAAAAAATTAATCTCTGATTATTCAGTTAAATTCTAATAATGAGAAGAGAATATAAGTGTCCAATACATACTTTACCTTTATTTTTATGTATATATCCTCATTTTCCAAACAATATAAGGAAATATATCCGAAAACTAGTAAAATTGGGTTATTATTTAAGAAAAAAATGCTATTGTATTAAATTAACATGAACTATTTTATTAAATTGAATCTAGAACAACAGTAAGTAAAATCATTTATACTCTGTTTCTATTCTTTGAAAGTTGGTCCGCATATAAATTAAGTTCTTCATCCGTTAAATTTTCAGGGTCAGATACAACATCTGAATCTGATTTTGCAATTGCAAATAACGGTGGATCAGAATCTTCTGGGTCTAATGGGATTGTTTCAAGAGAAATTGGTGCAGGTTTTGATGCCATTAACATTTCATACTGTTCATCGAAAAGGTTTTTCCTAAATGTACAAAAACTCTGCATGCAACCCATTTTTTGTGATTTTGATTTTATCGTCATAACTTCATTTCGATATGAAATAATCGATATTTAAAGGCAAATCATAATATCGGTACATTATATAGATTCTTGTTGATTTGTTTCTGTATGAACAAATTTATTTTCCGAGAAGTCAAATTTATAATTGATGGAATCAAGACAAATTATTCTTGCGAAGAATGCCAACAGAATTCTTTTCGTTAGAAACTTACCGTTCGGAATAGATGGCGATAAGCTCTACGAATTATTCTCGAGATATGGCTCGATTTACCAAATTCGTCTAGGATGCATTCCATCGACGTCAACAACAGCTTTTGTTGTATTTGATAATGTTTTAGATGCCCAAGCAGCAAAGGACGCTTTGAATGGCTACACAATCGAAAATAGATATTTAATTGTTCAATATTATCGTCTCAATCAAGCAAACCCTTCAACACAGACAGGCAAATAAATCGAATATTGAAGTTCAAAGAAATAATTTTCAAATTTGAACACAAAAAATTTAAAAATTAAGTAGAAATTCGATACTTATAGAAAAATTATCTCATGCATGCTTTGGTTTTTCAGAGTTGTTCTTGTCCATCGTCTTTTCATATGCGACCAATTGCATAATTAACTGAAAAACATAGGCATCGGACTTTGATAATTCCAAAGCACCAAGAGTGTTCTTCTCATCCGAAGCGGTATCGTAAATCTGCTTGAACTTTTCTATTCCAAGCAAATCTTCCAAAAATACTCTTATTGACTCTACTTTATAACCAAGAGAATCGTTGACATGTACAGACTTGATGATGAGTTTTCTACCCATGAAGTAGAAGTCTCCCAAGCTCATGTCTTCGACTTCTTCTGGTACATCGATTAAATTGTCACCTTTAATTACCATCTGAAGATTTTCTGCCATCTTTTTCATGACTTTGTAAATGCCTGCTTTATTCTTTGAGGCAGGTTCTGCATTGAGATTGTATTCTACGTTTTCGATAAACTGATCGGGAGTTTTTCCTGGTTTTTCTCCATGGAAAACACCATGGTTCAACTCTTCGCCAGCAAGTGTCTTTCCGAGGAGAGCAATGGCTTTATTTCTGATCAAAGGCATTTGGAAGATTTCATTTATTGATGGTCTTTCGTCAGGATTCTTCCTTAACATTGATTCAACCAAGCTCTGAAGTTCCGTACTGTACTGGGCTGGGATTGGCTTTGGTGTTTTTCCAATGACATTTCTCATGATTTCTGCAACATTCCTTCCAGTAAATGGTCGTTTGAGACTTGCCAATTCATAAAGAACGCAGCCAAGTGACCAAATGTCGCTCTTAGTGTTGTATTTCTTGCCAACGCATATTTCAGGGGAGCAGTAAAGTGGTGTTCCGATTGAAGTCTTCGCCATATCTCCTGTATGTTCGAGTGTTTTTGCAATACCGAAATCTCCAAGTTTAACGATATTTCCTGATGATAAAAATACGTTTTGTGGTTTCATATCTCTGTGTAATATTTTTCTATCATGTAAGTATTTCATTGCGAGGCATATCTGAACAAACCAGTCAAGAATCTGGTCTTCTGAGAAAAATACAACTCCTTGGCGTTTGATGGCTTGAGAAAGGTCACCACCATCAGCATAATCCATTAGGATATAAAGATTCCGCTTTTGTTTTGTGCAACCTCTGTATCTGATGATGTTTGTATGTTTAAGGGTACTAAGTATCTCTACTTCTCTGAATGCAGTATCTTTCGCTTCTTGAGTCATTCCTGTTAGGTTCATTGCTTTAACAACTTTAAGATCATTGCTATTAAGCGATCTAACTAGGAGAGCACGACCATATCCACCTCGTCCAATCTCTTTGACGATCTTGAATTGATCCATTCTTGATGAAAAATGAACTTGCTAAACGCACGAAACTTTCAAAAGCGAAAAGCATCAAATTTGAATGGAAAATTCGGTTTAAATTTTAGATAGTTATCAATTGAAATATAGATGTTATCTTGTAATATTCTTGATTTACTATCAAATTGATTCGATAGATAAGAATCTGATAAAAATCTTATTGAATATCTCTATTAAAACAATGGAGTATATGTTATCCTACTATATCAAATCTCTGTTTAATAGTTTGAGATTGATATTTTATAAAATGAACATTAGATTAGAGATATTTTTTTAAAATATAGGATAATACTTTAAAGAAACGAATCTTCCTTTGTCAATGAGAATAAAGTGATTTTAACATATTAGATGTTTATTTAAATATGAAAAAAAAAATATCAATTTTAGCAAGCGTCTTTCTTGACGAGCTTCAATGTCTTACGGCACATTGGGCAGAACTTAAGCTTATCCTTATTCTCCTGGTAGCATTCTTCGCAAAGAGAAACGTGGTGGCAAGGTAAGAATGTATAAACAGCTTGTCTTGCCTGGCAGAAGACGCAGATACCCAAGTTAGAGCTAGAAACTTCTATACCACGAGACTTATTCATCAATGTCTCGATAATGAAGTCATTAAGCTGTTTCTTGAGTGCTTCTGGTGCAACTTCAGCAGCCTTCAAGTTATCCTTATTAACGGACATATGATCGGCTCCTGAGCTGATAAGGAATCTGCAAATCTCTGCATGGTTATGTTTAGCAGCGATATGTAATGGGGTATTTCCATCTTCATCTTGGGCATCGATAGCAGCGCCGTTTTCAAGAAGGAGTTCGACCATTTCGAACCTTCCGTAACGAGCAGCAAGATGTAATGGTGTAACAGAATTCCAGTTTTGAGAATTGACATCAACACCTGCATCGATTAAGGCTTGAGCAATCTCACAAACGCCTCTTTCGGCAGCATCATGTAAAGCAGTTCTCTTATCGTTGCAAATATGCGAAGCTGTATCACCAGAAGAAATGATATACTTTGTATTTTCGATATTGCTTGCATCAACAGCATAAAATAATGCTGTTTTCTGATGCGAGTCTTGTGTATTAATATCTCCTCCAAATTTCAAGAATAAATCAAATAATTCCTTATTCTGAGCGGCAACATGAATAGCGGCAATTTCTGATGGTCCTACACGATTTGGATTTGCACCTTTTTCAAGAAGTACTTGACAAATTGGGACTGACTTTTTTTCTGCGGCGAGATATAAAAGATCTTTTGGTGTACTATTTATATCTGGTATTCCTTCTAAGGCCTTTTTCAGGTTATCAACATTACCTTCTTCAATAGCCTTTAGTGCTCCTTTCATCTAACGTATACTAAAAGTGACACATATCAACGTATAACACTTATTGGATTTGTCAGTAAATAATTATGTTTATATAATGTACATTGAAAGTCAATTAAACATTAAGCGTGAATTAAGAGAAAAGCTTGAAAAATTTTTATGAATAAAAAAAAATTAATTAATATTTGATATAATTAACATGAAAATAGATAATATATTAAAAATAAATTTAATTTATAGATTTAAATTCTTTCTAAACTTATTATTTTATCTGAAAATTTTAAATTAATTTGGAAAAATTGAAAAACCGCCAAGAAAATTTCAAAAATAAAAAAATGATCTTCAAAACTTCGAAAAAGAATTCCATATTTGCAAAATTACGAAAAATTTGGAATTTCAAAAACTGAACACTAGCTATAACAATCATTTCTGAAGGGAAATTATTGAGAAATCCTAAGAAATAAACAATTATCAATATTACCCAGATTTGCTTTACTTTTACCACCTCTCGAAAGCTGGGGACACCGCCTATCGTTGGGAGTAGCTATTAAATAGAACCATAAAGGGTATTTTTCGAACTGCCGGTGTAGTGGAAACATCTGACATAATGATTCGTTATGCCAAGGTTTGATTCCCATTTTGCCAATTTTTTTCTTTTTTGGATCATGAATTTTTTTTTGGGTCACTATAAGATTTGTTTCATGTTCTAAATCTGCTGCATATGTAATCTATTTTTATTTACCTATTTTTTAAAAATCTATTGGATTGCCAAATTTGAATATATTTAAAATCATAAAACTCCAAAAAAACTATAAATATATGTTTTATGCATAGTGCCGATACTCAAATATCAGATTACTTAGATCCATGAATAATATCCGAATTTTTTTTCTTAAAATTAAACTTCAAAACTTCTTCCAATCTTATTCTTCATTAATTGTAAATTTTTAAAACCATTTTTTAAAATAATTTTGCGTAAATTTTATTCTCATGTTGTTTTAATCGAAAATTGATACATTTTCATAAAAATAATATTGACTTATGAAATTCATTTTTAAGGTGAAATAGTATTGTTTTTATTAAAGTATATGAATAATATATAAAAAATTAATGAATAATATAAGCAGATTTTTAGTTTACAAAACAAATATGAGCAATGCAATTTCAAACTTTTGCTGGCAATTTCGATATTGCTCAAGTTTGTAGTATTTGTGATACCTATAACATCGGCTTAATCAAAATTCGATTTTTCTTATGAGTTATTGAGAAAATTTGATTGCAATGAGAAGGATTTCGACGTTTTTGATAAACTAAGAGCTGAGCTTTAGGGGTTCAGTTCATTTATGGCTGTAGTTTGATGCGTAGATCTCTTTTTTATTGTAAATTCTTTCAGCATGGAGATCGAGAATGAATCTTTTGAGAACTTTATGAGTTTTTACACCCGTAAAGAGGTCCTTCGAGGAAAGATAGTCCAGACTACATGAAGATGTGGGTTAACCAAAAAAATCCGATGGTTTCCCCATATTCATGTAGATCTTCGAAAAAATGAGCACCAAAAAAGCCAAAAAAATAGGCTTTTTATTGGATTTGTACACTAGATCAATAACCTATTTAGGATCTGACACTCTTTTTAGCCAGAGATATGAGGTCCTTTCTAGGAAAACGATCTATTCATCCATAAAAAAAATGAATTATCGTTTTCCCCAGAAATTACATGGGGAGTGGTAAAAGTAAAGCAAATCTGGGTATTATTAATTTTAACGCATTTATTCATGATAGGTCTCACTTGATAAGCATTGTTGTAAAAATCATTACGTATACTTTCGATGAATAGAGTTTATTTAACAAATAGAGAATAAATATTACAAAAGATATGGAATAAACAATAAAGAAATACTTGATAATGGTATCATCCACTAAACAGTCACAAGTCACCACAGAATTTATTGAGTAGTTCTTGGCATTAGACCGTTTTGTAATTGTGGATGAAGTTCAGCGATTTGGTCGAAGTCTTCCTTCATTAATTCGAATGCTTCGACGTATGTCTCTGCAATAGCTGAAGCAGATTCAGCGCTACCGTTTATAATTGAAGATTCTCCTAAAACGCAGCCATTTGCTCCATCAAGGACGTTAATGAGAGCACCGCTTGTGTTGATCATATCTACCTTTCCTTCTGTGACGAAATACATTCTGTTGCTTACTCTGCCAGATTTTATCAAAAAGTCACCGGGAGTGAAGATTCTTGGCTGCAGAGCCATAGCTACCCTCTCAAGAACTTCTTCGTTCGCTTCTCTGAAAGCTTCGACCTTGTTGAACACTTCCATATGAAGAGCCAAAGCAAGTCGTTTCTGAAGGCCTTCTGGCATCTTTGACGCGGTTTCGAAGAAATCAGCTCTATCTCTATCGCGTTCCCATACGTATTCGTAGTAACGAAGCAATTCTCTCATGGAATCATCGGAAATTCCACGCCATTTGAATGCGCTGTAGATACGTTGGTATTTCGAAAGGAAAGAGTTACGAGATGGATCAGCGACGATGGAAACCATTGTAGAGACAAGGAAGTTATAAAAGAAAACTCCGACGGCTTCTACACAAATTACAACACATATCTCGGGGAAAGTGTACGGATGTAAATCACCATAACCGATAGTAAGGATTGTGGTCGTAATGTAGTAAACCGTGTGGAAATATTGAATAATTTTCGGCTTTTCGCTAATTTTGGACTCTGTAAGCCAAGAAGTATTAGGAATCTCGACATTACCAGTGTACCAGAATACACAGGCGCATATATGAACGATTGTTAGTAATGTTGTAAATAATGTAGCCATTTTTGAAATTGGAGAGATATAAACGAGAGTATTCTTGATGACATGGTTAGCATCGTATAATCTGACTAATCTTAAGCATTTTATAAGCAGTAAAATATTATATAAAAGGTCAATTTTTGCAAAATAACCGATTAGATAGTATGGCCATGGAGACAACCAATATATAATCAATCTCCAGTTAGGAATTGTTGAGTCAATTGATGCTTTGTCCAATTTGATAACACCATATTGTAAAATACCAGTTCTTCTGACAATAAATATATCAGCAATAAAGAAGCAATCGATAATTAGGGCAGGAAGCATCCACAGGAATGTCTTTTTGAAGTTAAAGGCCCATTCGAAGGGGATCTCCCATAAAACAATCATTGACAGAAAATACATGATATATTCCCAAATCCTACGAAGTACATGATATGGGTATATACCATAGTTCTCATTGATTTGGTTAGCGCCATTGGCAAGGCTGAAATCACCTTGCATGACCTTTGAATTTAATAAAATTTCCCTATCGTTAAAAAAGTTCAGATTCTTTTCAATTACTTTTCCATCAATGGATAAGTCTTTTCCGCCAAGTTGGTATTCACCTGTATCATTAACTCTATCAGCATTAGCTAATGCAATATGAATATATTCATGAATTTCAACTTTTTTTTTCATTCAAATAATTATATGATATAATTATACCAAAAAATAACAAATATAAAAAAAGATCATGAAGTATTTATATGGAAATATAACAAATCTTTACTATATAAGGAAAATTAGATCAAGATATTGACTACATCATCTTGTCTTGGAATTCTTCTGAAGCGTTCTCCAGAATTAAGTTTCTCTAGATAAGTATTGCATGCGCTATTCATTTTCATATGTTTTTGAAGATTTTCAGAATGGAAACTGTTCATGAGTTCAAGATTCTTCTTTTGTTCTAGCAAGTTGTTTCTGATCTTCTCTTTATCATCACCTTGGACTAATTGTTTATATTCCTCTTCAAGTTCTGCTGCACGATCACAGGTTGCTAAGAACTCGCGTAATTTCCTTGGTTCATCGGATATTTCTTGATTAACTGATGCTTGAACACGTAATCTGACACAAAATTGAGGTGAAAAAATGTTACGAGTTTGGAATAGATCTATAATTTGAAGAACTTCACCAATTTCTCCAATATCCTTTCTCTTTGCTATTTTAATTATTACATACTCGATAACGGGAGAGAATGCTTTAAATATTGTTGGATTTACTGATTTGGATCTCTGAAGTATATCATTGAGCATATATAAATACTTTAGATAGTTTGTATCGTATTCTAATACTTCCTTAAATGCTCGAGATAAAATGTTGATGTATTTTTCATTGCTGAAGACATATTGAGTGAAATTAACTATCATTAATTGAGTTGTATCAATTTGGATTATTCTGTTCTTGTAAATATTGAGCAAACTTTCTTCATCAATACTCATTTTGAAAAAAGTGACAATTCATTTGATAAAATCAAATGTTCAGGAAATCATCTTATCTATCCAATAGATGATGAAACCAATCGATTTCTTAAGGAAAATATAGCAAAAATTAAGTGTATAAATCAAATTTTAATACCAAATTGTTTCCAGAATTTCTTAATAAGCAAAGATAAATGCTCTTCAAAGGTTAAAGCTATTATTGTTATAAGCTTGAGTTTGGCCATGATATATGACCAAACGAAAAATATCGTTTTTCCATTGCCAAAGCAATAGAAATATAGTATTAAATGTAAGTTTAATTAATCAAGAATATCAGAAGATATTTACTGTTGCTCGACAGCCTTAACCTTGCGGGACTGGTTGAGGATTTCGATGTTGAGATCCTGAGCCTTCTTGATAATTTCCTGCTGAAGCTTGAGGCCAACTTGCTTGGCAATCATAGCACCGTGTGTTGTGTTCTTTGTGAGGAGCATATCAAGATCCTTGACAGAACGGACAAGGACTGGGATGAAGCCAGATGGGAGCATGTATCTTGTCTCCTTATCAGATCCGAAGCCAGCGCCTGGGTGGAGTGGGGTGCCACGATATTTCCTGCGGAATCTGGAGTCGATACCGCGTGGATGGCGCCAGGCGGAAGGAACACGCTTCCAGAGATCGGACTGTGGGCGATGGAACCTGTTTGTCTTCTTGTGGACGATTGGTTTGTGCTCAGCTGGAGACACCATGAGAAAGACCACTTTTCGGCTATTATCGGCGTGGAGCGTCGATGGAAGACACCTTATGAAAATTATTTTCGGCCATTGAGTTTAACATTTTTTGATGGTGAATGAGACAAATATATTCATATGATTTTTTTGCAGTTTCTATCATGAAAATTTTCATTCAATTTATTATCGAAGGAATTGGATTCTGGGAATACAGCTATTGATCCAAAACTACAATGTTTATCATGCATGTTCATGTACCAATTGTAGTTTATTAATATATATATCGTACTTGTTAAACTTCTAATGACATAACTCATTCAAGGATGAAGTATATTCTATTTGTATCAAAGATAAAATATTTTAACTGTGATTCGAATTGAATCAAATGATGAAAAAATTGATTATTATTAATATAATATATGTTTGAAGATTCAAGAAATTACCATCAACATAAGAGAGAAAAATCCATGGAAAGCTCAACAATGCTTACATATCAAGTAATTATTTTTCGTTTGAGTAAACAAATTTTAAAATTATTCCGTATCTTTTTAGAAATACTTTGAATTTTTGAGAAGATGCGGAATTAATTAACAACATAATAAATGAATAAATATCATTCTTTATATCAGACATGAAAAACATATTTTCTGAAGCAAATGCAATGAAATCAAAGAGGAATTTATAAAAAATACAGCTGAATTTTTTACAACTTTAATTTTTATTGAAAAAAATAAAGGGAACATAAACATAATGAACAATTTACATCTATCGTTGTGCGTGGTCCAATACTTGATGCGGTAAAATTTCGGTAAGATTAATCTTGAATTGAAATATTAAATATTATGATATTAATCAGATTAATTGATAGAGGTATTGTAATAGATTATAAAAACAATGTGCAAACGCAGTATAAATAAAAGGGTAAATTTCGGTGAATTTCAAATATTAAATAGAACATACCAACAAGTAGATATTTAGGCTTGCATGTACAAGTAGATTTAAATTCCATTGTTTTAATCACTCGGCGAATAATCATATTTTTTTGACATTTTTCGATTTTTTAAATAATTTGCCGATCGAATCAGTTGCTTTTAAAGACACATAGTGTTGTTAATTTCAATTTTGATGATATTTATGACATTGAAAATTCGTCGGCGAAAACAGCTCTCAATTTTTTTAATCAAAAAATCTGGAAAACACAAGCCATTATACTAGTACTAAGTTAAAAGATATTTTTCAATGAAATAACCTGTCATGAGATTAATTTTCGAAATTGAATAGATTGGCGTCAAAAACTCATTCAAATCAAATTGAATTAATATTAATAGATTTATCTTTTTATTCAGATCACCATATTTTGTTTCTCATGTTCTGACCTGATTAAAACATACAAAAGATCATTTAAAATCATTGACATATCGTTTGGTCACTGTTATCAAAATTCATCGGTTTCATCAGAAATCTGATTTTGTTTTGGCATAATGTAAAATCATCTTCTAAGACAGATTTAACCGAAAAACATCGTTATCAAGTATTTTCTCTCAAATGATGACCGACGGAGCCTTCAAAATTTGGACAAATTGCTCAGAAAAATTGAGATTCAATCTAGCTACCAAAAACAATCATGAGTGATTGCAGATACATGCTTCCACCAATAGAGTCAATCATGCCATCAATGGGCAACTTCCAACCCTTCATTATAGTTCCTCAACAAACTCAACCAGTAGTAGTTGTTGAAGCTCCAAAGACAACTAAAAAGATGAAGTTCACTCCTGAAGAAGATAAGAAACTTTGCTCTCTTATTAGACAATATGGTTCTAATGATTGGATTCATATCTCCGAGTTGATGAAGACAAGAAACCCAAGACAGTGCAGAGAAAGATGGAACAACTATCTTAACCCCAACTTAAGAGATGATCCATGGACCATTGAAGAGGACAAGCTCCTTATTGCTAAGTACCGAGAGTTCGGAACTCATTGGTCAAAGATCTCCAAGTTCTTCGCCCATAGATCGGATAATGCTATCAGAAACAGATGGCAGATGCTTTTAAGACAATCTGAACGTCGTTACCAGAGTTCATCATCATCCTCAATGTCTGATGCATAGATGAACTAATTTTTTTCGAACAATTTATTTTTGCGGAATTTATTTTATGATTTCAATACATTAACAAGGGAAAAGTCTTCGCTATAGATACTCTTTCCTAGTGTATGGGTCTTGCAATCCAATTGCAAGAAAAAATCAATTTTATTTTTGTTGTTTGAAATATAAATGATCTGTCTGTTATTCGAAATCATTTTGCAACCTTTAATCTTAGAAACACCATTTAATTACTATTTACTTGTTCCTGATATACATTTTCCCAAAATGTTTTTGTTGGTAGCTGAAATTTTAGAAAGATTGGAATTATTCAATGGAAAAACATACTAATTGAAAGAGTCAAGTAACAAAATATAATCATGTTTAATCAAAACATCCTCTTTAGTTGATCGAATCAACCAATTTATTGTAATAACATATAAAAAGCTCTATTATTTATATTATATCAAAACAATAAGAATTGAGAATACAAACAGGCATGCATTCTCATCTAAGATAGAAAATTTCAAAGAGATTCAACAATTGCTTCCTCATCATCTTCATTTTGATCTGCATTGGAACTAGAATCAAGTCTTTGTTCCTCTTCAGGTTTAACTTCTTGCTGTCCTGGTTTAGGTTCAGTGAGGACATAAAGTAAAATTGCTGCTGGAATGCAAACAAAACCTACCAAATAGATCCAACTTGCTTTGCTCTTAAATGCAAATATATCAATAAAGAGCGAGTAAAAGTTTGAAGTTAATAAGGAAATATTCATAACGGTAGCATTTGAATGTTGCATTACTACCGGGCAAACCATATAGTATATTGACAATACTATTGAATATCCAAAGAGTAGGCAAGCGCCTTTGGCATCCCAGCTGTAATCACGAATTTGTTTCCATTCTAATGCACCGGCCAAAATACCTGTAAGTGGAAAATCAGGAGTCGAAATAGACAGAAGGTAAGTGTGAACACTTTCGTCCTTTACAAGCTTTTCCTGTAAAACTGTAGAACATGCATAAAAAACCGCACTTAATAATGCCAAAAGGTTACCTTTTAATCTACTTCCTTCGACACCTTGGGCAACCATAACCATTGAAACACCAACGACAGCTAAAATCATTGCTAAAAATTGCCACCAATTAATCTTTCTATGGAAAACGAAGAAGGCAAGAGGGGCAATCCAAAATATGACTGTTGTTGATAGTAACATTGCTGAAGCAAGAGATGTATAGTCATAAGCAAATATTCCGACAACATCTCCTCCGAAACAGCAAAGAGCAACAAGCACTTGAATCCACCATGGCGTTTGTGTTTTGGGCCACCACCATATATTTGTGATGAAAATGAAAAAGTAGTTTAAGCATAAAGCTAAAAATGGAAGGAACTTTCCTTGAAGGTTAAATGCATATGAAACTATTGTATTTGCACCTGTAAGCATCAGGGCAAGTATTTGCCAAGCTATTAAGACGCACCATACGTTACCTAGTACTTTGTCTAACATATAAATGACCACTATCTCTCTCAAAAAAATTATTATCAATCATCTATCAAAATTTTTATATTAATATATTTAGTAAAGCAGATTTATTTTGAGGTTGAATCGGCCATGTATTCAAAAATTGTTAAAGATTTTCAATTTTAACAATTTTGAATAGTTTCAGAATTTTCTATTAATTTTTAAAGTGATAGATTTAAAATAACGGTAAAATGTTACATAAGAATAATAACCTAATCAAGGTTTAAATATAAAAAACTCTCATTTTTTTAAGGTAAAATTTTTTGATCATTTGAATATATAAGTACCATAATGCTAAGACACGGAGTTAAATTCCATATCAGCTTTTTTTAAAGTCCAAAAATAATTCTTGTTGTAATCAGATTTGCCACACTTGTTGTTCAAGATTCATTCTTTGTTTGAGATATCAATAACATTTATTTTGGATACATATTTGATTCAAGCAATCTTATCGGGCACGATAAGCATGATTATTTTTTTTTAAAATCTAGTAACTTAATCTATCTATCAATGAATACATATTAAAAGAAGAATAATGTCGAACAGTATCAACAATTTGCCCATTTAATTAATTTTTTGGAAATAATTTAATCTTATTGTATATATTCTGCATTTCATTTGGAATATTGCTTATTGATGACATATAAAACTAGTTATCCATTATATTCTTTATGTTCGCAAAGTTGGATGGTTAATTTCAAGAGTTGAATTTCGATTAATGGTTTGATTGAAATTGTAAGTCATCTGAAAAATAAAAAGGTAATACCAATATATTTATGGTGTAAAAATGCCATTTCCTAATTATGTGATCTTAATTTAATTCTGATAAACTTATAAAATCAATGTAGTCATATCTAATTTCCAACTTGAGGCATCACTAATGTTTCCGTAAAACCTATCATGCTTATTTGTTAATTCTTTGATGATTTATTTCAACATCACTTCAAAACAGGCGTTTTGGTTATAATCAAATGGTTGTGACATATCCTAACAATAGAAAATATAAAATCAATGCATATATCTTTCCATCTTTAAATTTATGAAGATTTTTGATTAAATTAAGACAGTAAGAGGGACAATAATATAGGATAATAAGTTTAATGCAGAAAACGTTATAAGCAATACAAAATCTGGATCTATATGATAAAAATTTTATTCAAAATGTTTGAAATAGGTTTGTGATAATTCTATTTATCATTTAATATAGAAACTTTGAAACAATTTTCACTCTAATGTAACCTAGCTTCAATTCAAATTTCACATCAATGGTAATTCCTGTATCGAATTGAAATATCGGTTCTGTTATAGCACATACAAATAACATTTTGTAACTTACATGGTTTATATAGTATACATGGTATATCAGCATTTTATTCGGACTTGAGCAAAATTATCCAAGATAATTTTGTTTTTTTTATCATTAAATAATCTTGTAGATGGAATATTTGTATCAATGAATCTAACTTTGCACGATTGCTTGGTTTGGAATACCAACATATGTATCAATGCAATTATAATTGCATCTGAAGACTCTATCTTCACCAGATTTCCTTTTAGTAACATTTATGCATAACGGTTTCATAGTTAGGATCCGAATTGTATTAAAGAAACATTCAAATCCAATAAAAGCAAAAATGTACCACAATATAATTCCTATTCGGCTTCGGAAAAAGGCATCAATAATGTTTTCTCTTCCTGAGAAATTGACACAAACATACTGCTTATAATCATTACATTTTTCAATAAGTGTTGATTCTGCGTATCTATCAAGTGTCAAACCAAAAGCAACTGCTCTTAATTTGCAATCATCAATCATGAGAGTAGCAGCTCTATCATATTGGTAATTTAAATTTAAATTTATCAAGTAATAACCTTTGGATGGAATATTGGGTAAATCTGAGTTATCTTCCCAGGATCCATATTCAACATTATGATATTCGATTTTTGATAAGAATCTACACGTATCTTAAGTACCGGTGGGCTGTAGCGTGCTTTCATAAGTGTATCTAAGAATTGAAGTTTATTGAGTTTATTAAAACGAATACTATGAATTACAGAATCTTCGGATTTAATCGATACTGCGTATGATAAAAATAGGAATAATGACTTCACAATAATTAATATAAAAATTCCCGCTGATGTATTTTCAGTGGGCTCTAAATAACACATAATGCCCAGCGCTGTTAAAATCATTTGGATCGCTGCGATGATAACAGACGGCCAAGACGCCACTTTTCTGTTGAATATCAAAGGGATAATAAAAGGTATAGTATTCATGGAAACAAAGCTTATCATTATCTGTAAATTAGATCGTTTTTTGCTAAAAATTTACCCTTTTCTTGTGTCAGAAAGGTGAGAAAAACAAAACAAAAAAACAAAAACAAAAACAAAACAAAACAAAAACAAAAACAAAAACAAAAAAAACTTAAGGGTGCACTTACCACTTTCTGACATTCTCTCAATTTTTTTGACACACAAGCTTTCTAACCCAATATTATAAGGTCAAAAGTTAATATTTTTGGTCAGGAGAAAGTAAATATGAATCACTATAGAGAACCTAATATGACTATTATACTTTTCTGCTAATAAAATAAAGATATATTGATTTTTTCATTGCATGTCAAAAAGTGGTAAGTGCACCCTTAATTTTTCCCCTCAGATTTGCCAATTTTCTGATGTGATGTTCTTTCATATTCTCTCTGACAACTAGCTACCGCAACTCTGAGAAAACCAAATCTAACTATATATATACTTTATATTATTCTAGTCTAAGTTTTTACATTCTTTCTGAAATAATCAAAATATTTATATATTTATTTTTGTTTAATAAACTGTTTTGCTTCCATACAAAGTTGGATAGCTTTACCGTTTCATATATATTTATATATTGCCTTTAGTTACTTATGATTTTATTTTGGAAGGCGTGTGGGCAATTTTAACGACATTTTTTAACGCGATACGAGCGTAAGTCCATAGAATGTGTTTTGAGGGAAACTATAAAAATCCAAAATAGAGGTAAGTGCGCCATTATTACCTGCGAAGTTACATGGAATAAATCGAAGAGTAAGTGCAAGATGATCTTGCATCTTTCCAAGTAAATGAAATAAGAGTTCATATAAGCACTATCTAATACACTCTTATTTTTTCTCTCTTAGTCAAACCTATTTCAAGGTCATGTTCAAATCAATGAGGGTTAAAATATTGAGAGTTCACAATTTTATAATAAGAATATTTATTATAAATCATTTTTGTGATCTAATAAATAAAAGTTCAGATCCTAAAAAATTTTTTTGGTGCGATCCCTCGAGAAAAATATAAAAATTAAAAAAAAATGAAAAGAAGCTTTGTAAAATATTCCCAGTCTGACTTCCAAGACTTCAGCTTTCCTATAAACAAAGAGTTTAGGAACAGCATTGCTGTCGCTGGAATTCAGGCTGGAATTGTTGTTGCATATGCTTCTGACAGATTAATTATTGTTTTAATGAGCGGCAAGTATATTGCAGCAATCCTAAAAGACCATACAGCCAGGGTATGCACACTTGCATTTGAACAAAGAGAACCACACATTATTTCATGTGATGTCGAAGCAAATTGTTATTTTTGGCACTATCACGAAAATTCATGGGAAAACACTCGTACAGTACAAATTTCTTCACCAGTTACATCAATTGTATGGTGCGGATTTAGACGTATCATTTGCTATTCTTCTAAAGATGGATTATTTTCAAGTCCTGTATCTACATTTGGCACTGATAAGAAGAAATTAGCGCCTAAATCAGAAATCTGCGCTTTTAATTTCGATGCTTCTCTTATCGCTTCTCATACTTTTGGAAAATATTTGACAATTTTTAATTTGACGCTTGAAAATTATTGTGAAGTTCTCAAATTATCATCAAACATCATAAAATTCGATTTTCATCCACGTCTACCGATTCTTTTGACTTATTCACAAGATGGAATCCTCAGAATTTGGAAACAATCGAAATACTCTACATTTGCATGCTCAGCTGCAATCAACGCTCCTGCTCCTGGATGCTTTATACACATGCCGATATTTTTCCCGGAGAAATACACTTTTCGAAAGAATCATATGGGAAAAATCGCGTTTATTGACGATAACGAGAAAATAATTACATTAAATCTCAGCGAAAATGGTCGTTTCATCAGCGGAAAACCAGCAGCAGCGTTCGAAGGTTGCAATTTTACAAAGAAAAAGCACAACATTCCAATTCAAGCTTATCATACAAATACATGTACTCTTGCACTTACTATCAACGACAACAACATCTCTTTAGTCATGAAATCAACGAAAAATACATTATTTTCAAAAACAACATTTCTTTTTCATACGGAGAAGGTTATTTCAGCTGCGTTCTCTACAGATTCTCAATCTCTTGCTACTTTGGATAAATCTGGAATTATGATAATTTGGTTTTTGTACAATATCTTCAAGAACCCTTTCATCGCGTCCACTGATGTCCAAGCAATGAAATATTTGACTCAAAATGAAGTTTTATTCTCGAAATTAAATAAATTATACAAAATTAACATAAATACAAGGGAAATCAAGCCAATAGAGTTCCCAGAATATTCGGATATCAAGAGCTTATTCATATTTAATGGCCAACCATATGTTTTGACACAAAATCAGATAATATCTCAAAATACCAAAAAAGATATTCAGCCATACGACTTCTTTTCGATCTCCAAAGAGTACGAGAACAATTGTTTGCTGGTTTTCGGAAAGAAAAATGGAGAAATTTGGACAATATACTTATCTGACATGAAAGAACTTGAAATACCATCATTAAACAAAGAGATCTTTGATGTTTGTGCTGTTTCCATCTACGAATTCTCAGTTATGAGCAAAAATGAAGCAATTTTCTTTTCAAATCCTGAAGGAACAAAGTTTATCGAGAATGGAGAGATGGTAACTCCACCTCTTAAAGGTTTCTGTGTCGAGAGCCATATCATGGCTTCAAGAATCATTGCTCATGACGGGTCTTCAATTATATCTTTACAAAACAACCCGACAAAGCTCCTTACGTTACGTGAATTGCAAAGTCCAATTGATTTTATTGTTGTTTCGCCTATTGGTGATCTCTGCGTTGTTTGCGATAAGAATTTTTATTTTCATTCCGGCTTCAGCCAGCTTTATTGGGACGAAAGAATACCGTTTAGGCGCCACCAACAACAAACCAAGGAGCAGACAGTTACTATTGAAGAGCACAAGATTATTAAACAGTTAGATAGAGATTGCGACGTCATGGTTTCTCCTGATATTTATCTAGAGAGACGTTCAGATGCAGCTAATATCTGTCGTAATACTCTTGTCCATTTACTTGAGTTTTCTTCGGCATATTCTTTGGATGATGTTAATCCCATTCAAATGCCAGCATTTCCGAACCAGATCGCGTTCCCTGATTCTTTCTTTTTACCAGAAACAGCAGATCCTTCCTATTTAAAGAGTTTAGAAACAATTAAATCAATTACCGGAGATTTGGATATGTTTTCCTTAAGATATATCCTCGGAATCCTCGAAAGCAACAAGCCACCAACATTTTTAGCCCTTTGGCTTTCGTTTTCGGCCACTCAAGCTCAAGCTCTTCAATATATCTCCGACAAAATCACGACGGCCAACATTTCTCCCTTCTTTATTGGAATATGTATCAAAAACCAGCGACTTCTTGAAGATTTCACGTCGAAAGCTCTATCAAATACGTGGATTTTATTCAAAAAACCAGAATTAGTCGCTTTATTCCATATTGCGATGGGAAGTGTCCATAAACTTCCTAAACTCTACAATATCGCTGAAGATAACCCTCGTGCTGAGTTCTTTAAGAAAGATTTCACTCAAGAAAGGTGGAGAAAGTCCGCTCTGAAGAACGCTTACTCATCATTGTCACACCACGGCTTCGACATGGCCGCAGCGTTATTCCTGGTCGCAGGAGATGTCGAATCAGCCGTCGGAGTCATTGTGAATCAGATGAAGGATCCAATATTGGCATTTCACATTCTCCGACTGATCGAAAAAACAGTAAATGGCCCATACATGAAGAAATTCCTTCAAACGGTCGAATGGGATGATGAAGTTGTTCCATGTATAATATCAAATTTAATTTCACCGTTTGAAACACAAGAGAAGCTCAGGAAAGCATTGGCATCGCCTCTTAAGCCAACAATGTTCGGAGACCAACGCCCTGCTTTGTTCCAAATCCTTTACCATTTGAGTAGAAACAAAAATGACGCAACCGCCGTCGCCCATTCACTTCTTTGCTCTGGTTTGGCTCCACTGGCTTCGTATGTATTGAAATACAGCGAATGTCCGTACGATAAACCGCGTTTGACCGGTGCAAACGTTATTGATATTATCGAACAGGACCAAAAGCAAAATAAAGAGGAAGAAGATGAAGAAGAACAACCAAAGAAAAATATGTTCGCGTCTTCGACCAATTCTGAAGAGGATGATACAAATTTCGATTTTGGAGGCGGCGGAATGGACGATTGGGACGACAGAACAGAAGACAGCGATGATTGGAAGTCATCGGAATCAGATGATGAAGACGAAGAAAAGAAAAACAAAGAAAAATCCGAAGATGAAGAATATTCCGAAAAAGAAACCGAAAAAATCGAACAAAAAGAGGAAGATAAATTATCAGTATTAGTCAAAGAATACATATCTCGAAGAGTTAAGAGTCTTTGCAACCTTTTCGCAGATAAAAGTATAATTGACAACGATGCCGCCTCTTTCTGTATCCATTTCGCAGCCATTGACCTTGGTCGGACATTTTTAGATGACAAAGAGAAAGAAATTTTGGCAGAAAAATTATCAACTTATATTGACTTTTGTTGTATGCTCTTCTTGAACTCAGCAAAAATTCCATCCAAGCCAGCGAATCTTTTCGGCCTCTTACTTTATCTACACAGCTTTTATTGCGATCCAAATGAAGCATTAACTCTCAAATCCATCAAAGAAATGCCATCGAACGGCTTCATGCACTCTGTGTTCTTTGGAGCCTTCACAGTTGGCTTGTGGACATTCTTACATCATTTAATTTGCCAAATTTTAGGAAGTCCACGCGTTAACACCATTCTTTTCGTTCCCAGCGATCTTCCACCCGCACAAGCTCTTTTCAACGCCGATATCTTCGCTCCCCGCTATCCAGATTCCGTTCCCGACTTATTATCCAGATATGCAACCGGAACTTCCTTAGATAGAGACCGAACTCTTGCCATGATCCTTCTTCTTAAGCGGTTCTACAACGAAACAGCCCATTTCACACACGAAAAAGACAAGGAATGGCAGGAACACATTCTAGCGAGATTGTGGTCGCTCATGAAAACACTTCACTTCTTCCAAGTCGCGTTCCAATCTCCTCCATTTGCGTTGCCGAACACAATAGGAACACTCCACCCACTGACAGAGATCATTGTAGACACTCATAAAGCGGAACAGTTGTATCTCGCCATAATTCAGAAGAAGTCCTTAGAAAAAGTTGCGATGCCTGCAATTTTCAGAGGTAATCAATTTGCTTTTTCAAAGGAAGATGTTTCCATTATCACTTTTAACGGAAATTGTCTTTCATTTGCTGTCACTCCCTTGTCCAAACAGAAGTTTGTAGTTGTATCAGACCAGGTCTACATGACACAACTCGATAGAAAGCATTCGCACCCTTTGTTTGGCTTCACTCAGAATATGTTATCAGATGTCGTGACATTACTGAGCCATCCTCACTTCGATCTGTTCATATTAGTCACCAAATCGAACGCCTACCTCATGGACGGCAGCCAGAAGGATGAAGTTGTTTTCCATTTAGATACAAATTCAATAACATGCGCCGCTTTCTCTCCGAATGGTACAAAAGTTGCTTTTGGCACCGCAAACGAGTTAATCATCATACAGCTCGAGATCGGAAGAGAAAACATTTACCCTGTTTTTAGAATGCCATGTTCAAAATCAATTACAAGTTTGTGTTGGTTGAATTCTGATACACAACTTATAATAGGAAGTGATTCTTGTTTGATGCTAGCTGATACATTGACATGCGAACTGTTCAGACTATCAGAAAATCCTTCTTGGGGACCAGTAACATGTGTAAAACTTGATGAATCATGCAAGTTTTTGGTTTTCGGAACAATGAGTGGAAAAACAGTTATTGTTGATATGAACAAAGGATTTGAAGTTGTCTGCGTTTATTCAATGACTACTTCTATTGTTTCTATTGTTATTCTTTTGGATTTGTGTGTAATAGCAAGCAGTGATGGATTGATTACTGCATTTCCAATTGGAAAAACAGCTCTTCACGCAAGTTTTAACTCTCCTGTTCCAATTACTTGTTTCACTGCTTTGGATGACTCTGTAATAGCAACAGGATCTAAATTCCTTCTTGTTTGGAAGGTTCAATAATAATATTATGTATTTTTTTTTCTATATGTTATTATAATTAAAACGATTTTTGTTTATGTATAAAATCAATAGATTTTTTCTCCCTTTCAATGTAATTGAAAGAACTATGGATGGATATAAACTAGTTTTCATATCCTTTGCCTTGGTTCCCATCAATTGTCTCAATTATTCTGTATCGTACGCGAAGGATATGATTTCAAGTTTACATATACATGTTTTAACTGTTAACTTTGCAAAAAGTCCATTAGCATATAATATAATGCTTATATTTAGTAAAATTAATATACATTTCAAGGCTAATCGTGATTTTTTTTTGTGTGGCAACAATATCTGTGTATGACATAATAGGAACGAAAATAGGTATGAGTTTTATAATGCTATTTTCTACATATTACTTGAATATGTCGTAGTTTATCTTCAAAATGATCGCTTACTGAATATATTGGATTATTACTTAAAAATTTACAATATTGAAGCTTAGTCGGATGAAGATGATGATGAAGAAGAATCCTTCAAAACAGGGACTTTAATGATAATCTAAGTTTTGGTAGTCATTCGAGCATTTTTCATAGCAAATTGATACATTGGCGGGTAGTAATATGGAATATAGTTATAACTAGGAGTTAATGCATTAATAGCAAAGACTTCTTCATCGGAATATGAAGACGACAATGAAGATGAACTGGAAGAAGATGATGAAGAGCTTGATAAGGAAGATGAGCTAGATGAACTGGAGGAGATTGAAGAACTCGATGAAGAAGATGATTTTGATGCAAATGAGAATTTACGGTGGACTTTCTTTTTCTCTTTCTTTTCTGGCTTCTTTTTATCAAGTTTCTCCTTTTTATATGTATTTTGTAGCCTTTCTTTTTAATGTTTACTTATTTGCTTGTTAAAGTTAAATATAACTCCAAGGGTGTCATCTTTTGTTTTACATTGCTAGAGTTTGGATCTCACAAAACAGTGTAAAAAGCATGGACGAATGGAAAAATGTTTTTAAATCTTCAACCATATATTGTATTTTTTTCTAAGATTCAAAAAGAAAAAAGTGATAAAACATGAAAAGAGATACACAAAGATATTATCAGTGTTTTATTATGGACATTCATATAAATTTAATCCATATTCATATAAATATTCAGTAACCCAAATTTCATAATTCTCTCTAGATTTTTTTTTTCGGGACAGAAATTTTACAACTATAGAAATAGTTATTTAATGAGCCAGCGTCTATTTAATGAGCTTATGACTTTATATGCAGATTGTAATGATATTATGTCTACACTATACAAACTAAAAACGTTCGATGAAAGCGAAATCAACTTATTTTACGAAAAGATTCGAGATAAAATTTTTAAAACCTTTATCATGTCTCCAATTCAGCTTTTATCTGTAATTCAAACAGCATCATTTTTGAACAATCGCTATTTAAGGTCATATTGGTCTCTTTTCAAAAAGATTTTTGAAGAATATCGTCCAAATCAAGTAGAAAATATAAATCCTCTTTTTGATTACTTTATTTACAAAGAATATGGGATTATTTTAATTGAAAATCATAAAAAATCAATCAATGATTTTGAATTAAAAAATCTTTCTTTAGAAGTTTATCAAGAAAACACTATTTATAATGCAATTATGAATAATGACATAAAATCATTAATACTATTCACAGAAGATGAAAACTTTGATAAAGACCAAGTGCTGGAAAGCGATTATTTTCCTGATACATTAGAAAAATATATAAATGACAAATCCAATATAATTGATGACTTCTTTGAACCATGGATATATTTCCAATATACATTACTTGATATATGCTGTTATTATGGGGCCGTTGATTGTTTTAAGCTGTTAAGATCTAAATTTAACTCAGAAATCACAGAGACTTGTCTTCATTTTTCATTTTTGAGTGGGAATCCAGATATCATGAATGAATGTTTGAAATATCAAAAACCAGATGAAACATGCATGGAATATGCCATTATGTCTCATAATATTGATTTTATTACGTATTTAATGAATGGTTACAACTTGAAAATTGATTTAAATCAATGTTGTAAATATAATAATTATGAAGCATTCTTTGTTTATTTGGATCAAACAAATGATATTAACTCTTGTTTTATTTATTCGATAGTATATAATATTCCAATTCTTTTTAGATATTTTCTATCACACGGAGCAAATGTTAATGTTACATATTTAGATAATCCTCTTATTATTTATACAGTGATGAAAAATTATAAAGAATTCGCAGAATTACTTGTTGCTCATGGTGCTTATGTCAATGCAAAAAATATTGATAATAGAACTGCACTTCATTATGCAGCAAAGAATAATAATAAGGAACTTGCAGAAATTCTTATATTAAATGGCACTAAAGTTAATGAGAGAGATAAAGATGGAGAGACACCACTGCATTGGGCGGCAGAAAACAATAGTAAAGAAACAGCAGAATTCCTCATTTCATGTGATGCAGATGTGAATATGAAAGATAATTATCAAAGGACAGCTCTTCATCTTGCAGCAAGAAATAATTGTAAGGAGATGACTGTGCTTCTTATTATTCATGGTGCTGAAATTAATGCAAAAAATGAGTTAGGTAGGACACCTCTACATTATACTGCAGAAAATAACAGCAAAGAAACAGCAGAAATCCTTATTTCACATAGAGCGGATATTAATTTGAAGGATATAAATGGATGGACTGTGCTTCATCATGCTGTATATTATATGAGTCAAGAAACAATTGAAGTTTTAGTTTCGCATGGAATAAATATCAATGCTAAAAGTGCAGCAGGACTAACTGCACTTATTATTGCGAAAAACTGTGGCTTTAATTTTTTAGTGACTTTCCTTAAATCGAATGGTGCAAAGTAATAAAGTAAAATAATAGTTGTTTCTTCTATAACTATTGTAAATTTACTATTAATACACATTCTTGTTTTTGACACACCCTTGATTGTGATGTAGATTTCATCGTAAGGCGCATAATATGAGGTGTATTATGCTGAATCATAATATCATATCAGACAAATCTACAAAAATATGAGATTTACTTATCTTAAAACAAAGAATTGCGAATAAACATTAAATTCATTAATCAAATCCAATAAATATGATCTATTCTATTTATAAATCAGTAACTACCGGCTATAATAAGCTTGTATGATCCATATGAAAACTAATATAATCTATGATTTATTTCTTCATTGTTGATCAAAAAAAATTATTCCGATACGGGGAGTCGAACCCCGATCCTGTGGATGAAAACCACATATCCTAACCGCTGAACGATATCGGATTCACATTATTCATCTTTTAATATATTATTTGATGAAAAATTATAACTTTTATCGCCTAATGATTTCACCTGTATTATATTTTCATTCTAAAGACTGTATATATAAGGAAGTCAACATCCAAACATTTTGGATTATCAATCAGTATTAACCAAGTTTCCCAAATTCAATTTTTAACAATTTTTTTTCCATTCTTTTATCCTCAACCAATTAATTCATACCTAGAACTCACAAGAGAACTTTATCTTTTGTGCCTTTGCGTTCCTAAATTGCTAATTTGGAAATCAAATTGACATTTAACATTCATTTCTTTAATTCTATTACAAACATACAATGCATTTTGTTATACTTTCATGTATCTCATTATGTGCTTAGATAGTACTTCCACATTACAGACTTGCGGATTTTGATTCTTCAATGATATTTCTCCAAACATAAGCTTTAAGAATTATGATCTAATTTTATTGAAATCAAGAAATAATTGGTTTTAAACTGTTTATTTAGGATGCAAAACTTTTTCAAATGCCATTTTTGGAGCCCTATCAAATATAACTTCTCCACAATAGACATATTTTAGTTTGTCCAAGATATGGAGCATTATCTTATTGTCAAAGTTTGTATCAACTTTGATACTATAAATCTTTTTTGAAATTACAATATCTTCAAACATCTCAAATATCTTTGTACCTAAACCGCGTCCCTTCACATTGTTGTGTGTTGCAACACGATGGATCACCAGATATTCGCCATTAGTTAACCATTTTCCTTTCAGATCATTGTATGCGGGTTCAATACCAAATATGGCAGCTGCATACGCAATAACGATACCATTTTCGGTCAAAACATATCCATATTTATTATTAATATCATTGACCACAGTTTCAAGATTGGGATAACCATCTTGCCATTGTTTACTTCCATCAGCCTTGCGCTGAGCAATTGCTTGCTGAAGAATCTCCCATATTTTATCTTTATCAGATTCGTTGGCCAGACGCAACTCCATAAATGAATAAAAAGATAAACAATACTGAAAAAGTTTAGTAAAGAGTGTATTTCGGGTCAATCTATTAAACAAATTTCTAACGATAGGCAAACTTTATTCTGAATTATTGGAGAATAAGAAATGTATTTCGGATCTTCATCCACAACCTTTTGAAAGACCAAAATTCTTTGGGAATATTTCAGATACATATAATAGGCTATGTACATGGTTTGGTGGATTCTAACCTAAGAATTTTGGAGAAAAAAGTTAATTTAATTAATTAATTGAATTTTATGATACAAACAATGTAAATATTCAATTTTGAATAATTTACATATTTTTCAACAAAAATATTGAGCAAATTGCGAAGTATCTATAGCGACTACATCGATTCACACATTGCGGTGTATCAACTAAAAACTGAAAAAGAAGAATAATTAAACTCATTTTACAAATTGCTCAAAACAGAATTGATTGAATCAAAGAAGACATTTTAGATGATTTCGAAAAAATTGGTTCAGAATGAACCAGAGAATACGATTTATAGAGCTATTATGTCTAATGACTTAGAAAGATCCATTCTATTGATGGAAATTGCCAAATTTAATGAAATGCATCTCTCTATGAAAACCTCCTTTCATTTGGTGCAAACATCAATGAAAAAGATAAAAATGGAGAAATTGCTCTTCATGTTGCAGCATATCATAATCATAAAGAAACAGTCGAACTTCCTATTTCACATGGTATAAATATCGATGAAAAAGATAAATATGGAAAAACGGCTCTTCATATTGCAGCATTATCAACCATTTAGAAAATCATTTATTAATCAGCTGATGCTTAGAATAAGAGATGTTTAATGGATGAGTTTTGGTTCTGGAGAATTGAGTTTCAATAAATTTAAATTTGGCTTTTTATTATATTTCTGAAAAGAATACGTAAAAAGTAGCCAACATGACATTTAAGAATACTTCAGTGACTGATGTAATGCAAAGGTGATAATAAAATTGACATTAAATCGTTTTAATGGTATATAAGTTTACACCTGGAATTTTAGTCCACAATATGAAAAAACGTTATATTTGATAAAATTATGCAGATATAATATGAATTATAAAATTTGCGATCAAATTGTAAGACATTATTTAGTATGCAAGCATATATTCATTATAATTAGATATTTATCTATATATTTTACTATAAATTTTTCAATTATCTGATAGCCAAATTAATCAATTTTATATTTTGAGTAGGGGTAATTTTAGCTAAAAGTGACACACCCGTGAAGGGTGTGATTACCGATCGGTAATTTCGACAGTTTAGAATTTAAAATTTTTTATGGAACTGTTGCGAGTTTCATAAAGAATTTAAGGAATATAAGCAAAGATTTGAATCAAAATCTTAGACCTAAGCCGCTCGATTCGCTCGCGGCTTCCGCGAATTACAGATCAGCAAAGATTTGAATCAAAATCTTCGAACTAAGCCGATCGCTTCGCTCGCGGCTTTCTTTATTATTTTAAATTTGCATATTTCCATCAAAAGTTCATAAGGTAAAAAATTTCGTTTATATTATTGCAAAATAAAATCTTCATTATCAAAATAATATTAAATAATAATATAATATAATTTATAAACAACTATTATTTAATAAAGTTTAATTGCCAAGGTTCATCTAATCTTTTGATTTTTAATGTTTTATGAATTTTATTTATCATGTATATATCTAATGAAGATTATATATGTAGAAGATAAGTACCTTAATATGTACGTAAATTTTAATGAAATTTATACAACATTATAAAAATTTATGAATAAAAACTTGATATAAAATAACATTTTTATTTTTACTAAGAAAAAAAAAGGTTTTTGATAATAAATTTATTTTATTTCGAAAAAGTAGCAATAATCGTAAAAGGGTATTGATAGGCTTGCTAAAGTAACTAATTTTAGCTGTCAAATACTTTTGTATTTTGAAGTAAATTAGTATAAATTTGTTTTTACTTTTATTTCGAAAAAGTAGCAATAATCGTAAAAGGGTATTGATAGGCTTGCTAAAGTAACTAATTTTAGCTGTCAAATACTTTTGTATTTTGAAGTAAATTAGTATAAATTTGATATTATTTTAACTCCCTTTGAAAACCTCAATTTTCCATACAGAGGGAACGGGAATAGCATCCAATATTCCCTGAGAATGGTTGCGCATTCGCAGTTCCCTCTATATTTCGAACGAAGCTCTCATCGGTCTTTTTTTTTAATACTAAACGTTTTTTTTCCCTGTCACTTTTAGCTAAAATTTGGGTTTGCCGATAAGATAATTTATTTGGACGGATATTTTCCAGTTATTTTTATTCTGCCAGTTCAGCACTTGTGGAGCTTAAGGGATAAAGAAATAAATTCAAGCGCCGTAAAAGATAAGAAAAAGTAAATAAATTTGGAAAGAAAAATTTAGACTAAATTAAAAGTTATATCTTCTATACTAGTAATGGATTTGATCCATTGATAAAGAAGTTCTCGGTGAATGAGCCAACAAAAGGTGTTGTCTCTGCCGAAAACATTAATTCAAAGTCGCCATCTTCAAATTGGTCGATCTCTTGTTCATTTTCTACCTCATCTGCACTCTCGTCTGCCTCGTAGACATTGTCCTCCTCAAAGGATGGAACATAGAAGCAGTTTTTGAACTTTGTTTTTTCAATAACTAACATTGGTGAGCCATTGTTTGGACTGGATGTTCTCCTTATATGGTTGGATCCTTGGATGTTCATGAAAGCATAGAAAGAGTTATGAAGGCATTTGACTGACATGCATTCTTTGCAATCTCGGCATTTTAATTCCAAGATATCGCTTTTGAGCTTTGTGATCTCAATGCTCAGTTCATTCTTGATCTTAATAGATGCATCATGGATTTTCAAAAAATTACATGCCCTAGAACCACGTACAGGCTCTGAATCATCAACAAGCTGAGAGAGCTCTAATCCACGAAGCACACAACCATGGCATGAAATATTACCACACATGCATGTACATGAGTGGTACATCGAAAATAAAATTGTAAATTTGATTGAATTTTGAGTTCATGTAAAATTTTTGAATAGGATAGTCAGACCAAGGCTCTCAAACGCTAAAATCATTCGTAAGGTGAAATGTCAGTTATTAATAAAGCTCATTAGTTTGGAATTCGAGAGGAAGAAATACCCTCTTTCTTGACATTATTTCGCTAATTCAAAGAAATTCAAAATTGAAGATAATCGTTATGGGATATGGATATATAATACAAAATTAGATTATGTATAGAGAAATGGAAAGAGTGATTTTGACAAAATTGAATGTAGAAGATTTTGCATAACTATTTTAATGAAATATGTTAGATATATTCATTACAACCGTTACAAAAACTTGATAAAAGCACGTTTCATTAAATAATTGAATGAATCACCATCATTTTTGCAATTGTTGATATTATTATAAATTATTAGTTATACTGTACAATAAATACATTTTATTTTTTTGAAAATGAAATTTAAATTATACTAATTATGCTCTGAATCTGTAATCAGGCAAAATCTATAAAGTTAATAAACAATACACTGTCTGCTTTTTGAGAACTTCTAAAATAATTTTTACGACAAAGTATCAATATTCATATTTAGCTGAGTATTAGCATAATAACAAAGAATTAATCCTGTTGTTTTTATATTAGCGGTTTTTTTCAATTTTATAAATCAAAACTGAAATGAATAATCATTGATCGTTTATCAATTTTTTAAAACAGTTTGGCCTGTTTTATACTTTAAATATAAATGCGATTTAAACATGATATTAGAAACCAATCATTTTTTATCAATTTAACTCCAAATCAAATCTGTAAACTTTTGTTCACGTTCTAATAAGACATATGAGTTTATCATTTTAATTGAAATTATTAGCTTCTTCATAAAGAAAAGTCTCACATTATCTACTCTAAAGGTTTTATTTTCATGAAATTACTCTCCCAAGTATCATTCTCTGTAAAACTAACGCTTAAATCCTTTAGCTTTATTTTTATCAAATGATATTTTATGCATATTTCGAAGTTAATACCAATATATCATATATTCTTCCGATTCAAATTATTGTCATAAAAATTAATATATTTTTCTTAATAATACTATACATTGAAATTTGTAAACATACTTAAATATATATAACATCTATTGCGCCACAGTTTCTCAATTTTTTATCCTTTCATCACTGGAAATGAAATAAAAGCTGATAAATATGATAATTTTACTTACACATTTCATCAACAACTAGATGCTTATATTTTCCCTACTTTTCAGATTCATTTTATTAACTGGAATTTTCTAATTTTGATAAAGGTATCTTTCAATATCTGTACAATAAGGATCTTTCGAATTATTACAATGAATTTTCTTTCGAAACAGTAGGAAACCTTCATAACTACGATCCAAAACATGCAATTTATAAGATTCCAATTTCAAAAGTTTGGGAATCTTCTTCAGAAGTTGATCCTTGGTATATCTTTAGATTGAGGAGACACAGAATTTATGCCAGAAATTATACAATATCTACATTACGTGCTTTTAATTTTGATTATCCTAAGTTTATTAAAGTTGAAGGAAGCTATAATTCTGGCCCATGGACTGTATTACAAAATCAGAATATTGGTGAAGATATGCATGAATATAATAAAAAATTATTTTATCCTTTGAAACCAGGCCTCTATGATTCTTTTAAGTTCACAATGATTGGCAAGAATTTTAACGATAACTATGTATTTCTAATTTACCAGTTAGATTTCTTCGGAATTTTATTTTGGAATGACAAAATTCAAAATAATTCCTGTACAGATCGATCATTTTACTCAATGCTTTATTTTCTGAGTCATTTAGTCTTTATTTTAATTTAATTTTTTATCCAAAAAATTATATATGACAAAAGAAGCGGCTATAATAATTTTATCATTAACTGGAATGTTTGTGTAATACATATATGGATAAATATTTTTGTTGTAACATTTCCAAATGTGTGTAGCATATTTTACAAGCATATTTCATATAAACAATTGAATGCCTAACATCTCAATGGATATATACACAGACTGACTGACATGTGCTATGCAATAAAATCATATGAATAACAAAATTCAATAAAAAATTCGATTCCATTCCAATCACAGCATTACATTTCTCAAAGTATCAGAGGAATCGGTTTCATATTTCAATTCATTTGTCCTTGTCAAGTTTCTGAAGTTTACAATTTCCAACCACATCAAGATTTTTATGAGATTTAATAACTTGGATATGTTAAATTGCCATGCTATGTGATTGCATATCCGAAAATATTTTGCTATATAAATACTCTGAAAAAAATATCGCATATATTGCTCATTTTATTTCAATAAGATAGTATATTTCATAGAAATCCTTGTAATTTCTCCTACAAAGATTATTATAGTTTTGCAAATTCTTCATTTACATTCTTATTTGGTTCGGGAGAATTAAATTTTATGACTTTCTATAAATTGTCACTTTTACGACGATAACTTATGCTACCAATAAAGAATAAGTTGCATCAATACATGGTATTTCATATATCAATCATATTTCAAAGAAGAAAACTTTTACAGGGCGAATTTCTCAAATAATTTTTTTAAAAAATTCGAGAATTTGACTTTTGATTCGAAACATAAAATTATTATCATATGTTAAGTCCGAAACATGTCGGAAATGATATAAAAATTTATTTGAGAACTTTACAATTTTTCATTTTTTTATATGAATATCAATAAAAAACTAGAAATTTTAATCCACGAGTGGGCTGCAGTGTCAAGCTTCGGCTTTCTCAAGGCACTTGGAGTTTCTCGAGAAAGTATTGTCTCAAGATTAGACGCAACTTTAGCTTATTTAAATGATGCTGAATATACAGAGGTATTCAAGTATATTCCCGAGAAATTCGATCAACTAAATCCAGAAGATATCCGTCTACATCTTAAAGTCATAGAACTACATATCAATACATTCGTTACCGATAGAACACGCAATATAATTACTTCTTCCGTCGCCGCTGCCATAGAAAAAGTAATTATATTCGGAGCACGTATTTTCAAACCTAATAAGGAAGTCAAACGCGAAAGAACATTTCTTAAATCCGGATTACACATTCCAAAGGCCGGATACAGCTATGTACAAATAATGTTAGATTATTTAAACGAATACATCAAGCAAACACCATGCGAAGAGCTCGTAATGCTCTATACAGGCGTATTTGAATTAGTTATCAACGTTTTAATGAAGAGGAAGATAGGAAATGGCACAGAAGGTACAATTATCAGTTTAATGACTGTTAACGCTTCAATAAGTACCTCAATCTGGGACGTAATGTCAAATCTCGCCCAAATGAAACAAGAACCAAAAGTACAAAACACTTTACAGATTCTGATCAACGATATCGAATCTTTCCGTCACGCATCGAAAGAAACCATGGCAAACATGGTACAACTCGTTACAACATTAAAAGGAAAATGGTCTTTGTTAACCATCTGTTCCTTTGTTGCGAAAACATTCCAGAACATTCACGAGTGTTCTGCTGATAGAACTAATATCCAAAGTTACGTTTCTCAGCTTTATCCGATTTTATACAAATATGCAATCGACAATCATACACAGGAATGGCTTAGTTCACTCTTAATACTCATGAAGATCTCAACAGACGAAGATTCAGCACCAACGGCTTCGAAAGTTGTCAAAACATTGAATAAAGTTTACACAAAACTCGGCGGCATGGCGTATTTCAATCTCGTTGGCATGTTCTTTGATGCCATTGTAGGAAGATCGTACGCACATGATATAACTCGTCAGTTTTTGAAGGCATGGTTCGATAAGAACGGATATATGGAACCACAATACAAGAATGATGTCGATTACTGGCTACAGATTGCATCTAAGATGCATTTCTGTGCTCCTACAGCATTCAAAGACTTCGTAACTCCGATTATTCAAACTGGTGAATCTCATCCACTTTTTACAAAGATTGTCAGCGTTATTCATATCATTACTACGATATCCATTGAGAATCTCGAAGGAATTACGTCGATTCTTGCACCTTTCGTCACAAATTTAATCAATCAACCGGAAATACAGCAAAGTATGATCAAACTGATCACTCCTTTGATGTCTGTACTCTGGAAGAACGAAAGTGGCATGCATGGACATATCACAACCCTCATGTCTCGCTTAGTTAAAAATAATGAAATCACGGTTTTGACCCAAGCAGCATCATTCTTCACAGATATCATGGAGCATTATCCTACAGGTACATTGCCACTTAATTTGATCACTACCTTTGCTACACAATTCTTAAAGAGGACTGAATTAGATGCAAATCCTCAGCAACTCGTAAATGCTTTCACAATTTACCAATCTTTCTTCAAGAGTTTGCTTGTTTACGCTAAAAGAGGTGAGAATGTCGTTGACCAGGAATCTTGGAATCGCGTAATTAGGGCTATGGAATCAAGATTAATTTGTTTCTCATTTTTCCCTTCACAAAAAGTGACAAAAATTGTAGAAGACTTATGGGAGCTAATGACAAGCGATATACCAAAGACATTATCTCCAAATCAATTAGCGCTAAAGATTCCTAACATTACTACGATTTCATCAAAAGATTTGATATCTGTCCTGAAGAAAGAAGGCATTGAACAGAGGTTTGTTGCAATGCTCATCTTCTTCGTCAACGTAGATAACCCAAAATCCGATTTCTGCGTCAGATTGGCCAAATTTATTTTCGTAATTACTCGTCCAGAGTATTTCGTTAACAACGAAAACATCCAAGTACAAGGAACATCCAAGATGATCCAAGTTCTCACTAATTTACCCAGAACAGAGCTTTGCGAACTTGTTACGATGCTTCCAATCGAAGTTTGGCCAATGTTTGTGAGCCAAATGATGAAGATGGAGAATCTCAGCACGAGACTGAAGTTCAAGTTCGCTTACGCGATGTCTTGCAACAGAAAATTCAAAAATCTCGTGAATACAAACGAAGAAATCCGAAATCTGTTTGTAAGTTTGGTCATTCTCTTCATGAATTTACCACTTCCAACAAACGAAGAAGAGCAACAGGCTGATGTTTTGGCTGCAGAGTTTTATGCTTCATTTATCAGAGCGAATTCAGAAAATCTTAATCAGCACCAAGAGTTCCAAGATCCCTACACCCAGTTATTCGCTATTATTGGCAGATTGAACCCAGATTCAATCACTTTACCAGATATTTCCCACGTTTTCGCCATGTTGGAGCTTGTCCATGCATACGTAAGTAACTGGAAGATGACTGATGAAGCCATTGAAGCTCTAATTGATTGGACGACCTTCATTGCTCTGAAAACTAAAGGATCCGTCTTACTTCAGCTCAAATGCCACGAATTACTTCAGAATTTAGTTGAAAAGAACCAAGAAGGTTTAAGTGTCATCATCTCTTGCTGCTTCAGAACCTCCATTTTCACAACTTCACATGTCGCAGCTGCCATCGCTTCTTCAAATTCTGACAAACTTTACATGGCAATTTTGGCACTCGGATTATGTTCACGTCCAAACGTTGTATGCAGGGCTTTAGCTAGTGAAATTGCCAACAGCGCGTTCGACGGCAAGTTCAGTCCATTATGTTACATGGAATACAACTTTGAAGAGAAACTTGTCGAATTTTATAATCAAGTTTTGGATAATGAATCGAAAGAGTTTGTTTTCACATTACTTTCCGAAGTAGTTGGCAGCACAAGTCTTGAAGGCTGTTCATTACCACATTTCAAGTTCATTTCGAACAGATTTACAAATATTTCTGATTTATCTCAAATTGAGAAACTCCTTAAACTGACTTCCATCACAGATTTCACAGACTTGACGCCAATCAAGCCGTTGATTCCTCTTTGGGACTCAATTTTCAAACAGAACACAATAAAACGCGAAGAAATTTTCGATTTGTTGATTAAAAAAGTTGATTCAGTCAACAACGCGAAAACTCTTTGTGCTGTTTGCATTGCTTTCCAACGCTCATTCCTTAATAACTCTAAGCAAACAGCTCAATGGCTCACGAGTAATTTAAGGATCATTCAAGACCCGAAGATGACATTTGATGGCTTTGTTCCAACACCATTAGAATTGGCATGTTCTGCATGTATGTCATATATATTCACATTAGAAACTGATGTACAAAGATTCAATGTCTGCTGGATGGACAAGATCCAATATATCCTTGCCTGGGCCATTTTCTTGAGATTCAATCCTTTGTATGAAAGTTACATGATTCCTCCACTTTTGATTTCTGTTTCTCATGCTGCTGTTCCTTCCTCTGATTTGCCATTGTTCGTCATGAGACCTAGTGATTGCGTCGCGTACAACGTTGTTCTTCCTTTCAGATACACGACTGAATTCACTACAAGTCAAATGGAAATGCTGGTTGCAACACTCAAGAAATTCTCTTTGTTGACTGCAGAATTATTCTTGGATGTTTGCGCCGACAAAGCAACATCACTCACCAAATATTCTGCAGACTTTTGGACATTGTTCTCCAATTTCTTCCAGCCAAGACATTCATCAGCTTTCCTCAACAATTTCATGAATGCTGCACAAGCAGGAGATTTAGCAACAGTTGGTTTGATGATGCCAATCATTACAGGTGTTGTCAGACAAAACGCAAGGGCTGAACATATTGGAGGCTTCGTCGATGTCATTATTTTCGTTGTTACAACAACAGGAAACAACAATTTCTTGAGATTGATCACGAAACATCTTCCTGGATTCGTTGAAACAGTCAACAAATCATCGGATTCATCAACAATTACAAGCACATTAAGCTGGGTAATACAGGAACATGGCGGAGAAGCAGCTGTTATTGAAGGTGTATTAAGTACATTACAAATGGCTGATTCTTTGCATTCTCCTTATTACACGTCCAGTTTAACATTCTTGTATGAAGTTGCAAGATTATTGAGTATCTCTGATACTAAGTATTCTTTGACATCAAGTGTTTTGTTGTTGTTTGATTCAATAAGAAGAATTGAAACAAACGGTTTGACACTGATGATTTCACAAGATTTACTTGGCCTTGATCCACCGAAGAATTACGAGGAACTCACTGAATTGCTCAAGAAGAACTGGAGCCAGTCACAAATTACTTACGTCTGCTCATATTTGTTGGCTTGGGCAGGAGCAAGTGCTATTCCTGTCATTCCTGCAAATGCATTCACTTTCTTGAGAATTATGACTCAGAACTGGACAGATGCTAAGTACATGCAGTCAATTTCAACATTGGGAACTGTTATTTCTCATATGATGGTTGGCGCTACTGATGAGAAAATCAAATTGATGCTGCCTGACAACACAAAGATTTTGACTTCTCTTGTCATGAATGACAAAGATTTGCCTGATGTCGTCACTTTGGTGTCGCCTTTGGTTGAGAGAACGAAAGGAAAGAAATCTGCTGATCCGGCAGGACTTCCTCAGATTTTACCAAAGCGCGAACATGAAGCTACTTTAGTTGAAGTTTGTGAATTCATTAAGAGTAATATTCTTGAATAAAATTCAAATGTATTTATTATTAATTTATATGATGTTTTGTAAAAGATGCACTTAATTCATTTACATGTGCACTTAATTTGCTTACTTTTAAAATCATTTATCTTGGGAAAAAAAATTGAGAAAAAAATTTTCCATCAAAATTTGACAAGAAATGATCTAATTCATTTATCGTCTGTCAAAAATTTTTAAGAAGTCAAATTTTGGAATGTTAATCATTGCACTTCATTTATCTTAATGCGGATTTTCGTTAAGACACTCACAGGCAAACACATTACATTGGATGTCGAGCCAGCAGATCATATCGAGAATGTTAAGGCCAAGATTCAGGCCAGGGAAGGCATTCCACCAGATCAGTAGCGTCTCATCTTTGCCAGCAAACAGCTTGAAGATGGCAACACACTTCAAGACTATTGCATCCAGAGGGAGTCAACGCTCCATCTCCTTCTCCGTCGTCGTGGTGGTTTCTAAGTTCAATTTTCGAACATGTAAATAAATATCATCTTTTGATAATTCTTCTTTTCTTTCTATGATAACATTATGCGATTATCTTTTAATTTTGTAAATCTTTATATTTGATTTTGCAATAAACAGAGGCACACATGTCTATATGAGCACATATTTCTATTGACAGTTTCCTCTTGAGATTTTCAGATAGCAAGTTAGAGATGCCAGAATTCACCGAAAAATTGAATGACCTCTCAAAATTGAGAGGGAGAATACATGTGAAGCAGTAATAGATAATATTCTTAGTATTTCCGAATGATTAATGAAGGATTTGTACTCTAAATGCTTTATCCAATAAGCATGTACTATAGATATTTGTTAGTTGCCAATTTGACCCTCATATTTCAGAAATTAAAATCAAGATTTTCGCATTTTAGTCATTGAAACAGGTATACCACAATAATTGAAACACATTTTTACAGTCATTTTGATCCGATTATCTAACTTTAACACGTTACATCGTTAAAAATGATCTTTTGAATAGTTTACAAGAATTTTCCTCTGATGAGGAGATGTGCTGGCGTGGAAATTGACGCAGCGCGAGCAAAATATGCCACATCACAAGGAGGAATCAAAGAGGCAGGGCTTGTACCTGCTGATACAAATAGTTATCCGCCTCTTGTCTGGATTGATGGTATTTTATCTCGAGAAGAATCATTTGATTACTTACCATACCAACGATGTTCAAAAGTACCTGGTATGGATTACATGTGTTACAAATCATCACTATTTACAGCATTAAATGAAATGTGTAAATACTATCCACACAAATTTAGCGTTTATCCAAAGACACTAATGCTTCCAAACGAATTCTTAGAGTTCCAGCGTGAACATATGCAGATTTGTTCGCGCTCAACTACACCTCCGACATGGGTTGTTAAACCTAGAAACTCATGCTGCGGTGCTGGTATTACAATTATACAATCTGTGCATGAAGCATCACAAGTTACAGAACAATCAGTAATTCAACAGTATGTAAAACCATATTTGGTCAATGATAGAAAATTTGATTTCAGATTTTACGTTTTAATAGCTTCAATGTGCCCATTGAGGCTCTTTATTTACAAAGAAGGTATCGCTCGTTTCTGTTCTGAGCCTTTTCAGATGCCTTCTCGTGCAAATCGCGAAGATAATTTTATTCACCTAACAAATACCGCAATCAACGTTAAAAACGGGGATGCATCACCAGAAGACTTTACAAAGAAAGCAACCGACGTGTTACGATCGATCTGCCAAGCAAATCCAGAAGGAAAAAACATCTGGCCTCGAGTTAAGCATTGCGCGAGGGCAGTAATCATCGGAATATTACCCAAACTTATTTCTTTACTACCAAAACAGCGAGAACAACGACTCATTCCTTTGTATTTGCAAAGAGCTCGGCAAGATTACAGACAAAGAAAGCGCGAAGAGATGAAAGGCGACGAGAACAAGAAAGAAGATGGAAGACCAAGCCAATGCCCAGTAGAAGAAAAGGAAAAGGAGCAAATCGAAGAATCTGCACTTCCTCCTTTGAATAAAAGCAGAAAACTCAACAATTCGCCAACATCCAAGCCACAACCAAAGCAAGAATCACATTCCCAACTACCAACTCTGTCTGAATTCTCTTCTAGACGAAGATCTTTGAGTCAATCACCACATCGCAAGCCACAACCTGTTCCTACCGAGCAGAAACAGGAACAGCCGACCAAGGAAGTATCAGAAGAAGAGCATCCACAGGAAACAATCCATCAATCCCAAGATTTTCTTCATCCACAGCCAGAAACAACAGAAAACAAAGAACCGAAGAAAGGACGTGGATTACCACCCCTCAAACCTGTGGCCAGATACTTCCATATCCTTGGTATTGATGTAATTTTAGATTCAGATCTTCATCCAAAGATTTTAGAGTTGAATGATCGACCATCTCTATCTGTAACTGTTGATTTTGAGAAAGATCTCAAAACTGGATTCATCAGAGACTGTTTTGAGCATGTTACAACAACTGGTGAATCTAATGGCGAATCTGATAAATCCGGCTGGGAGCAGATCTATCCAATATTGCCTGGCGATATTGATGACCCTGCTACGTGGGATGAAATAGTTAGAAAAGCAACTCATCCGAAACCGAACGGTGAAATTGACGCTGTTCCGGTCCAACAACCTCGTCAACCACTTGTTGGACTTGGTTCAACGCAGCCTAAAAAGAAAAAGAAAGGAAAGAAAGGAAAATCAGGTAAGAAATCAAAACAAAAATAAATGTGTATATATATGTGTGATCAATTATATTATAACTACCAACATTTTTTATATCAAACCGATTTTTTATGAGAATTAAATTCATTCCGAATTTATTAGTGAACAACATTAAAAAAAGCCTGCTAATATATAGAGAACATGATAGATATGCAGATATAACATTTAGAATTAATTAAATAGAATTTTTATGACAGCTTGCTAGTGATGCTATGCGATATTTCTTGTTATTTAATATAATGATCGATTAAAAATCTAATTTTATCAATTTACTAGAACAAATCTCCAGCTTTGAATTTCAAATTGAATTTTGTTCAACATATTTATTGTTAGATGCATCTACAATTGTTTATTATATCAATGAAATATCATATGCTAATGTTTGAAGATATATTAGACAAATAAAGTTCGATTGAATTTAAAAGAAGCATAGTTTCATTAATAACTCGATTTTCATACATTTCTTCTTGTATTGAATGGAGTCCAATACTTTTTTAAAGTGACACGCAAATATTTTACATAAATTAAAGAATTCACACAATAATATTTGAATGAAAATCGAACAATTGATGTATTACTCATTTTTAATCACAAGAACGCTATTTGTGCTGTTTCGAGCGAAATTCAGCCATTCTCATTTTATTGATATCAGATAGCATTTTAAGGATTAAAGATTTTAATTTGAATATGATATTTAATCAAAATTTTGAAAACTTATTGAAAAAATGGAAAACATCACGATTTACTTAGAGATTTATGAATCAATTATTTTAAGTGAGAAAACTATGAAGAGTTAATTTTTTTCTATGTTTTATTTCAATTTTTTTTCACGGTTTCTGAAGTGAGTGAACATGCATTTTTGTTCATTGAATAATGAGTTGTAGATAGTAATAAATATATTCATTACATTAGATATCAATTTTTAGGATTTTGAATGACAACATGAACGCTTCATTCAATTATTTTGAATATTTTCTATGAAATCTCAAATAAGCTACTATATAAATGCTCCAATCGAAATAATGATGATAGATATAATATGACTTTTGAGAAGTTGGTTTGACCTCTTTTACGATTTTAACAGAAATCATCTATGTACTTATTCCTCACACGTTTCATTCATTTTCATTTTCTTAATTGAAGAAAATTGAATGAAATGAGTGATATTTAGTATATATACTAATAATTAAAACAGATTCTTAAGAAAAGAACGTAATATCAAAACCACGGTAGGTATTCAATTAGACTCTCAATTTTTGAATATATACCATATTCATTATTATATATGGAAGCTGAAAGACTTTCGCAAATACTTAATAAGCATGGTTATGCAATTAAGACAGAGATCGGTCATGGAACATTTGCAAAATGCTACCTTTGTGATTCAGAAAAATACAACAGTCCTTTTGTTTGCAAAGTCATCAGAATTAGTCCTGAAATTGCAAAGAAGGGTTATGAAACAACATTTTATTCAGAGCTTAATGCCTTAATTAAGCTCATGCATCCGAATGTGATCAACATCTATGATCATTTCTGTGAAGAAGAATATTATGTACTTGTCCTTGAATACTGCTCAGGTGGAAACTTACTTCAGTATATCGAGAAGTGGGGTCCTATCGAACCTTACAAGATTATTATCCTTGCTAGACAAATCCTTGAATGCTTAACATATGTTCACTCCAATAACATATGCCACCACGATATTAAGCCATCTAATATCTTTATTGATGCATTCAACCGTGTTAAACTCGCAGATTTTGGAATTTCTCAGATCTTACAGAAAAACGAAATGTCAATCATGTATGGAGGCTCAATAGCCTACTTAGCTCCAGAAGTCTTCCAGAAGCTTCCATATGATTCATTCAAAGCTGATATCTGGTCCTTTGGTGTGACTTTATATCAGATGATTACCGGAGGCAACCTTCCGTACTGCGGTAATAATATTATGGAGTTATTACATTCAATTTTCCAAGAGAAGTACATTCTTCCAAAGAATTGCCCAAAAGAACTTAGAATGTTACTTAAAAACTCATTGAATCCTAATCCAGAAAAGAGATGGACAGCCAAACAGCTCAGAGATTATCTTCAGAGCGTTCAAAACAGTACTCCTATATCTACTCCAAGAAGAATTACAAGAACTTCCTCATTAAGAGAAAAATCATTCTCTCAATGCGAAAGTCCATATAGTATGCCATCTCTTGTTCGCCCGGTAATCTACAGAAAAGTTAAAAAGATTACACTTTAATTCTTGATATTATTATTTTATATCTTGTTTGTAATAAATGTATATTATAATTATCTTAACTGAAAACTATACTTTATAACTTTGAGAGGATTTTTACATTCTACCGCATATCGTCGATTTCTCCTAAGAAAAAATCAATTTGAATTACAGTGAATGTAAAAGTTCCATTTATTGCTGAAATCGGAATAAAGACATTGCATACTACATTTCTTAAGTTATCCACCTGATAAATGCAATTTCGGTAATTTATCTACCGGAAAAGTTACCGAATACATATATCAAATACAATACAAATATGTGCTACATAACAGAGTAATCAATAAAATACTTACCGAATTGCAAATAAAAGCTATTTCAACCGAAACATAATTAAATCTTTTACATAGCAACATTTTTAAGATCAATATGTCTTAAATTCTATATTATTCATGCATAAGCTTTTAAATTCCAATGTGAAAACAGGATATCTGAGCACGTAAAAATGAAATAATGAACGCTTTACTTCATTTTCAATCTACAATCATTGACAAACAAAGAAACCATTAAAACTTAAGATAGATACTATTTAATTACATAATAATGAATTTCTCTAAATAATATAATTCAAATATAATTTTTACTTATTTTTATAGAGGAAAATATACTTCCATGAACTTATTTGCATACATATTGATTATACCATAAGTATGGCAACAATCTTTAAACTCAATAGATTCGAAGAAACTGAAATAAACAAAAATTTTCACTGTTTTCAAAACATCATTGAATGATACCAACTCCATTTAAATATATGATGTCCTATACTTTGCCCAAACAGTATTTACATATAGCATTCTCTATATGAGAATTGATATATTCATATTCATATCAACATACTTAAAATTGATAAAAATATGTTGATACGAATTTTTGAGAAGATAAAAATTTTTGTCACTTTTACAATTTTTTTTATCTAAATGGGTGTTACATTCTTTACGCGATGGCTTGCCGAACGCTACCCTTTGGCGTTTCGACAAATGGATGACGTCTCAAAACCCACCTTTGATTGCTTCTATATTGATTTTAATGCAATAATTTATTTTGCATTATCATATTATAATCCGGAATCTGAAGGAAATTTTGATGGTATTATCACGGAAATTATCAGATATTTAGACACAATCATCCAAATTGTCCGACCAACAAAACTTATTTATTTATCTGTTGACGGAACACCTCCATATGCAAAGTGCGTCAGAAACAGAAGTAGTAGATTAGCAGGCTTCATGAAAAACCAGAAACAAGACAAATCTCAGATTCAATTTGAAATCGTTGCAGGATCCGTCTTCATGGAGAAGCTTCATCAAGAACTCATTAAAACAATTGAGAATAAAGTCAAAACAGACATTGCTTGGTCAACTCCGAAATTTATTTATTCATCATATCATGTCCCAGGCGAAGCAGAGCACAAAATCACCAAATTTATTCGAGATTCAACAACCCAAAACAATTTCCTCAATGATTATGTTCATTTAGTTTTTTCTGTAGATTCAGACACAATTTTTCTTTTGTTAGGCTTAAATATGAAGTATTTAGTAACAATGAGAGAAGCAAAGAACTTCACTGTCAATGAAAAATCTTCATCATCAGCGTTTGAACTCATTTATATCTCTATAATTCAAGAATATATAATGGAAGAATTGAAAAGTGACAGAAGAATTATTAATGACTTTATTGCATTAGTTTTTCTGTGCGGAAATGATTTCATACCAGAATTCAGCGAGCTTCCAAGTTCTCCTGAAACATTTGAAAGCATCTTGGATTGCTATGTCAAAACAATCAAAGAAAAAGGCTTGTTTTTATTGAATGAAAACCGCAAATTTCTTTTTGAAAATTTGGAAATGTTGTTTGACAAAATCATGTTGAATGCAGCTATAAAAGGATCAACTACATCATGTGCAAGCGATAACTTGAAAGAACATTTCCCAGATGAATACAAAAACCAAGATTTTGTCAATGAATTACTCGAACAAACTCTCACGAATTTCGAGTTTGTACTGAGTTATTATTTTGGCAAAACACCAAGTTGGTCATATTGTTATCCATATGAACATTCCCCTCCTTTCTCTTTCCTTTTGAATGCATTGAAAAACCACAAAGAAACTAACTTTGTTCTTGACAAACCTTTGGAGCCTTTTGAAGCATCATTAATTACAGCTCCAAGAGAAGGAAAGAGTGGGATTCCGAAAGAACTTATTGCTTTGACTTTGGAAGAAAATCAAAATAAGATTTCAAAATATTTCCCTCACAAAACAATTTCAAATTCAAAAGAATTAAGAGAAATTCAATTCCCTCCTTTAGCAGTTTTTGATGAAGTTTATTATGAAACAATAAAAATAATAGAAGACAAAGAATGCTTAGTAAGGAATGAGTTACAATCAGATATTGTTATTACTAATCATGGAGTTGAAAAAGAGATTAAAATCTTAGAATTTCCAGAAAAATCTGAAATTGTAAATTATCCTTCATTGAAAAGCGGCGATTTAGTTAAATCATTTACAGAAGATGAGAATCCGGACTTTGATAAAGATGACAAACCAACAGGAACGGTTCATATTGTTCTTGCTTGTTTAATCAAAGAAGAATCAAGCGATTTGTCAGTTTTTACGGAAAAAATTAATCAAATCATTACAATTGATTGGCCTTATTCGAAGCCTGCTGTTTTGAAATCTGTATGTGATGGAAATTTCATTTACGAATATGATGAAAATCTCAAGAAAACTTTGAAGAGAAAGTGTGATATTGAAGAAGAATTTCCAGCAGAAGATATCGAGATGAGTTATATTATAACAAGAGGAATTCTTCTAGAAAACACCAAGTTTATGCTGACTGTTTGTCCTCTTAAATCTGCTTCTGTCTGCGATTCTTGTTTCACATTCTCTAATACTCCAATTTTTGTTCCTTCGCAAATTGTTACTTTTGAAAACAAAATTGAAATTTATTCAAAACAAAGCAAAAGAAAACCAGTTGTTGGTGAAAGGATATTAGTTAGTAATGGAGAATTAAAGGGAGAAGTTGCAGAAATTACAGAAATAAATGATCAGACAATTAAAGCAAAATTAATTGTCAGTAGAGATCCATTTTTGAAAAATGTTGAAAAAGAAGAAAGTCAAAAACAGAAAAACTCTGATTGGATATCGATTAATGATCTTTGTACCCAATTCAACATGAAACCAAAGATTATGAGGAAAGCAATTACGAATTTACCTCAAAAAACAATCAGAGGAGATGGAAATAACATTGAAATTCATCAAAAATCATTACCGAAATTGATGGAAATCATTGGCATAAAACACAGAAATCCTGATAACAAGAAGAAGGATGATAAAGGAAAGAAAGGCGATAAGGGAAAGAAGGTTGAAAAGAAAGCAAAAACAAACAAAATGATTAACTATTTTGTAGAAGTAGAAAGAAAATTGTTGGGATTGAACATCAGAGAAATTGTTGCAGATGAATTTGAAATTCCAATAGAAAACGCATTATGGAAAGGCAAACCACAATCCGATATTCCAAAGTTTGTTGAGCCTGGTTCAAGAGTTATTTGGGTTGGATCTTCAGATTTGGTTCCATTTGGAGCAAAAGGAACTGTTGCAGAAGTAAATGAAGATCAATTTGAATGCTTAGTTATTTCTGATATTGAATTGCCTTTTGGAACTACTCATGCTAATAGACTCAAAACAAGAAGAGGATTTACTGCAAAATTCGGTGATATTTATGTATTAGATTCATCAGTATAAAATTAAATGTTTATTTATAGATGTATATTATTATTTTACTTGAACTGGCATGCATTTAATTATAAATAACATACTAATGTGATTCCTAACCTTCGTGATAGGATATTCTGCAAATATGCTATCTTTGATTTAAAATGCATCATAAAATTACTGTTTTATATGGAAATTTCTATATGAACTCTATAATAGATCATATACTTTTCACATCCCCTTCTGAGAAGATTAAATAATGATTTGTAAATGTTGATCACAAGTGAAATTATTATTTTCCGCCCGTAATTGTTTACATCGTTTACATTTTTAATTAAACATACTAACAATAGATGAAGAAATCAATTTATGAAATTTTCTCTGATTAAAAATTGAGTGCGTGTAAACTGTTAAATTTCAAATCCGCTTACAAAAATTATTAATAAAATGAATCCGCAATCAAAGGTAACTAAAAATGAAATGAATAAAAAACGATGAAAAAATCAATTCATTTTTTTCGATGTCCACACCAAAAAAGCTTTGGATCGATACAGATTGCGGAATTGATGACTCAACCGCAATTTTGATCTGCCTTGCATGCCCAGATTACGAAGTTGTTGGCATTTCTTGCCTTGGAGGAAACGCATCTCTTGCAAATGTCGTTCACAACGTTAATAGAACATTAAAAGTTTGGGGTCACGGAGCTGAAAAGATTCCTGTCTATGCCGGCTGCGCTGATGCTTTGGTCGTTAAACAAATGCATGCGCCAACAATTCACGGAAAGGATGGTCTTGGCGACATTGATGACAGTGTATTTGATTATGATTTGAATGATACAGTTCAAACAGAGCACGCTGTTAACGCTCTCATAAATGCAGCAAATACAATTCCAGATCTCACATTATTAACGCTAGGACCGCTTACTAACATTGCCATTGCATTCAGAATGAATCCAGTAGCAATGAACAAGCTCAAAGAGATTTGGGTTATGGGAGGAACATCCGACCATGTTGGAAACTGCACAAAATGGGCTGAGTTCAACATCCGCGCTGATCCAGAAGCCGCCCAAGCAATTTTCCGCGATTACGACAACTCTAAAATTACAATTTCGAGTTGGACATTGACACAAATGAACAGACTTAAGCCAAACGAAGTTACAAGACTCACAGGAAGAGAAGATACAACAATCGCTAAGTGGATGCATCATACATGGGCAACGATGATAAAATTCTGTGCAAAGACAGTAAATGACGGCACAATTGCAACAGCAGATCCAGTTGCTGCATTCTGCATGTGCTATGCTGACAAAGGAGTAAAGAAGTGGGAGCGTTTCAAGGTAAACGTTGTTCTTCACGGAGAACAAATCGGAATGACCGATGCCGTTCCAGATCCAAATGGAATTCGCTATGCCATGGAAATTGACCACGAAATGTATCTCCAAACACTTGACAACCTTATGGCTGATCATTAAATAATAATTTAATTTGAGTAAACTCTTGTTATATTTGCAAACTAATGTTTATTTGGTAGAATAGATATTTGTATTTAGAATAACTTAAAATTTTATTTTTAACTGTTGATTTTATGATTGAGAAGTTCTCAAATAATTTGAATGTAATTTATCCCTATAATGGTCATATCTGCCCTTTAATAATATGAAATATATAGATGTCTATCGCTTATTATCATCCCGTGATAGTTCTGACTCCTTGTAATTCAAAGGGTTATTCAAAATTTGACTTGGAGAGACAATTACAATTCAAATTTTGAAATGCATTCAACTGCGCTTTGCATAAAACAAGAATCATACTATTAACAACAAAAGCAAAAATATTTAATATTTTATTCAATATCCGATTGTGCATTTTTGGCTTGTAAATATCTCAATTTTTGTGAGCTAGACACGAATTCTTCTTAATCTAATCGAGATCAAATCTTTTTTCACTTTATATTGGCATGACAAACTATGTTAATGTAATACAAGTAGGTGTAGCGATGTTGCTCATCATATTGGTGGGATATATTCTTGCAAAAATGAAAATTGTTTCACCAAAAGAAAGTGCAAGCTTAACAAGATTATATTTTTATGCTGGCTTCATGCAGCTTATTATTCGAGGAATTGTACCAAGAAAGCTTGATGAATTAGACTTCAAATCATTTGGAATAGCTGCATTGATGAGTATATCAACATATATTGCAGTTGCATTAATTATGTTATATCCATTCAAGAACAGATTTGGAACATACTTAAGTACGGTATTTCCAACAACTTATATTAACTACATTATCTCAGGCACGCCTGTTTTCAATGCATTATGGCCTCCAAAAGAAAGTGTTCTTGTAAATATGATGATGATTGCAAATGATCTCATATCATCACCAATATTTCTATTTCTTGTTGGAATTTATAATGCAATTGAAAATAATAAAAAGCGCAGAGCAAATGGACTTCCACCAGAGAAATTCTCCTTTTCAATTATTGGAAATGTTCTTTTAGGAGTTATAAAGTCCCCAATTCTCATTGGAAATGTCGTGGAAATTATCTACTCCGCCTGCAAGATTCCTTATCCTATCTTTATTGACAGATACCTTCAGTTTGCTGGCGATATGGTTTTTGCTCTTGCACTTGTTGGAGTAGGGATCTTCTTGGCCCAAAACTCTCTAATCTCTTGTGACTGGCGGCAATTCATCTTTTGCATGATTACAAGATGTTTCATTGGTCCGGCTCTTGCAGGCCTATGGTGCAAAGCCCTTGGAATGAGTGCAAGAACATCGAGACAATGCATCATAATTGGTGCACAACCAACAGCTGTTGCATCATTTGCAATTACAAGTACAAACCATTTGGGAGAAGGATGTGCTTCGACAATGATTCTTTGGACAACAATTTTATGTGTTCCGACAATCATTGTATGGTTTGCTATTCTTGATGGTTTGCATTTGTATGTTGAATAATGCTTCATCATATAATTTAAATAAACGAAAAAATAAAGACTCAAACAGTCATTCTATATCTTAGCAATTATTTTTAAAACGGCTTTGGTGTTGATATGTTATTCTAATATCAAATTTTCGAATATCCATGCAAAATTATATTTTTTGAGAAAATTAAGTATGTGTGTTTCTTTATTTATATTCGATAAGGCAAATTAATAAATTTGGTGGCCGAAAAAATAATTAAATATATTTCATAAAAAATTATTTACAAAACTATTAAAATCAAATAAAACACTACAAAGATTTTGTAAGAGTTGCCAGATTCAAACAATTTTGTAAGTCCGAATTGAAAAATTTACGAAATTTGGAAATTATATGAAATGTATTCAATATGTTAAGGAATCCGCATTTACACATCAACAGTTGATGATATATAATCATTTTGCGGATAGTTTGAATGAATCAATTATGAAAATATTTATAGAAAGTTGAATATCTTTAATGAAAACAGATTGCACATCTTCCTGTATTAATTTTTCAGGCAGCTTTCTTTGATTGCATAAATATCCGTGATTGATTTATCATATTATTTTTTTACTCCATTGAATTTGTGAGAAATTGATTAATTGTTGAAATTACAATAAAAATTGCAGGTCATATGTGCTAAAATTGCTTTTGATTTAAATATGAAGAACCGCATTCGGAATTGAATAGTTTATCAAACAATTTGAAAATTCTATACTATAAAGACAATCAAGATAGGATATTTCAGAAATGCATGTTTAAGTTAAATTCGGTTAAACAATTCAAACTATCGCTAATATGAGTTTTATTATATAATAACCCAATCATGGAAAAAAAAATTGGGAAAAATTATTTTGACAAACTATTTATGCTCTCAATTTAGGAAATTCATATAATATAATCTCATAGAGTACTGTTTGCTCTTAAGCCCTCATTGGCAAGAAAAGTAATAATCTTTTCAATATCGTAAACACTTGAAAATTCTGGGATGATAGTTTCAATATCAAAATTTCTTTGATGTTTACGGTTATATTGTATTTACAATAGTCAATCAAACCTTCATTATTTGTAAAATATAAAACTTAAATCAATATTTAGGGATTTAAAAAAAGTTCCCAAAATGATTTTACATTTCTGATGAAATTGAATTTTGAGAAATCTCATTGAAAGCTTTTTAAACATTTTATAATGATCGGAGAGAAGAAAGTAGAGCATGACGAAATAAAAAGACTAGCTGGTGATACGCCACTTATTACCATTCTTAAATTAATGATTGGCCCATTAGCTTCCCAAATAACTAGTGCACTTTATGGAATCATTAATTCAATTTGGATATCAAAATACATTGGAGAAACTGGAACATCAGCTGTTGCTACAGATATTGCATGGGAATACATTGCGAGAGGTTTTGGTTTATTCTTACTTTGTGCAGCAAGTACACAAATCAGTGCTTTATTTGGTAAAAACGAATATCAGGAAGCAGAACAAGTTATATGCGATATTATTCGAGTTTCCTTAATCTGCGGCGCTATTGTCCCAGCAATTTTATTACCAATCAACAAACCATGCTCAAAATGGTATGGAGCAAGTGACGTTGTGATGAATAATGCATACGAATACATTCTACCTCAGTGCGTAGGTAATACATTTACATGTTTATTCCTCGGATGCTGTGGTTTCTTGCAGGCAGAAGGTAGAACTTTATTGGTCGGAATCATTGATTTAGTTTCAATGGGAATAGATATGGGACTTCTTAATCCATTGTTCCTCGGTTACTTTAAACTTGGAATGAAAGGTCCTTCAATAAGCACAATTATATGTGATGGAGTTCCCGGAATAACTTTAATGATTTTATACTTCTGTGGCGTTTTCAACGTGAAACCTAAAGTCTCTGGACTGTTAAAACCGTTCTCAAAGCACACATATCAGGCTCTGTGTGTCGGAAGTTCACAGCTCATGCTTCAGATCTTCATGAACATTCCAGGTATAGTTGTGAGAAAGCTAATAGGTGACTCTGTTTCAACACAAGATGAATACGAGTATGCTATGGCTGGTTTCAATGTTTTATGCAGATTCAATGCATTCACAAACTGCATCATCATAACATTATGTTCAGGTTATCTTCCACCTGCTTCATATGCATATGCTGCAAAGCTTTACAAGAGATATATTGATCTGACAATCCATTTGAACTCAATTTCTTTGATTTGGTGTACAATCACAACAGTGTTGTGCTTTGCAATTCCAACTCAAATATCGAGTTTATTTGGATCAGGAAATAGATACTTTTACTATGCAAACGGTATGCTGATGAAAGGAAACTATTGCACAATTATTCTTTTCACTAGGTTGACATTTCAATCTATTTTACAGTCTCAGCAAAATGGAATTCGAGCCATGATAATTTCGTTTATATCAAACTTTTTTATTGTTATCATATTCATGTATGTTCTTTATGTAACAAATAAGCATAATGCTCCAAGAATAATGATTGTTTATCCCATTTCCTATGCAATTGGATGTGTCTTAGGAATTGGATTACTATTGAAACCCTTTTCAGAAATAGTCGTCAAATCCAAGAAGGAAGGCTATACCGAAATATGATTTTTTTTCCTTCCCAGATTTCTTTTTAATAGAGTAAATAAATAACTTTCATCTATCTTAATTTAAAACATCTTGCTTGATATTTTAATACTAACAGTCAAAGGCTTATATTTAAAATAGTTGAAACTATTTTATTTATGAAATTTGAAAATATTATTCAAATTATTCATTAATAGTTAGATTTTTGTATCACACCAAATCCATTTAGTTTCTTAATATAATTCAAGAAAATTGGAAATTGAATCCTATTTCGTATTAAAAATAGTTAAATCATAAATAATGAAGTTTGTGGTGTTATTACTATAGTTGTATAAACTCAAGCAATTAGTATTTTAATCACAGATAATGTTAAATATGAAATAAAATATTAATCGCGATTTTAAAAATGATTGGATATATATCATTTTCTTCAATACTCCTATAAAATCAAGATAGGTTGTCCCTTTTCGTTAATTTGTCTACATTTCTAGATTTTAATTTTGATTTGGAGCCGCAAGTGTATTTATCTTCGAATAACATTAAAAGCTTTTGGTATGAAACTGATGCGGTTAGTCATTGATTTGCTTGATGATTTTTAATAATAATTTTCAAAATCATAAATTAATACTTTTTCCTAATTCATGAAGAAAACTGCATTTCACTTGTATTTCATGCAACTATTGGTAGTGTTGCAGTCAAAAACAACTTTATTGTTTACACTTCAGAATTTTCAATTAAATTATTTAATTAGTTGCCATAAAAATTTTTCAAATGTATTATAAGTATAAATTAATGTCGTTTTTTCTTAAAATCTAAAGAAGGAAAAGTGATAGCGTTCATTGAAATTTGAAAATGAATTCAAAACCATCCTCAATTTAATAAGCTCTCTTAAATTGTGAAGAAAATTATTGGCGGAATGATTCAGTTTCATTTGGATATTGTTTTCAAAATCTCTGTGCATGAAGAGGAGTGTTCCTAAAGTGCGATTCTCAAGAATTGAAGATCAACGGCTAATGAATATTGTTCTGACCTATAGAACGTATGATTGGGATTTTGTTTCTAAAATGATGCAAACAAGGACAGCAAGGCAATGTCGTGAAAGAAATATGAAGAAAAATTATATGAATTTGCCATCAATTTCGCTTCCGTTTTATACGAAAAGATCTATGTTGATGAAGTAGAAGGCAGTGATGAAGAAGATTATGACGACGAAGACATTTTCGGAGATGCCGAAATTGAAGTTGCCGCTGTAGATCCAGGAGCGAACCAATCCACATCTAATAAGGGTTCTAAACTCCGTGCCGCTGGTTTGGAGTTATTAGAAGCACTTCTCGCTCAAGATAATTTAGTTTATATATCTTATATCAGTGGATCACCGGATGTTATCGAAAACAACATCCTTGATATTGATCCTTCTGTCCAAGTCGAAGCATTCAAGCTGTTATACCAGACAGAAGTCTTAATTCATTCCGGAATTAAAATTCCAAAAGAGTTTATTGATAAAATCCCAACAATTCATGAGAATATGTTGAGTTCGATTCGTTTCGCAATTTCAACAAGCCATTTCTCCAACATTGTTGAGATTTCTTCTCAAATTATTCCATTTATTTCCGAATTTGACCAAGATTTCGCTTTGAAGCTCCTTGATAACGCTCTTCAACACTTTGATGATGAAAGCTCAAGCCAAGTTTGCAATTTAATCATTTCTATTTCACAAAGAATTATTTCTGAAGAAATTATTTCTGCAATTTCTGTTTTTGTTGAAAATGCCGCTGATTTCAAGAACTACAGTATTCTTCCTATTATTTCTATGTTTGAATCCATTCTTATAATGAAGCCATCATATTGTGATGACTTATCAAACATTGCTGAGTTCTTTTTATCAAAATCAGAAACAAAAGACATTTTTGTTAATTCAATTAATTCTTTGTCTATTTTTGTTGTTCTTTATCCAGATGCAAATGTTACAAAGGAAATTATTGATTTGTTTATTAAATCTCTTGGAAATGCATTTGTTATGCTTAAATTAAGTGCAGCAATTGCATTAATCGCATCATCAAAACCAGAATTATTACAAAAATATACAAAAGAAATTTCAGAATTCATTATTAATTGTATAAAACAAAAGACTGATTCTGGAGTAATTTTAAGAGGTTTGTTTGCATTTAATTATTGCGGAAAGATGGAAGGATTCGAAACAAGCAAAGTCTGTTCACAAGCAATAGAATTAATCACAAGTAATGATGCACAAATCAGAGCTCTTTCTCTTAAAACAATTCTTAAATACAAAGATGATTCGATGAATGATTTAATTCATAATGCTGTTAAAGAAAGTCTTACAAAGACAAATAACAAGAGCTTTTTGGAGTCAGCGAGTGAATTTTATTATAATGCTCAGCACAAGCATTATTTCCGTGATCTTATCAAGATAAATTCAAATGATATTCCATCTGTTGTTGGTTTGTCTCTCAACACAAAACATATACAAAAATACATCGAAAAAGATGATTTATTATCAATTAAAATTATTGGAAATTATGCAATGAGAAGGCATATTTCAACTAATCCTGAACTTGTTGAACATTTGTTTGCTTTGGCATCACAAAACAATGAGAAATCAATTGCTGCTTCTAATTCTATTGGTTTGGCCGCTTCAAAATCATCTTCTATATTAGGAAAGGTTTTAGAACAATCGAAAGATGAAAGTAAATCTCAATCAACAATTACTGCTTTGGCATCTTTTGTTGAACATGTTTCTGAATCAAAGGCTGACAACAAAGTTTTGGAAGAGATATTTATTTACTTCAAAGATTGCCATGGTGGAGAAAAGAACGCAAGAACTTGTTCACAATCTATTTCTTATTTATATGAACATTCTGACGTAATTTTAGAAAAATGTTTTGAATTTCCATCTGAAATTACTTTCCACGCTTTGGCACTTTATTTCCCAAGAATTAAAGACGAAAAGAAAGCATCTCGGATTGTCCAAAATGTCATCGAACATATCAATTCTGACAAACCATTGTTAACTGTTCATCTTCTTTCTGTTTTGGCAGAAAACAATAAATCAGAAAATGGCGAAAAAGTCATTTTCGATAACTACGAAAAAATTGTTTCCTGCACTGAATTTAAACAAAATCATATTGTTGAACAAGCTGTTGGTACAGCAGTTATCAAGACAGATGCTGGCCAGCACATGAGAGCAACAGCTGTTTCATTACTTGCAGCAATTATTGATAAAGCAAATGATTATGAATTTGCAAAGAATTTGTTGAATGTTACGTTAAAGGCATTGACAGATCCGAAACCAGAAGTTTCAACAAAAGCTGTTTTCTTACTCAAGAAATTGTCATTCCTCAATGGAATTGTTCTTCAAGAAGTTCAAGACGAAATCATTGAAAAATTGACGATTTTCGAAAGGAATTTGTTCTCTCAAGAAACAAATGACGAAAAGAATGACATTCTTGAACAGAATACTAAATTGGATGATGAAAAGATTGAGAAATTTTTGATTGATACAGCAGCTGCTTTGTCAATCGCACACTGCAACAACCAGAAAGTTAAAGAGTACAGAAAGAGATTCGAAGGAAAGAGTGCATTTTCAAGTGCTTTGAGTGAAGAAAAAACTTTCAAGATGCAGAATGTAAACAAGGAAACTTCAATTTACAAGTTCATGACGGAGTTTGCTCCCGAAATTGCTTTGATTTTTAAGGATTAAAAAATTATTTTATTTTAACTTATATTTTTAATTTGCAAAGTTTGATAAAATTCATTTTTTTAAATATTCTTTTGCTGAAATAATGGAATTCATCATACATTCGTGCAGATATTTTGTAAATTAATATGTATATCTTCATCAATTTACCAGATTTTTGATGACAAATCATGAATATATATAAAATATCGGTGATCCCATTTATATTTGCTCTTAGTAATAGTGTGGAAATCTATTAATGAAAAACTGTTATATTTTAATTGAAAATCTTTATTCATGATTTTTTATTAGCATCAGATTGTGGTTAAAAGCAGATAATTCGACCTATATCGGAATAAAAATAATTAAAATGTTATCCAGATATACAATTTATCTTTAATTTATGGAAAATTTTTGAAAAAAGCTTTGAATTTAAGGATAGAAGGGATAGAAAAGATTTAATATAATATAAATATATAAAAGGTATAATTATGTTAATCTGTTGAATTCTTAGTTGAAATAAGTCTTCTTGTGTGGGATTTCGGCATTAGCAATAAGCTTTCCACCGAATGGAGCGCAGAATGCGCAGCTGCCATCTTCTGATAAGTGGACAGAGATTCTGACAGAAGCTGGAAGTGGCTGATTGCGTGGGCTCAATAACTTGAATTCCTGAGAAACAACTGTATTTGGTTCGAAGGCGGAAAGTTTTAATTCAACTTCACCAATTTCTTCGTCACCTCCGAAAATGTGCTTCTTAGAGATAAGAAGAACAAATGAGGCCTTTGATGGATTGTTGTACTTGAATTCCCATGTCTTGCTTGGGAAACCTTTTTCTGTGAACTCGGCTGTATGATTCATGAAGTTATTTCTTGGACCAACTCTGGCAACTAATGTTGTCTTTCCATTTGTCTTGAAACTACCAGTGTTGACACCATCTACACGGATATAAGCACGGTTGCCGTTCATTAATGGCATGTACTCGAAGTTGCTGGACATCTTGTTGAAAAATGATGACCTACCGAACTCTGAAAATTTGAGAGAGTTGACCATTAATAATTGAGAGGTAATTAGGTCATTAATTCTGAGTAAAAAACAGATATTTGAAATATATTGATGTAAATAATATTTGGTGCATCATTTTATTGAAATTTTTAAAAATTTATAACCGTTCGATTTTCTCAAAAATAATTGTGAGAGATTTTTGATAGAACTCACTCAATATTTTTTAAATAAATCAGCATCATTAATTATCAATGAATAACATACAATTAATAAATAAATTTATTTCAATTTCGAACATTTCATAAAAATCCTATAAATTCCATATTGATTTGTATATTCTAAGTACAAATTCTATAAATATATCATCCCATCTAAAAATGCGGCTCCAATATCATTGTTTATAGGATTTTTATGAAATCCAACAAAATTTCACGACTTTTAGTCTTCTCACTATATTCATTATTCATAAAACTGTAATAGCTCCTGAATTCACAGTTGTAAATTAGATAAACAAAACAAAGCGAAAAAAATTATTATTGATTATCGACAATCCAAAGCTATTCTGTTCTTACCATTAGGCAAAATTCCAAAATAAGTCAGCAAAAAGCATAACTAATGATCATGACAAAAATTAATAATTTTCGACGAGATTTGGGCAAAAATCTCCATATAAGCTATAACTGGCATTTACTCATAATGCATTATTATAGTACATCAAAGAAAACAAAAAATAATACTACATCAGCCATCATTATGGCTAATTTAATATCAAAGTTTTAATTTAAACAAAGATACATATTAAAATATCATCAGTACATATGAGAGAATATAGTTATATAATTTCATAAAACCGAGTTACTACATTTATATGGAATGACAACAAACAAGTTTGATTTGATGTCACTTTTTTGTCCAATGACAAAATAGATGGGAAATTACATAGCATTCATGTGCAAATAATAAATAAATCTCTCAAATTTCTCATCTACTTGACTATGAAAAGTTAGTATTTATGCATGTGGATGTAGAAATATTTTGATATTATTTTGAAAATTATCAAAAAAATTATTTCTTTAAAATTAGATTAAAACAATAAATTATTTTTAGGTATAAGCAATATATTTATTATTAATAATAAATTATGGTGAAATCTCACCGGAAGTATCTCAATCTTGATTTTGTCAGATTTGAACTTTTCTCTCAAACTTTGTCAAATGCGAACAAATTCTTTGCTTTATGATGAATTTAATCTTTGATTCCTCCATTTATATTGCTTTTATATGACTATCATTAAATATGATATCATCTAAGAAAATACAGATCCCTTTTATTTTGCCCAAATTTGAAATGAGAGAATAATTGCATTCAATAGTAAATGCTTTCAAATATAATAGATATAGATATATTTCACCTGGAATGCATTGCTTATTTCAAAAGGTATCAGAATTCGAATCGCCAAAATCAGGATCGCACAAATTTGATATTTACTAAATATAATTATATTTGGATTAAATCATAGTACATATTTTTGATATTAATAAAGAAAAAACAGATCATTCTTAATTTTTTCTTTTCAAATTTTGAAAATTAGTCAGTAAAGTAGTCAAATCAAAAGTATTAGAAAGTGGTAGTGGATTTAAATTCTATTATTTTAAGCCCAAAATAATTTTTTGAATAGTTCTCATTCAATTTTTCATTTCTTTGAATCATTTTTTATGTTTGCTCTATTTGCAAATCATGCCTTGTGTGATAAACTGATCACTCAAGTTGGCGCATATGCCCAGAGGATATGTAATGTTGATCTAGATATAAAATTTGACTTGGAAGACAATCCAATGATGTCATATTATATGATTTTAGTAAATCCACCAAGTGGCCTCAGAGTTAATCAGCATCATCAACTTGACCCAATCTTCGAAATAAAACCAAAATCTTATGTTACCATTCATACCGAAGACTGGCATTACCTTAAATATTTTATTGTTAGATATCCACGAACATGCTTATCGGTCGAGTTTCTCCTTAACTCACGTATGGGACAAAAATTTATTTATAATGCAACAGATAGAACAATGCCACACAATGGAACATATTGCTCCGCATTTGTTTCATTTTACCCAATAGATATTCATATCTCTACAGAAACACCTTCAGTACTTTTTGTTGACAACTATTCAATCAATGAATTTAAATTTCGAACTAACAAAGAATACAATTTTGAAAACGTTTATTCAGTATGCATTGGATTTAGACCACAGAGTTTTGAACCTGACCAAAATGTTGTTATCGAGATTACAAGATCATTTATTCATTTCGAAGAAGAAGTATTTACATTTACCTCATATTTCAACTACTTTAAGAAGAAAATCTTTGCTGAATCGGCTTCAGATTTCAATGTTCCGAAAGATATTAACCTCAAGCCAGGAGTATATTATCCTGATGCCGGTGTAAATTCTCCTGATTATCACATAAAGGAGCACTCATATGTAGTTTTCACTCTTTTCGATGATTGTTTCGGGTACGTAAGAAGTGGACTATCATTGTTAGAGATACTTGGTAATACTAATATTGTATCAGTTTATTTCAACACATCAGGTGTTATGAGTTTTTATTCATACCAATCATGTGCTCCATTACATTTTGTTGTTTATGATCTTGATTTAACAGATATTAGTAATGTTATTACAAATTGTAATAATGAAAATCTCAAATTTGAATCAACTAAAGGTGAAAGAAATGTCCTTGTATCTGCATATTATGATGGAATGATTACAATTTCAAGTTCCAGTGATAAATTTGTAGAATCGTATAATTATTCCGGACAAGCTATTAATGAATCTTTAGTCGGATATTCATTTTACTCAATAGTTAGTCAGGCTGAAAATAGCAAAAAATCTGAATGGATAAAGCTCAAATTCTCAGGAAATTTCGAGGGTTGGCAAAATTATTTAATTGAAGGAAAGAATTCGTACTATAAAGCATATTCAATTAATGATTCGTGTCCTTCAAAAAGATTGAATTCGGGCAATTGAAAGAGCGCAAATAATGATTCTAAGAATACAAATTATGATTCTAAAGATACAAATAATGATTCAAAGGATACAGTAACGGAAAATGATGATTATGAAAGCAATGGTGATGTAAATATTAAAGCACTTTCATCAAAGTTGGCATATATTATTGCAGGTGTTGCTGGATTTTGTGTTGTATGCATTTTTACATTCATTGCAATTGCTTGTGTCAGAAAGACAAGAAATGATAACAACGCAGATGAACTATTAAGCAACACTGAATATAAATTCACTGATTCTCAAATGAATTCTATTTAAACAGTTTGATTAAATTCACAATGGATCTGAAAAGAAATAATCATTTTCTCATTTTTTCTAATAAAAAAATTTAATAATTTAATTAATTTTTATGATAGCCTAGGTTATGTTATTACATATATTGATAGAAGCACATTTGAACAATCTTCTTCAAATTATCGAGAAATGCTTACTAACATTGAAGGCATCTATGCCTATTAAGGTTGGATGTTTAAATCTTCTCAAATTTGATTAAGTGCTTTTATCTAATCATCTAAAAAGGATTTATAGAAAATTTCTTATAGAAATCCGCACCCATATAGACTCAAATATATTATTATATTTATTTCCAGTGAAAGCTAATCTATCTTGAGAAAAATGTAAATTTTGAAACCTCAAATTTTATTCTTCCGTTCGAGTCGAGATAGATTAGTTTTACAATCAATTTTTTCATCAGTTATTGGAATCCAATGCTTCCCCATTCTTGCTTTGCTTATAGCTCAAGATGTTACTTATTGCAAATGATGGCATAATGAAACAAGAAAGCTTGAGCTCATGGATGTGAGTGAAGAATTAATTAGATGTGAAGCAAGCAAGTTCACTCATTCTCAAATAAAATGATAATGAAATGTGTGTTCATTATGTATATTTTGGCCCACAATTCAAATCTGATTCAAGCAAGCCTCAACAAAATCCATATAATGTTCCAATTAATGCCCTAAAAATAATGGATTTTTTTTTTACTATTAATTTTTTAGAATTAGATAGAGCGATAATTACAAATGCAAAAGCATCAATTATTTCACCTATTTTCGTAAGATTAACCTCAATAAGATTTATACAGAATTGGAATCAATTCTTTTCGATACATAAACTATCATTACTCAATAAATAAATAATAGAAAAAAGTACATCCAATGAGAGAACTCTCACCTAAGACGGCATTCGAAAAGTTTAACAAAGATAACTTTTTTTAATGAATTACAAACTTGAGAAACTTACCATTATAAAATGATGAAGAATTAATGGTTGTTATAGCTGCAGCAATTACAAAATTAAGTATTGATGCATCATTTTTGAAATAGATCTTGTTCACTATTATTTAAATCACTTCTAAAGCAATTTAGACATCAAAAAATATTTTAGGCTGAAGTTTACTATCAAAACTTAGTGATGTATTAAATCTTGTAATTTATGAATAATTGAAAAAATAAATGTCAAATACCAATTTTGAGCCAAAATAACGTAAAGTAGGCTTACTTTTATATACTAGGCTTTAGATAATAAATATTAATATTTTTAAATTCTTTATCAAACGTCAATCATGTTTTTTGCTTTGAAATTCATGATTTTATACTTGGTGTTGAAAATCATGCATTTTATTTTCTTTAGAAAATTAGAAATTAATTTTGAACATGTATTAATGAATATTAATATTGTTATATCAACTCTATCCTGCATAAATAATAAAATCCTAAAATTGCATAGACATTTCAATTCAATCAAATAATTTTATAAATTATTTGAAAAAATCTTTATCACACAAAGGATCATATGCGGTGCATAATTGAAATATTATTCCCGGTGTTTATCACCTTATTAATTAATACATAATGCAACACTGATAGGTCAGACATTGAATTATTCTTTTTTTGATAGCCGGTGACAATTTGTATCGTCCCGATAACGACAATATGACAAATGTAAAGAAAACATTGAATAAAATAATATTCACCCTATTCATATTTAACATGGGAAGATATCAGGTATCGGCGGTATCGTTGTCTAACTCCAGAAAAAAAAATCGTGAGGATATCGTTAATTCTCTTTTCAATGAATGGTATAGATGTATCTGATTAACTTAATTGTGATCCGAGTTGAACCATGGTTGGTGTTCTGAATTTTGAAACCCCTTTGAATTTAATTTCATGATTTCCTTTTTGGCCTGTCTTGCATTGAGTGAAACCCTCATCACTGAACTTGGAAACTATTCAGCATATGTCTCAAAGTATGGTACAGCAATTACCCTCAATTTGCCAAATTCTCAAACAGAATATTATTACATTGTTTTTTCCAATCCCGTTAGTAGCTTATTCATTAACAGAGAACAAATCAAGTGTATATAGAATACCTAACGAAATCATTCTTTACTTAGAGAGTGAAACCGAAATTCAACTTCAATTCTTTATTCTTAAATTTAATGAGAACTGTGAAGCTCTAGAGTTCATTATTAATCCATCAAATGATATGAATTATTTTTATGATGCAGCAGATAATGAAAAATTATACTCGAAGTTCTATTGCGCAGCATTCGTTTCCTCAGAAGATATGGACCTCAAGATTAGTACAGAAACACCATCAGTTCTCCGTGTAAGTGAATACACATTTGAATACAGTAAATCAAATAATTCTGCAAAAGTAGATATGAAGAATGTTAGATCAGTATGCATCGGATATAGACCAGGTGTTCATTCATCAGAGAGAAATTTGATTATTAATATTACAAATGCTGCTTCTGAATTACTTGATTATGTTTCAGGATATTACAAATCAGGAAGTCATTATATTACCGAAAATCCAATACAAATTGATATGCCAGGAGCTATTAGAAAACTGCCTGGAACATATACAGTTAATGTAACAAATAAACCAGTTTCATATGTAATTCCGCAGAAGTCATATGTTGTATTCACTAAATCTAAAGATCTTTACGGATATGCAACAAGCGGAAATTCATTATTGGAGATCCTTGGAACTACAAAAATTGTTACTGTTTATTACAACATATCAGGAACACTACAGTTATATACATATAAACCTCAAACAGAAGCAAGTTTTATAATCTTCAAACTCGATTTAACAGGTGTTAATGATATTGTTACTGCCGTTGGTTGTCAAAATAGTGCTTTTGAGTCTAATGCAGGCCACAAGAATGTCCTTGTTTCTGCATTTCACACTGGTACATTCCAAGTCAAATGGGATGGAACTGCTGGTAAATCATATAGATTTGATGGAAGTGAAATTTATGATCCAACGATATCTGCCCCATTTTATACTATTATTGATTCAACAAATGGAAATAAATCTGTGAAGCATGTTACAAAAGATAGAATGGATATCACAAATCCATTTATAATCCAAGGTGAAGATTCTAACTCAACATCCTATTCCATTCATGATGCAGCATCATCAAAACAGTTGAATGCAGGAAGATATGAGAAACCAGATGATGATAATGATGATAATGATGATAATGATGATAATGATGATAACGATGAAAATGATGAAAAGATCGTCCAAGAGTTAACTTCATTGAAACAAAAGAAGAAAGGATTGACAGTTTCAACTGCTATTATTTCAATCATTTGTTTTGCTCTTATTGCAGTTATTGTTATTTTATTCTTAAAGCAAAAGAAATTAAATAAGGAATCTTCTGGTGCTGGTGAACTTCATGATAGTTTAGTCAAGAGTGAAACAAAACAAGATAAGGCATCTTATCCAGCTCCACAACCAAGCCCTTATGCAGTTTAGAGAAATAAATAAAGTCGTTTAATTTGGTATTTTATTTAATATTCTTTCATTCCTTAATTCTGATTATTTTGAGTTTTTAAAACAGTTTGAATTGTGTAAATAATTTGATTAGCTAGAAATGATTATTTTTTCATTTTTATTAATGAAATTTTGAGGAGCCAAATAGTTCTTATAATTCATAATATTTTAATAAACCTCATATTTTAGTATATTAACATAAAAAATTAATGAATATAAAATAATATCAAAAAAATAATCTGAAATCCGAGAGAATAATGGATGATTAAGCTATAAAAGCTTAAGAGTATTTGTTCAACAACAGTCTCCAATGTGAATTTTCAGAGAAAACTTCTAATCCTTCTGTAGAATATTTTGTTGTTGAAGGAATAACAACCCAATGCACTTTAAGTTTCTCTGCGAGCGATATCCAACCACCAGATTCTGCTTCTCTCAAAATTGGAACGACATTTGTGATATTTCCGCCTCTCTTCCAGACACTGGTATAATTTCCGCATATAATCTGTCTTCCAGCCAATGATACTGGGTTAAACATGTTTGGTTCTGTTAAAACAAGTTCATGAGCGGATAATTGAGTTCTAATCCATTTTGAAGCGTCAAGGGAGTACAAATCATAGGCATCTATGTGGCAACTTGATATTCTGATACCACATATTATGCCACCGAGGATGAAAGAAACAATATAAATTTTGAATAAAGATTTTCTCAAAATTGATGTGTAATAAGAATTGGTAACAGAGTGATACCAGTCAGAAAGTATTCCACAAAGCAAAGGAAGTATACAAGCTTGCTGTGCCAAGACATTATTCGTCACATCGTTTCCAACTCTTATGAAAAAGGTATAAACCCATGCAGCAGCAAATGTAAAGTCTCTATGTATCAAAGATAAGCTAGTATAATGTAAAAGTGAGAAGATGAAGACGATAGAAAGTAAACCATAGTCCTCAAAAAGTGAAGTAATTTGAGAGCAAAAATGGCCTTGCATTTGCTGCTCTCTCCAGATCGGGAAAGACTTAATAGGAACACCAATCAACTTGATGGCGAGTAAGCCGGCGAACGGCATTACTTTCTTGAAGTTATCTGCAAAGGCTGAATTGATAATGAAAAGAGTTATCGAAACTGCGGGGTTTGGAACGAACGCTGACATCAGTCCGGCCAAGTAGTATCGATAAGGATGCTCTTTTCTTCTGTTTGTTGTGATATCTAACACTAATAACGCGATTGGAATCGAAAACATGGCATCTTTTGAGTAGGTCATGAAGTAAAATAGTGTTTGATACCATGGAAGTGGGACTTCGCGACCAACATTTGTGATATAATCTGAATTTGCTGGATATTTGAATAATATCGGTCTGATGATTGCAATTCCACTATTGAAAAAGAATAATAAGCATCCAAGAACTGGTGCGTGAGTGCTAAATTGCATAAATTGATTTAATAATATTGCTGTTGCGAGAATATTGATGTAAGATAGCAAGCAGGTTGCTACATCGTAATCTACATCTAATGACATTAAGAATGCTGTGAATAACATTGGAAAAGCTGATCCAGAATATTTTGCATTGATTAACTGTGGATCTTTGAGGAAAATACTGAATCTTATGTGATTACAGCCGTGTAATATTGAATTTATCACAGAGATTTCTTCATCCATGAGTGTAGAAGGTAAAGATGGAACAGTATTTGGATAAAAAACAAACGAAGCAAGATAATGTCGTGTCATAATTAATGTAATGAATATAAGCATGATATCAAAATATGGATTTTGATTGCGCTGAGGGAGTGAGAAGTTAAATGCTAATGCTTTTGGTAAATTTAAGCGTTTCTGTATAATATAATATATTAAGTATGATTCCCCACAGAATATTAATAATGATGTGAATATGTTGAGTGGAACAACTATTGTTATTATAAAAAGAAAAATTGATTGAATGAAAAATCCAATTAACCAGCCAAAAGATAGGAGTGTAAATAGCTCTTGAATCTTTAGTTTAAGCATCATTGCAGTGAGCGATCCTAGAAAGATCGTCGTGATGCAAAAAAGAAGCGAGAGCAACATTTCTGAAAAAAATGGGTGAAATAAAATGCAACAAAGGATCAACAATATAACAATACTATTGATGCTTATTAATTTTTACATAGACAATTATCTGATATACCAAAATATAAATAAATTCAGAAGAAAATATTGCAATCCAGACAAAAAGATGTAGACCATGATTCTTGAGAACTGAAAATAGGAATGATAATGTTCTCCAATGTATCATATCATATCATTTTTAATATCATAATTTGAATACTTATTTATGCAGCAATATAGCAGAAAATGAATAGATTCCTCTAGGATGGGGTTTTAATCGTTAGTATATCAATAGAAAGTTCATAGAAAAAATTATGACTTCTAATTGGATAAAAATCAAAAGCAAACAATAAAAGTTATATTTATTCATGGTATAATGATTATGTTTCAAACATAATTTATAAAATAATAAGAGATAATAAAGAATTATCTTCCAAAGTTAGACTAATAAGCATGCTTTGGACTTTCCTTGCTTTGGTTCTTCCCAGTGTCCTGGATCTTGTCCATAAATCATCTGCATGAAAAGATCAAGAGAAATAACTCCGTCTTTTTTGCCTGTAAAGTGGCCAACGAAGTTTTGTACAGTAGACGTTGAGAATCCCCATTCAAATATTCTAGAACATTTCATAAATTGTCCCATATCAAGACTTCTGCAATGATCTTCATCGAAAGCTGTAAAAACGTGTTGATAAACTTCTTTGTTATCATTATTAATGATTGCCTTAACAAATCCAATAAATTTAGATTTTGGAATTGCAGAAGATAATCCTTGAGTCATTCCATTGAAAACGGCATCAGATTCTTCCATTGAAACATTCTTATCTTCTATTTCGCAATATAAAACGTGGAATACCTTTGAATCAATAGATCCTGTCTTTTTAGCATCTAATTTGTCAAATCTTTTCTCGAAATGAGCAATGCATTGATCTGGATCGGAAAATTGTAACATAGCCATTGGTCTCTTCAGTTGTGTTGCGTCATCATCCACTTCGATTGTAAATGTATCAAGTTCTTGATTTAATTGATCATTTAACTCTTTTTCTTTATGTACAGTTTTGAGTTTGGATAACTGTGATTCAGCATTAGCAAGTTTTGTTCTTAAACTGGCTATTTCAGCGTCTCTTCTTTCTAAATCTTCTTTCTTTGGACAATTTGCCAATTGTGCACAAACTTTTGAGTACTCTTTTTCTCTTTCAAGTAAATCCTCTTTCTTTGGAATTGATTTGAGTTGTTCTTGTAATTTGCGAATTTCGGCATCTTTTCTATCCATATCTTCCTTTTTAGGAGCATTTGATAACTTTGCTATAAGTCTTTGAATTTCCTGATCACGAGTTTGTATTTCTAGTTGCCAGCCAAAATTTGAAGATGTTCCGACTTTTGATTGATCAGAAAGTAATTTGCATATCTGAGAGCCAGTTATTGCGCCTATTACATTGCAAATATCATTCAAACTTGCAGATTCATCGACTTTCAATCCTCTCAAAACTGTACAAGCTTTATTTCCGTGTTGTAATGCAATTTTACCAATAATTTCGTATGCTAGCTCAGTAGGCATTGGTTTGCACTTTTCGATGATGTTTGCTAAATTTTCGATTGGCAATTTGTAAAAAGACATTTCTTTGCAGCATTCTTCAATGGAATCTGCAATTAATTCTTCGAAAGCTTCTGTATTGCCTTTTGATTTGATCTGTTTCTGTAATTCCGCTATAAAACCCGACATATTGATTTTTTATCAAATTTTTATAATTTTGTACGTTATTTCAGACGAATTTGCTATCTAATCCTAATTTCGGTATGAAATAAGCAGTGTACACATTGCATAGACGCAATTGAGTTAATCTGGTTTCCGACTTCGATTTCAATTCGATCAAATTTCTTATTTATATTTCATAATGTTGTGTTAGATCAGTAAACTTAAAAATATTAACGAACGATAAATATAAGGAAATATTTTTATGAAAAATTTAATACAAATAAAATTAAGAAGAGTTAAACTGGAATAAAAACAACCTTTCCTAATGAAGTAACAGCGAGAACGATGTTCTCACTTTGCATATACTTGATTTCAATGATAGAGTCATCCAAAATCGATAACAAAGGATTGTAAACATCGAGATAAAATGCTTCGAACAAAAAGATGTCTCCGAGTTCATCAGCAAGAGTTATGTAGTCAAATCCTTTCTCATCGACTTCTGTGCTCCAAGCCTGTACGCCTGAATGAAGTTCCTTTTCGCGAATCAAATCACCAGAAACGGAATACAAAGACAAATAATGTTTCAACGATCCGCAAGACAAATCAGTCGAATGGATAACAACGAATCCCCGGCCTTTTGTGATTAATATGGAGCTGGCTCTTCTCTCACCCAATGAAACAATTCTTGTGATAGATCTGTTGTTGAGTGAGCAGAACAAGATATTTCCATCTCTTGTTCCACAAACGCACATGTGATATCTTACAGAAACCGCTGCACATTTGATGGTTGAAGAATAGCTTGGAATAGTGAACATTCCTTCTGATCCTTCTCCTTTTGTATAGATAGTTATCACTGAATCTCCATTTGCTGTTAACAAACAGCCTTCATCAGAAGCCATTGCAGTAATTGAAGATCTTTGTCTGATCGCCAAATTAATTGTATTTGAGTTGTTTGCGATCTTAAAGACTTCATTTGCGTTGACTTTGGAGATGAACAAAGAACCATCCGGCATTTGGCAAATGATCTTTTGTGCGGACATCGGGATAACATTGGAGAATGATTTAACAGAATGTGTGGACATCGAGAAATCATTTGTAGAAACTTCGATTCCGACATTTGACAAACTTGTCAATGGATTATCTGTTGATTTCCTTCTTCTTGCCTTTGTTGGCGATACGTTTGAAACTCTGTTTGAATCACTTCTTGATCTTGTCTTGTTCTGAGTGATTTTAGAGAGTTTGTTCAATACTTGTGTATCATAAATTGAAGAAACAATGATTCCTGTTTCGTCAATTGATGAAACTCTGATCTTGTTCTCTCCAACGAGTTTGGATTGAGACAAAAGAAGTGATTTAGCACGTAAATCTGTTGAAATCACTTTGTCAATCACGGATTTCTTCACGATTTCCATGTTTCTTTGTGGATGATCGTTATCAAACAATTTTTGTGGAACTTGTCCAACATGGCACAGAATTGCTTCTGTTTTAGCTCTTATTTGTGGATCGTTCATGTTAACTTGCTTCCAGATATCGGGATACATCTGAGATACATAGATATTCTTTGCTTTGAGGGCTTCTTTTCCTGTTTGTTTGCTTCCCCAAACCAAATCAATCCATTTGTGCAAGTTCTGCGAAACGTATTCTGATTCAAGAGCTTTTCTGTTCAAATAAACGAAATCATAAGGTGTTGGTGCCCATGGAGGTAATTGTACATCATTTACTTGTTCTCCACTGAATTTTCCTAAATCAAAACCGTTTTTATTCATCAAAAAGTCGGCTTGAGTGAAAAACTCAGGAATTAACTCTCTGAAATCATTTTGATGAGTTGTTGAGAGTTTCCAAGCAGCGGAAACAGAAGAGAACAATCTTGCAGCGTGGTCGAATCTTCCACTTTGTATCTCAATGTGGAGAGTTGCGAAAGGTTCCATTCTCATCAGCCAAAGATAAATTGAAAGTGGACATGAATAACCACTTGAAAACAGATAAGGAGTCATTCCGACACTTGCGAAACTGTTGTATTTCTCAGCAAGTGTTTCGAATCTCTCGTCATTCAATGCTCCAACTGGTTTAGAAAGATCTCTATATACCATTGGATCATTTAAGTTCAAGTTTTCTGATGTGTAATCGCTCAAAATCCATGGAATGATTGGATATTGGCTGACATCATTAAATGTTCTTCCACTTGACATGTTCAAATGCATCAAGTAATCGAAGTTGCTGATCTTCCTCTTTACCCACAAATCTGTCTTAGAGATCTGCTCGAAGAATGGCTTGAACTCAACTGTTTGGCACATCTTCAATTGTGGCATTTGAAGGGATTTGAAGTGCTTCAAAACAGTCAATGATTTGATATTCGGGAAATTGATGAAAACAGTTTGTCCTGTTGTCAAAAAGATCTCAATGGCTGTTGGATGATGGAAACGAGTTCTCTCAAACAAAGCAGTGATTTTATGTGGATTTATTGACCTGATTTTGCCTGTTTCGTAAGTTAAAATCAAAGCATCAGCCAATAAAGCGAAAATTGCCTTTTTAACGCCATTGTTTTTAATGATTTCGCATGGCAACTCAATGATGCACTCGTTTCCACTGTAGTTCTTGTTCTGTGGCTTGGAAGGAGACTCTGTTGATGAAGGATGTTCGATGTCTGTTTCTTCAACTTCGAATAACTGAACAGGAGCATTTTGTTTGTATTCTTCTTGTAATTTAGCTTTGTAATCTTCCAAAGCTTTCTCAGCGTTTTGTGTTGATCCTGTATCTCTCAACAAAGAAGCAGACATGTGGTTATCGAAGTTGTAGTTCCTTCTCATCATTGTTGGACAATAATTTGGTCCTAACGTGTTATCTCTCTTGAAGTGGATTTCTCCAATTCTCGATTTAGGCAATGATTTGCACCATGGCGCGTTATCAATTGTCATGCTTTGCCAGCATCTTGTCCACAATTTGCTTGCGTTCTCTATGCCTTCTGAGACTTGGTCGCTCATCATGTTCACAGAGTTGCTGCAAGCGATGACAATTTGATCAGTAATCATCGAGAAAATCTGGAATGCTCTCTGTGAATTTTCTGTTTGAGACTTCAAAACATATTTCATCAGTCTCAATGAACTTGCTTTCATGTCTTTGCTTGAAAGAGCTTTAGGAACATTCTGACTGAACTCGAAAGCCAACTGATGATAGTTACTTGAAATAGACTGTACAGGACTTGAAACTCCACTTTGATTTGCATAGTGAGAAATGTAATTCATTCCATTACTATACAAACTATCATTACTTGGCAATATCTTGAGGAGTTTCTCGATCTTTGGATTGTTGTAACGAATGAGATAAGCGCAAATCGTCATTGCAAGAGTTGCATGTTCTGGATCAGGTATTTTCGTGTAGATATCAATGAATTGGTCAGCTAAATCATAATCCAGCCAATTTCCTGATTTAGAATACCTTAATCCGAATGAATAAGTGAATTCTCTTTCAGCGATATGCGCAACTTTCTTATCCAAATCGTTTGGCATCAAATTAATGACTTTTTTATCTGGTTCAATATGGCTTTCGTATTGGAATTTCCTCTTTCCAATGTTCAGCATTGAAACTCTTCTGTTCTTGAATGTAGACATCGAGGGAATGACTTGTTGTATTGGATTGAAAGCTGCCAAAGCTTGTTCAGCCAACAAAGGAGAATAATTTTCAGTGTTTTCAGTGAATTGAGCAATTGTACTTGGATGAAGAGAATGTCTTGCTTTTCTGATCATATCCTTCTTTGGAGAATTCCTTAAGTTTCTTGGTGGTGTTCCTTGTTTATTCCTTGATTTAGTTGTTGTTTGTGTTTTCTCGGCAAATGGAGAATTGTCAAATAAAATTTGAAGCATTTGATTTGTTGTTTCTCCTTCATTTTCTCTGAAGAAAACGAAATGTTTCATGATTTTGACGTATTCATTGATAACAACAGCTTCTGAACCATTAAGAACAGATTTACCTGCTTCTAATACTAAATCATGTATTGCGTTATCTTTGTTTTCTCCTAAACTTAATCCGATAACTTCAAAACAACTTACTAATTGTCCTAAATTGTTTCCACATGAATCAATCAAAAATCTCATCAAAGATCTCTTCAAATCCGGTTCAGTCTTGTAATAAGCGACAACAAACCATTGGTTCCAGTTAGTGCTTGTTGCGAAATTGTAGCTTGGCTTCATGTTATCCAATATGTAACCAATTGCTTTCGCTCCAATGTTCACAGCCATCCATGAACAAATTGGAAAGATTTCAGGACAATTTGAGTTACATAATTCGACCAATTTAAGGAGCATTGATTTGGAAACGAAATTGGAAGTTAATTGGTGAAGAATAATGTCCAAATGATTAATAATTGTCATGTCTTTGAACAAGTTTCTTCTGTGTGCATCGATAACTGTTGCAATCAAACTTACAACAACAGTTTCGTTCTTCAAATTGAGTAAATACTGAAGTAACTTGATCAAATCAACAGAACAGTTTTGAAGAATGTTGTGTTGTGTGTCATCAATAAGTTCGCGAAGGAAATACAACAAATCAATGTTCTGTTGTAAATCACCTGTCGTCAAAATATATGACATCAACAATTTGAAATCAGAATCTTGGAATTTATGTCTTGCAATCATATGTGCGATTGCCAACAAATATCTTCTGCATTCACTGACAGCGAGCTTCTCTCCTCTGCATCGCTTTGGATATCTAGTGATTGCATTCAATGGATCTGTGTCATACCAATAATAAATTCTCAAAATTGCCAAAATAAACTCGAAATCTATGATTGTCGAGAATTTCTTCGAAGGACACATGTTCCTGGCCCAATGCTTAACGATTCTCACGTGATCTGTTGCTGTTGCATTGATCCAGATCTCAATGTTCATTAAGATATCGTGGAACAATGAATTTTGAGCGGTTTCTGATGTCAAAACTCCCAAAATATTCACAAATTTTGTGTACAAACTGTAGTTGATGTGATTTATGTCATTCTTTATAATGAGATTTGAGATGATCTTGAAACCATCTGCTTCAGCGAAGTTAGTTTGTGATTCATCTGATAAGCTCAATGCGTTTTCAAGTAATTCTATTGTTTGTTCTGCCAAAAATTGAACAACTTCGCCTGTTTTGAAGGTCAAATCCCATTGTGCGAATATAGGTAACAATATGTCAATGCCAACTCTGTTAACTAATATCTCTGTGAATGAGAAAATTCTTGTGTAAGAAATACTCGAATTAGAAACTGTCACTTTTTCATTAAATCTATTTTCCAATCTCACGCCTTTTTCAATTTCTCTTGGAACCATGTAGAACAATGGTTTCAAATGAGAAGGAACTGCACCTGCTGGTCCTGCATCATAAATACTGATCATTGCATCAGGTTTCTGTAATGGAAACAGTCCAATCGGACCAAGTAATGATACATTTCTGACACGTAATGAATCACGTGACAAACCGCCAATCATTGACACTTTTAATGGTCCTTGTTTTGGCACGACCAAAGGGAAATAGATGATCTTTCCTTCGCCATTGTTAACTGTCGTGTAGAAAGTGAACTGTTGCCTTGATGGATCTGGTGTTGCAGTAACAGAAACAAAACACCATTCCTTTTGTGGTAAAACAACATCAGGACGGCCTGTCCATTGTTCGCCTTGGTTCTCTGCAAAGACAACAATTTGGTCACCGGCCAAATATATACCTATCGTTGTATTATCGTTGTCTCTTGAAATGAACAACTGAGATTTATAATGAGGATCTTTGTTGTTTATCATTAACCAGATGGATAAAGTGAATCCCTTGGAGAAATCTTCACCGTTGAGGCCGTCAATCTCGAAACTGCAGTTCTCAGCAAGTGGAAGTACTGCCGTTGGCTTCCTTTTGCTCTCAATTAGCATATTATTAAGGAGTTTGAGAGTAATCGGGTGGTAGAATGGGAGGAAACGACCTTCTATTGGACATAAAAGGGAAATGAAGTGTCTAACAACAGAAACTGAGCAAATTTGTGTTGAAATGAGCATTAACAAAGAAAATGCGCTCGCAACTACTTCTTTCATGTTGCCATCTTCGAGACGCCATTGGAAGATGAGATCTATGAGATATCTATTGACTTCGCCGTAATGAGCTTGTTCTGCATTTTCTGGAGCGAATTGTAACAACTGTGCAACGAAAGCGAAGACAATTTTGATGTTACTGGACTTAAGGAATACAGCTATGAGTAGTTTTATGCCTTTTGGTCTCTTAACTAAGAATTGAGGATTAATATTCGCCAAAGGTTTGCCAGCAATGAGTTGGATGAGCTTCAAGAAGATATGTTGAGATGGTTCGTCTCCAAAAACTCTGGAAATTGAGTTCTGTAAAGCAGTTACTTCTGGAGCGGATAAAGCGTGGGCTTCTAAGTTATTTAGAAGTGTAATGATGTTAAATATCAAGTCCTGAGATATCGGAGTGTTTTCTATTCCGTTTAGACCAACAATAATATCTGAAATTAATTTTACGAAAACTTGAACGTAAACTTCGGACAATGGAAGTATTTCTCCAATAAGACCGAATAAATATGATCCGATACATGCAACTTTTTCTTTTTGCATGTTATTTGCAATATACAAAGTAACATCAACGATTTTGTTCAAAAGTCTGTTGTTTTTGACTGTGACATCTGACTTTATGTACCTTCCGAGATGAGAAATGACGAATTTTATCAATGGATATTCATATATCAAATCAAAGAAAGAATCAATGAAGTAATCATCATCGAAGAGTAAAAGTGTAAGCTCTGGTTGTAGTAAATAGTTATTAAGAACTAAAAGAATAGCCATTCTTGCGTTATTAATTGCATTTCTTGTTTTTTCATCAAGATTCTTATAAGATTGGAATTGAGTCATTGAGTACATCAATGCTTGTATGATAACTTGGAAATTGAACTTAGAGAGATTGAAAACTAGCTGAATTGAGATTAATCTCTCTGTAAACTCTGCAAAGATTTCTGGCTTCTGCATAAGATTGTCCATGATTGTCTTTACATCATCAACTCCATTAACTGCAAGTAAATCCATTACATAATGGCGAATTGTATTGATTTGTTGATAAAACAGTGGATTTTCACCTGATTTACTAACGATGATAGTTGGTTGGAATAAAAAGGGTGATGTAATGAATTTTGATGGTCCTCCTACTTTAATTCTCTTCGAAATGATGTGAAATAGTACAATAAATGATGCAAATATGTCATAAGCACGCTCATTTTCACCTATCTTAGGAAGAGCATCTTCGCAGCATTTATAAAATTCTTTGTAATTGTTAGAATCGATTTTTTCTGCAATCAGATTCAGTTCTTCAAGAACGTATTCATTGATGATCTCATTATAGTTTTGATGCTTTGGATAGAACGGTGTGTTTGAAAGGTCAATTTCTTTGTCGAATGTTTCATATTCAATCAAAGCTTTTGGTGTTTCAAAGTATTCTGCGTTTTGGAGAATAATTGCTTCACCTAAACCTTCCTCGGTAATAATGTGCTTGCTTCGTGTGACGATATCAATCACATAATCGGGAATGCTGCTGAGTTCCCTCAGCATGTAAGAAAATGCGCGTTTAATAATTCGTCTATCGCACTTCCGTGATCGGAATTATTGAAAAAAAAATCATATCTGCATTAGATACTAGTGACATGTAGGAATATCGGATTTCATTTCTCAAAGCATTTCAAAAAAAATTATTTGATAGAAATCGCAAGATCCGCAATAAATACTACAATAGAAGACCTTTCTCTCATAAATAGAGCGTGGTAAAAGATTGATTCTCCACTGGCAATCAAAAATAATGTTTCGCAAATTGATATCCTTTTTCTTCAAGGGAAATGCACATTTCAATGAGATTCAATTGAATTTGCTTATATTTTGCGTTCAATTCTGTCCGAAGCTTAACAAGAGTTGTGAAATGTCGACATTTTACAAATTATGTATTTCTTTGGCATAATATACTATCCTGATTGAAACTCTTCCTACACATGTCATGCATTATTTGATGACTTTATCCATTGAATTCATGTGCAACATCACGAGGATGAATATAATATAACTCATCACATCTAGCAAACTCAAGTGCAAAAAATATATAAAAACGATTATTTTACATTCATTTTACTTTCTAATGAAAATATTCTTCGAAAATACCAGAAAACTAAAGAATACCTTATGTAAGAACATTATTTTTTCGCACCATGTGAAATAAGAACTTCAGCAATTTCTTTATTATTAAGATATGCTGCAATTTGGAGTGCTGTTTCTCCATCTAAATCTTTTTCATTGATATTTGCACCATGTGAAATAAGAAATTCAACAGTTTCTTTATAATTAAAATATGCTGCATAATGAAGAGCAGTTTTTCCAAATTTATCTTTTTCATTGATATATGCGCCATGTGAAATAAGAAATTCAACTGTTTCTTTATTATTATTCCGTGCTGCAGAATAAAGTGCTGTTCCTCCATGTAAATCTTTTTCATTGATATTTGCACCATGTAAAATAAGAAATTCAACAATTTCTTTTTTATTATTCCGTGCTGCAATGTGGAGTGGGGTTTGCCCAATTTTATCTTTTTTATTGATATTTGCACTATGTAAAATAAGAACTTCAACAGTTTCTTTATAATTAAAATATGCTGCAATATAAAGTGCTGTTTGCCCATTTTTATCTTTTTCATTGATATTTGCATCATGTGAAATAAGAAGTTCAGCAGTTTCTTTATAATTATAATATGCTGCATAATGAAGTGCGGTTTGTCCATTTTTATTTTTTTACATTGATATTTGCACCATGCAAAAGGAAGTATTCCAAAATGGATGGAATATTAAAAATCCATGAATAAACAAAGCATTTGTTTATATCATTAGTTTGATCGAAATGAACTAAAAAGGATTCAACATTATTGTAAAATCCACAGTATCCTAAATCGATCTCTATATTGTATTCATTCATTAAGAATGTAACAAAATCAATGTTATGTGAAATAATTGCATATCTCATACACTCAGAATCTGGTGTTTGATATTTCAAACATTCACTCATGATCTCTTTGTTTCTTCCTAAAAATGAAAATTTGAGACATTTTTGAGTTATTTCGGATTTAAATTTCGATCTTAACAACTTGAAACAATCAACAGCTCCATGGTAACAACATAATTCAAGTAATGAATGTCCTTTTTCAGAATATGGATATAAATCGCATTGAAGTGTTTGATTTTTATCAAATTCATCTCTTTCTGTGAATATGATGAATTTTTTAAGTCATCATTCATAATTGCTCTGTAAATTGTATTTTCTGTATGAATTTCGAGATTTTCGAAATTAGCTTTTAGAAAATCGCCAGATTTGTCTAATTTAATTCCATATTCTTTATAAAACAGGAAGATTGAAACAGGTTCAATACTACTGACCTATGTGACAAGATAATCATCAGATATGAGTTTGACAAGAAATAAATATGACTTTGCATAGCGATTATTATATGGAATTATATCTAAAATCTCTTGCATAACCTTTTTTGGTTGATATCTATTTGAATCAATCAATTCTGTTTTGATCATTTTGTAAATTGACTTTAATTCTTCTTCTTTTTCCGTTTTCAGTTGAAACAATGCATTATATGAATCGATATAGCATTTGTAAATACTTCGCAATTTGTTGTATTCGCTTGGATGAACGTCTTCGTCGGACATTAATAATTTTTAAAAAAGGCATATTTGCATTTTACCATATGAAATTCCCCATTAAATTTATTAGAAGAAAAAAATACTATGTTACACACGTGGAAAACGATGACCATATAAAGATTTCGATATAATTTATGAATTTTGATTAAGTCCATGGATATGAAATGATACTGTAGCAATGGAAAAGCCGATTACAATAGAATTTTCATCAAAATACTTGTATTAATCAAGATTGTTTTGCCAAACATTCTATATCAATTGATTCTTTGAATATAGATAAAATGATATATTTAATTAATAGATTAATCTGTATTTTCTAAAATCTATTAAATTTCATGGCTAAATCTCTTACATTTCTTCACCTAAGGAACTTCAAAACTCCCAATCTCTGCAAATGGGAGCTTTGAAGCTCCTGAATCTGTATCAGCAGAGGCCTTTTACCATTTGGGCCCTTGCTGATCAGAAGTTAATGACAGTCATTTTGCTTCTTCAGGAGCCCTAGTATTCCCATTTATTATTTGGGAATTCCATTTCTTTTAAATTTCTATTAATTAGAATTTACTTACTAAAGAACAAATTCGAATTAATATTATTCCGGCCCACTCCAAAACTGTTCGAATAAATATTATTCCGGAATGTAGTTTGTCATAACTGATTTTTATTACCCTCCTTCAACTATCATTTGTTACTGGTTAATCTCTTTTGAAATCAAGCAGAAGTAGCTTAAAATTAATTGATTCTATAACATCCCTGTGAAAATTTCCATTTACACATACTATTTTGAATTTCAAAATATTATCCAATTCATATTCCTTTTAAAAAAGCGCTATCATGATTCTTCACTTAAGTGTATCAATTCAATAGTACATCTCATTCTAACCTCTCTACATATTAGAGATAAACTTGAAGATTTCCTTAAAAATTTCAAGAATAGTAATAGTAAATGTGATGTTTTACAAAATTATATATAAGAGCTTCAGATGTAACAATAATAAACAATAATTCTTTATTAAATTTAATTTCAAACAGATTATATGCAACTTATTGAGTGAATATCCTTACAAACTTGCTCAAATAGTTCTGTATTGTCTGATTCGGACTCGCTTATTGCTTTAAACATTAAAAGTTTGTTTTCTCCGAGTGTTTCCAATGATTCGTTGAATAAATCATTTCTTTCACGGAAAACCTTCTTCAGAAACTCGAAAGCAACTCTAATTAGCAGTCTCCATTGATGATATGTCGAGAAATTCCTTGCAGCAGGGAAATTCATTGCATAATTTACAAATCTTACGTCTAAATATGCCAATCCCTGTTTATTAAAGAATTTCAAGACATCCTGTAATGGTGTAGGTGATTCTAGCTTGTCAGAAACAGTCAAAGCGAAATTAATAATATTTTCCATCAAAGGACTGTCATTTTGCAGAACTGAAGCAAGGATAAAGAAGTTCTTGTGTAAATCTAGTGCAATCCTGACTTGTTCGCTGTTTTCTGACCAATTTGAAATTTGATTTGATTCATCAACCAAAAATTGAATGGAAATAGGGATAACTGATGATATTAATTCCTGTGAGCAATATTTGGAGCTTGCCATGCATAGTTTCGAACAAGATTCCGGTCCAGATGGAGATACTAGACTTAATACTGATTCTCTTGTATCACGGAGGCAATAAATGACTGTTTCGTATGCTACACTTAATAAATAGTCATTTTCTTCTACAATTTGGATGATTCTTGATAATCCATTTGTAGCAGCTTCGGAAAATGAATCATCGTAACCACATTCCTTCATAAACTTCATCATCATGTTCAAAACTGGTACAATTTCATTTTCTTCACTTGAATTTATTTTTTCAATGAAACTGTCAAGGGAAGCATTGTAAACTTCAGAAAATTGTGATTTCTCTTCAGCGGTTCCTATGGAACTATAAACAATAGAGACAAAGTTCTCGTTCATGGACTGTGTTAAGGTCACCAAGTCATCATTTGATATCGTGATACTTCCTTTTATCTCGGAGTTCGATAACATGTCATTTAACAGCTTAGAAAGCAAATCAATGACGATATCAGTCTGTGCACCGCTTACTTGAGCAAGAAGAGCATCTATTACAGCTTGTTTAACTTTATCGGAGAAATAAATCGACAGAGATTTGAAAAACATCGAAAATGAAAGCAAACAATTCAATTGTGCTTCATTTAGAGGTGGTTTTTGCTCTAGAATCTGCGAAAATGAGTCTAGATAACTCTCTATCGAATCAATCGTTATGAAATTCTCATGCAATGAGTTCAATAACTTGAAATACGCGGAAACATACGGAAAAACTGTTTCATCTGATGGAACATTGTTGTAGAGTTCCTTTATGAAGGCATTTGTCGTCTCCCCTTTGACTATTCTGCAAATATCTACTAAAAATTTCAATAATACGTTTGTGAAGCTTGTATCTGTCTCTCTTTGGCTGCAATCAAGCTTCAACCTGTTGAATACTATTCCTAGAAATCTCTGAGCATAATCTTGGTCGATGCAGATCAAATTTAAAAATTTTATCACTGATTCTGAAGCATCGTCGTATTTGGACTCGAAAATCATCTGTGCAATGTCTATTAATGGTGTCACTTCATCAGGAATTGTGACTTCATGTTGAATATATGATGAATTTGAGAAAAATGATGAATTTTGCTGGGGACTTGGTATTATTTTGGATCCTATTGTTGATACCAATGATCCTATGGCTGAAAGAACATTTTGCGTTGTCTCTGGAGTGATAATTTCATTGAAAATTGAAGATAAATTATATTGTGCCAAAAATTGACAGATTTCATCAGTTGAAAGTGTATCAATGAATGCAGTGATGACGAGAAGACATGACTCTTTGTCTTCTATGTTTAAAATGTTTGTTGTTAAATATAAATAACAATTTTGATCAGAAATGTGTGAATTTTCCCATCTGAGTGCAAAGGAAAGGGGTAATAATGCATTCTGATCTTCGTTCAAAATGTTTTTCTCTAACATTGATACAATTGAATTTAAATAATCATTTGAGTCGAAATACGCGTTAATATCGGTCACTTCTTCGTGCTCATGAATGTAATTTGTTAATTCGGCAAAGAATGAGTAGAATAATACTGAAGGAAGTTGAACTAAGCTCGAAATGATATCTTGACATTTTTCTTTGAAAGTATATAAGAAAAATGTGACGTATGCTTTTGATAATCGTGATAAAATGACTTTCGAGGGATTAGTAAGGATTTTCGGTGCAATTTCAAATAAAATATCAAAAATTTCTTTTAAATGCGGCTCAACATCATCTGGTTGATTCTTAATCCATGTTTCTATAACAGTGATAGCGAAAGTGTATGAATTTTCCTTCTTAAATTTTCCAAAATTTGAGATCGACCATAAAAAACCTTCTTGTGAGTACATAAACTGATTAATGAAATCGTTAACGCTTTGTATATCTGCTACATCTTTGTTTCCGAAGTAAGTATCAATAGCATTTTCAATTTCTTCGTCAGACATTTTCAAAATTTTGACAAAAATAATTGATGGAATAATTGGGAACTGGAAATTCTTAAACAGCAAACATAGTGATAGTTTTTCAAATGAGAAGTTCTCCGAGTGGGGGACAAACTCGCCCATTGTCACTTTTTCATTAACCTTAAACTTGTAATTTTCATTATTTTTAATTAACCTTATTTCTTTCCCAATTCCTGATTTATTTTATTCACTTACTATTAAAAGTCACATTTTAATAAAATATAATAATTTATTTATAGCATTTTTTACTATACTGTAATAAAAAATTAATTATAATAAATTAAATGTTTATTAAATCAAATGTTTTCTTTGCAATAATATTTTTAATGTTGAGTAAACAATGTTGGGATCAAGTGTATCATTTTTCAGACCTTTCTGAACAGCTTCAAGCATACTGATGCATTCGACTTTTTTAAATTGTGTCATTTCTTCGAAATCTCTTGTGACTTTTTTGATAACTTTAACACTTCTCTCTGAATCCAGACCTTTAATTTGCAACTTAATCAGGAATGAAGGAACAACACTGGAATATAACTCGATGACAAGTTCATCGAGTCGAAGATTTTGCCTTTCTGGGAAGTACTGGTGCTTCAAAACCTTGAAATGTGATTCCGAGATGTTGTTTGTTCCATCTCCTTCATTTCTATAGCGAAGCATCCACCTGTCAAGATGATGGCGCCACTGTCGGTCAAAGTATTCACGGGCAGCAGGTTCCTCATTTAAAATTTCTTCTAAATTGTTGTAAACTTCATCAGGATCAATTTCTTCCTCTTCAGAACCAAAGACCAATAACTTCATTAAGTTATAGAAAGTTTCGAAGTTGGAACGATCTTGAAACTTTTCAGCCTTTCTCATGACAGCGCGCAACACATGAACGCCACACCAAATGATCTGGCATAAGGATGGCTGTTTCAACAGCATTTGTGATTTGAGGTGCGCAGTCCATTGAAAAATAAGATGGTTCGCGATTGATGGAGCCAAAATATGCTGTGAGACAAACTTGTATATTTTCACTTGTGTCGGGCCAAACGAAAAAATACAAAAACGGAAAAACAATTGATTCCGCGAATTTGCCAGTGACGGCATAAAATGGTATGCGAGAGCGCAAGAGCTTATAAGTGGAATCAATGTGATAAGTTTGTATTTGATGTGAAAAAGCATTTGCTTCGAATGGGGCGTAATAGAAAATCATACGATCTGGCTCGTGAATAAACTCGATGAGATCATCGGAGAATGACTCTTAACCATGTCGACAAAAATTGCAAGAGATGTAACATCATCCGCTGAGAAACGGGTATTGATTGCATGAAGGCGTTTAGAAAACTTTTTTAAAGCATCTGTAGATTGTTGAAACATTTCCGGAATGATCCCACTATCAAATGGGATATTAAGATCTTTGAAACACCTTAATTGTGCGTAAACACGGTCTTGATTTGATTCAAAATATCTTGGTAAATAAGATCTATAAAAATATGATGTAATTTGTTGTGATTTGTTTGGAAAAGGGGCAGAATGATTGTGGGTGTTAATACATTTTCGTATGTGGTACTTGTCATCGGGAAGTGTATCAACAAGGAAGCGACATGGACAATTCGGCCACTTACAATTAAATTGGATTTGATTTCTTTCTTTCCTAGTTTTATATGAATAACTACAACCTGCTTGGATTTCTTGTTGCACTCCATACTTAAGCAACTCGATATATGTGAGTTCGTGATCTTGGATCTGCATTAAAATGAAATGATTTGAAAGAATAAAGAATTTTGAATATATTGGTCTTATTTTGATAGCTTGGTCGTGTTTTGAATAGCTTGGCCATCTAATTCAATTATGATCTTTGAAAATTAGGTGAAATAAAACTAAACATAAATGTAAAACTAGGGATATGAAATTTTGGTTGTACACCACTTGTATGTGCCGGATACCATTGTGTCAAATTTTTTCTGAAATTAACTTTAAAAGTACTAAGTAAGATCATGAGATATAGCAATATATGTTTAAACCAACTTATATTTTGGTTGTACACCACTTGTATGTGCCGGATACCATTGTGTCAAATTTTTTCTGAAAGTTAGTATACATATCTTGGGTACGGCGGCACTGCGTTCCACCTTACCCAAGATAACGGTTTGACACTTTACAAAACCGCTAATGTATATTTTACAACACAAACACAAACACTAACTTAACCTTAAATATTTACAAAACCACCAACCACTTCACCTCACCAACATTTCGCTAACGACTTCACTAATGAAAAAATAAACGTTCTCACTAACGTTCCCACTAATGTTCTCATTTACAAAAGTATTGCAGCGCTTCCCATTGCTGTGCTTCACACAATAGTTCATATTCTTCAGTATCGCTGCTGTCACTCCAATCGTCAGAGTCAAAGTCACTGTCAAAATAAATGTTAGTAAGTTTTGACAAAGCTAATGAAACACGCTTACCGTTTGTATCTATTGCTTTTATATATCTCCATTATGTTTTTGTCATAAACGCTCAAACTAACTTTACCCTTTCTCCCTCGTATCTGATAGAATGTATTTTCACGAGGAACGAAGAACAAATTCTTGAACTCATGACCGTTGTAGTTTGTTATCTCAATAGTTTTCGTCATTTATATAAAAATAAACTTAAAAATAAACTTAAAAATAAACTTAAAAATTAATGATATCACCACCCTCACACGTATGAAAACATAGCGCAAAAATAAATTTAGGTGAAGTGGTGAGATCTCACCTTTTTTCACCTTTTTTTCACCCGTTGAATTCATTACTTTATAACTCTCTTCCTTTCTCCAACTCTTCTAACTTCTTCTTAAGTTCAGCAATGTTGTCCTCATGAAGTTTAATCTTTCTCAAAATTCCTTCTTTATCTAATGGTTGCTTTATCTTTCTAAACTGAACTCTACCATCCTTCATAGTATGAATGTAAAAACCTTCTGGAATAGTTCCTGATTTAATGTATTCTACCAAAAACTTTTGTTTCATTGCTTCAGTGACTTTAGTCGTCATTTCAATCAAATAAAAATTTTAATATTAAATAAAAATAACGTTATTTTTTCAGTAAGGAAACGCAGGAGTTTTACGATTTATTTGAGGAGTAGGTTCTGGTTTAAATGTTGGAGTCGGTTTAGGAGTTGACTTTTGAACAGGAGTTTGTACTTCCATAGGTTCAGGAGTCATTGAAGGTTTTGCTTGTGAAGGCGTTGGTTTTGGCGAATGTGTTGGAGTTTGTTTAACTTCAGCTACTTCAGTATTATTTATAACATTTGCTTTATTTCTTTTCAACATCATAACTGCTCCTGCTGTAGCTAGCAAACCTAGTGGGAGACCATATCTTATATAAGGACTTGACCAAATGCTATTTTTGACAGGAGCTGGTGGAACACCTAACCTTGGTGAACTGCTCTTTGCCATTGTGCAGCTCGTAAGAAATATTCAATAGGTGCTCCATAATCGTTTGGTAAAGTTTGTTTCATAGATGGTGAAGGTTCGCGAGAGCTTGATGAAGAACTCATTTATAAGCTTTAAAAATAAACGTTCATCCTTTATTCCTCACTGTCGTCCGTGCTAAGTTATAGTCATCTAATCTTATTATGGGGATGCCATTAGCACGCACCTGAATGGCAAAGCAACAATCCCTCATAAATCCAATAAGTGGCTTTGGTACGTTTTCAGTTGCTAGTTCAATAGGTCCTTTAACAGACAATTTGTATGTTATTGGAGCAGTAGATGTTTGACCTTGTTGGAAGCAAAAGTCCACTTCTGTTGGAAAACCACATAAGAAATGTGTGTTGTCATAGCTATCCCATTTATGTTCCACACTACCATCATCCACCAATGACCTCATAACATCTTCATTAAATCCTATCATATCATTGTTTGTATTGCAAGCGTTCGCGCAACCATTTCATAAAATACAGGTCCATATGATTTTTCAGGTTCTGCAGGCATATTTCCATAAGCTCCCATGGAAAGCTGAAGATATTTAAACTTAGGGTTCTCAAAATTAACATAATAGTTGTCTTTCTTTCTAAATAGTGCCCAAATACTTTTAACATTAATAGGCGTATAAGCTGCTGTAAATGTTGCACTTGAACTATCTGTATTCTTTGAGAATGAACCGTCCATAGGAATCCAATCCATAACTTTAACAGGAAAACATAAAGCCTCGTTTGTATAATGTTCTACAAGTTCTGTATAAATGTTAGGGTCTAAAGAGAATGACTTTGGATGAATGAAACATTCATTAAAATCCATCTTTGTTCGAAATAGTTGCTGGGTTACAGTTGTAATAGTAACTGTTCCACTAGCTTCTACTGCCTTCGTTATCATAGTGAATGGTTCATTCCATGGAACAAATTTATTTGTCGGTGGATTTGAATCTGAAGCAAATGCAACTTTAAGAGTTGGATTGAAAGCAATGATATCATTTACAGATATAGATGTGCATTGTAAGGCGTCGCTACTGAACTTTACTTTAAGCTGAATGTTTCCTGCAAAAGCTGGAATAAATCTTATAGCTTCTAATGGTAAAAACTTTCTAACAGGAATTCTTAAACGAAGCTTAAAATCAAATGATTTTCCTGCTGTAATTGGACCACTAACAATTTGTCCTGTTCTGCATGTTCCCGAATGACTCCATACATCTTCATGTCGAGTCTTTGAGAAAACATCTACTTTCTTTATTTGTTCGGTAGTTTGTGAGTTTGAAGTTATATATGCTTCTTCTCTTGCGTTGTCTTGAGAATATACGATACGACCATTTGCAAGGATTTGATATCCAGCAACTGCATAGAAAGCGTCATCGAAACCAATCCAAAATCCTGGTGGTTTGTTTTATTGGAACCTGAACCAATTTCTTTATCTACAATAAATTGACCTTCCATTTTATACGTAATGAATGTATTGTAAAGGTCCAACATATTTTCACCAGGAGGTGAGAGATTGAATGTTACCCATGTGTTATCTTTAGCAGTTCCAGGTTGTGATGGAATCTTTGCGTCAGAATATTTTCTATTAGTGTCACCAATTTGAACTGCATTGTCTATGATATCGAAATATGAGCGAATCTGATGAATATGCTCTGCTGGAGTAAATTCGTTTAGCTGTTCGTTCTGCATGTATTTACTTCAGATAAAATATCTATTTACTTCATTATTCTCACTCTTCTTCTTGGCATTCGTGGTGGAAGTTGTTTCTTGACATTTTCAATGAACTGTACATTCTCTTTTGTCTCAACTTCTTTCACTGGCGGGTCAGGGTTCTTTGACTCGGTTTGTTTTTCAATGAAATTCACGAACTTTGCAATAAGCTCTTGGTTCGTTATTGAAAGTACATCTGGCTTCTTTTCTTCTTGTTCTTTTGGTGGCTCAGTTTGAACAGAAGGTTTTATATGGACTTCATGGACTTCACCCTTGCCATGCACCTTAATGTTGTCGCTCTCTGCATTCGCTAATGGTACCTTTCTTTTTCTTACGTATATTTTACCATCTTTACTCTGACTTACGTAATAGAAAGGATGTTGTATTCCTCTTGCGTCATTTAATATAATAGACTCTCGCTCTGATTTTGACAAGCTCATTTTACATCGGTTAAAGTTTTAATTTTGTTTTTTATCTGCAATCAAATGACTCAGACAAGCCCTACGGACAAGACCCAAGGTGTCATAGATGTTTGAAGCATTGAAGAAAGAAATTCGTGAGCAAATTTTATCCGAACTGAAGGAACAAAAACAAGAACAAAAGCCAGAGAGACCAAAGAGAAAACTTAGTGAAAAACAACTTGCTGCATTAGCTGCTGGAAGACAAAAGAACCCACGTTTGCTGGCAAAGAAAGCTAGAGAAGAAGCTGAAGCAAAGAAAGAGTAAATGGTTTATTTTTATCCGAACTAAATGTATAGACAAATACCTTTATCTGTTGCGTTCAGTAGTGAAAACCCTGACGTCAAAATAAAGGGGAACAGAGTAACGTTTAAGTTTCCAACAGACTGGATTGTGAACATAAATGAAGAGAAGTACATTGGCATAACATCTATGTATATAACACGTGCTTTCAGAAAGGTTGACTTTATACTTCAAGTCGAGATAGAAAATGACGAACAGTCTTTAAGCGCCCAAAACATTCACATATACAAATACTTTAAAGACGATACAACATTGTTGCAATGTATGATTTCATTTAATGAGATGTTCGAGAAAAAGTTCAACATTGAAGTACAAACTTTACAGCCTTTACGTGAGTTTCTTGCACAACTGAAAGAAGAAGGTAGTCAGCCACAACTTATAGACTTTCATTATGAATTTAATGAAAATGAAGATGGAACTCATGACTGTCAATTCATTGTATTCTCACCATTCAATGAAGTCGCTAAAGAGAAAAAAATCCATTACGTATAAGATTTCAAATCTCCGAACCAAGTGATGATTTTAAGAATGTTTTCAATTATGATGCAATGCTTCCGAGGAAAAATGAATTTTCAAAGATTGTAACACCTGGCATTTGGGATAGAAAGCAAGCTATATTATATTCAAACTTAAGTAAAGGAGTTGAAAATGAGTTCATTGGTCATACAAGAACTTCACCACTTCCTAACCCTAAATACTATAAATTAACTGGCTTCAATCGTGAGTTTTGGATAGACATGTTCTCCACTCATGACCATAAATGTCCAGTGTTCTTGCCTCCAGACCATAAGGACTGTCTCTACATTGAAGCACAACTCTTAAACTCTACCATCGCAGTATTGTAAAATCTACGCTAGCTTTATTTTTATCACGAATGACCTCATTCATGACCTCATTCATGACCTCATTGCTGACAAAAATAAATGACCTCAGAACTTCAACTTACGAATAAAGCTTGTTTTAGTCGTTATTGAAAAGTTGAACTTTTCAGCAAAGCAAGGTTGACATGACTTACATAAGTCGAATGCAATCTCTTGACCATCATGAAGTGCTTTGTAAAGTTTCATTAAACTGAACTCAGAGTCTTTGTCATATGTTCCAACAGGTATGTGAATGTTCTTATCTTCATTGTAATAGCATTGTATAGCTTCAGGAAACATTTCATTAGCGGTTAAAGCAATAACATCTTGCTTCACGCCTTTCATTCTGCAGTGAAATGCAACTTCATTTAAATCGTTAGTGAGTAAGTCTATGTAGGTCTTCTTTCCACAGAAAATACTTTTATAAGCTAAACTTTGTTTTCCAGGTGTTATTTCTGCAAAGTCGCTATGAAATTGACCAAGGTTCTTTCCTATAAGTTCGCGACCATATCTCTTCTTAAACTCTGCTGCAAGCTTTGGGATGTCTTCATTATATAAGTGCATACTGTCGGTATCCTGGTAAAAGATTTGAAGTCCCATGTCCTCTGCAGTACAGAATACTTCATTCATAATACGTTTTGACATAGACAGAATATTAACACCAAGTGGACAGAAGTTAAAGTGTCTGCAAATGCTTTTCGTTAGCTTGAAATAGTTTTATCTGAACCATCCAAACCTTCGAACTTCACTATATGGTTGTAATTTCTTATAGCATATCTTATAGCATCTTTGTCATTTACTATGGTTATTTTTGACTCAATAGGAGATAGAATAGTTTTGCCATAAATGCTGTTCAGAATGAGTTTTATAATTTCTTGTAAGGGGTTTTCTTCTTTCTTATACTTTAACCTTAACTCAAACAACTTCTTTACTTCATCTCTTATTCTCATATCTCTGTTTCCATCGTAATAGTATCCTTGCAACACTTCACATTTGACACCTTGATATTTTATGAGGTCTTGTAATGTTATATGGTCAACATACATGAGACAGCAAGTGTTTGAACTTCTTGGAACGTTAAGTTCTGGATTTAGTTCAGGGTCGCAAACTATTAAATGAAAGTGTCTGGGTATACCAATCTCTGTTATCTTAATGAGAACAAAGAAGCCAGACATAAACTTTTCACCAATGGGTTCCTTTTGGTCATCATCGAATAAATGTCTCATGAGATACTCTGTGCTTAACATCTCATCCTTCAATACTTTTGGAATACCTTCTAAAGTATAAAGTCTTGCTATAGCTGAAGGATATAATGAAACAGTGTCGAAGTCAGCAATGAGTTTCTTTTTGCTCTTTTGTTTCATGTTATCTGACAACATACATCTTCCACCTTGAATGCATCTCGAAATAAATTCTCTTGGTTTATTTGAGAGGTCATAAAGATTTCCATTCGGGAAGTATACTCTGTTCTCAAACAATTTGTTAGCAATAGAACAAATACTAACGTAGTCATAAACGTTTAAATCAAACTCTTTCAATAAGTCATTGCGGAACTTTACAAAACCTTCTCTTAAAATTCTTACATCTTGTTTGCAGTAAAACGTGCTATATTTTTCTAAGTCGAAGTGGTTTTCATCTATTCTGCAACCTTTGATGGAATCTATGTTCTTCATAAATGTATCTGCATCATGGATAAACTTACATGCTTCAGAAATGACACCAGTTCTGTTGTCATTTGCTAACAAAACACTGCTGTAGTAGTTATATGGAAATACTTCTTTCGGTCCTGTTTGTAAGTTAAACATAGCAGGAAATAGTTTAAGCTTCTTATTTATAACACTGTAAGAGTCTTTTATAATAATTGCCCGTCCTTTATATAAGCCAGTTATTTGCATTGTTCGTGAACCTTTAATGATGGGAGTTCCTTTCACTTCTGTCATGTGTCTTAAGATGAAGTTTATGTCATAACTGAGGTTATGGAAATATATTAAACTCTTGTCAGGAAGTCTTTCCAAAAATTCTGTTGCACAGTTTTGACCCCAAATGCTTTCACTAACTGAACCATCTTCACTGTCATAACAGATGTTAAAAGCTTTATGAAAGCCATCCGTACTACACTCAAAGTCAGCAAAGAAAACGTGCTCAGGTATGAATTTACATTTAGCTTTATTTACTTCTTTTGACTCTGCTTTCTTCTTCAGTTGTACACAATACTTTGGAGCATATGTCAAATCTTTAAATGGTGCAAGGTTCTGTTTATATAAGTCAGTAGTATATGTGAAAAGTTCTCCATAAGAAATAGGTTCGAAATATTTGCACTCCCACAATGTTTTCATAACATCCCATACGGTGTTGTTCTATCATAACGAACTACATATTTATCTTCTCTCTTTGTATAAATCTTCATCTGTTTCTCAATGTTCATTCCACCACAAGCTTTGAGAATTTCTTTATAGTTTCGAATGAAGTATGTTGTCATTGGTAATCTTTCATTTAGCATGTAGTGGTCTTCAACAAGAAGTAAGTCAATAGTTCTAACAGTTTCGCATTCTTTTGTATATATCTCTTTATTTCATTATGTCTTGACTCATTGAAATAACCAATGGTAACATTAAATGATATACCTGTTGCGTCAGAAATTTCTTGTACTTTACTTTGAGGAAAGTCTCTAACACGAATGACTCTCTCATGTGGTCAATAGTTTCTTCATTTACTCCAGCCTGAATGCAAGCATAAACGAAACAATTGTCCTCTGTCATAAGTGTTGCAGTTTCTTTTGTTCAGTTCATTGAAGATTTGGTAGCGTCAACGATTTATAGTAATGTGCAAAGATACTTCCAGAACTGACGCTTCTCTTCTTATAAAACTTCTTTTTCACCATTATCTTTCCAAAAGCTTTCTATAAGTGCTGGGTTTCCTGTTTGCTTAAGAGCTTCCAAAATGGCTTTCTGGTCATTTGTCAAGTGTGCTTTCATCTCTATATGGTCTCTTTTTTTGGTTTGCCTTTTCTTTTTACATCTGACATCGTTAAGCCTTCATATTCTGTTAAATCATACACTTTTATTTCGGTAAGATTCTTTATGTTTGTCAAGAAGAAAGTCATAGTGCATTTCAACAAATACTGCGCATTTGCTTCTATCTCTGATATAAAGTTCTCCTTCAAGAGCTGATGTAGTAATGTTCCAATATTATTGAGGTTTAACGTAGAACATTCATACTTTCCACCAAGTTTATAACATACCATCCATCTCTGTTGTGAGTTTATTTTAATTTTCTCTAAGAGTCTCATGAAAACCTTACCGAAATGTTTGTGTAAGTAGTTCTCTTTTGGTTCATCTAAAGCTTCGATGTTAAAGTCAATGAGTCTATTGCCTGACTTCACATTTCTCTTCCTATTCTCTTCATCTTTCTTTACACATCTCTCACCTTCTTTTGTTTGTCGTCAATGGAACGAATGACATCGTTAGCTTTGCGAACTTGTTCTATAGCGCTCTTAAACATCTCTCTTCTCTTGTTGTTTCAGTGTGTCGTCTCTTTCTCTTGTTTCACCAACGTTCGCATTTGTTATGTCAAACATCTCTTGACGAACATCATGCGAAAGAGCTTTACGAGTATGACCAACGTTCGCATTTGTTATGTCAAACATTTCTCTCTTACTTCATGCGAAAGAGCTTTACGAGTATGACCAACGTTCGCGATTTGTTATGTCACATCTCTCTTCTTACTTCATGAGGTACTGAACGTCTATGATATAAGTCAATAGCACGTCATTTAAAGGAAATGCTAGTATGACTTCGTCCTCGCCGCGTTGCGGCTTTATGAACTCAATGAATTCTATCATAACTTATTGCACCATTATAGTCTTTAATGAAGTCAGCGAGTGCTTTTTTGTTTGTTGCGTAATGCTTTGCAACATCTATATATGCTTCTGTAAGAAGTTGTTTTTATTTCCGCGAGTGTTCTAACTTAGAACAACTTCCGATTACATTTAGTAGAAATAAAAAAAATATTTTTTGAAAAAAATTAGATTAGATTTTTTTAAGTTATTTTCAAATAATTTAATATTTTTATTTTAATGAAACACAATGCAAAGATTGCAAGTTCTTTTCAATAACAATGCTCTCGCTACTGCATCAAGAATGAGTTCAATATGCTCAAA